ATTTGTTGTAAAACTGTTCCCACAAAAACATGGGGATTCATGCAAATTTGCAATGGACACTTATCAAGAAGATTGTACAGACAAGAAACTGTAAGAAAACCATTCACAGCACTTGAAGACATTTATTAAACTTTCATCAACTTTCCAATAATTTTATTCTATTTTGTTGTAAAGTGACTTGGCTGTCACTGAAATAATTTATAAGTGAAGTATTGATATGCTTTGACAAACCTTCAATCGACTGTCAACTGGCTATCGACCAATAGTCAACTAATAATCTGTGACAAATCAATTTAGTATTGACATTTTTCAATCAAAAAATTGAACAACTTTCGACTGATATATATAGAGTGACCATTGATGCATAACTGAGTGACTGTCAACCAACTATCAATCAACTGTCGACTGACTATGGACTGATATGTGGTGCTTTCAGATTTAAAATAGGTGGCTATCTCAGTAAAGCACCCACCAGAGAATGATATGAAAAATAACTTCCCTTTCATTAGCCCATTAGTTCCATTCCAGATGGAATTTTCAGTGTTAACCTTTGGTAAATGATCATTTAACATTGGTCTCCTATCTAACAGTTATTGAACTAATAGTTTTATTTCTAATTAAAATCTTCCATTTGCTGACATGTGAACTTGCTGCAGGATTTTTTTTCCACTAAAGTCCTCTTAAAAGAAATATGGTTACTGGTAACCAAAATTTTAGTGAGTATTTTCTTGAAACTCAAAATCTTTTTTTTTTTTGGTGGGAAATCATTTTTATCAAAACTTGTTTATAAAGGTAAAATTTGGCTGAAAGAACTCTAAAAGATCTCCAGGTGTTTGCTTGAAAGCTCCCAAAAAGTCACAGAAAGATCCAGAATTATGGTAACCATCCAACATTCTATGATACTGAACACTTTCAAAAGGCAGTCTACAAAAACAATACTAGATAATAATTATATTGTGTGTATCAAATTTCAGTATGCACATTTTCTCAAATTTTGATGCTACAATCAAAACCCTTCTTTGCCTGGCCATTGTATTCCATTTGAACATCACCCATTGACTCACAGTTGCTTAAAATATTTCCATGATTGTAATGCCATGATCTTCATTAACAGAATCTTCTTCTGCTTGTAATTTGAAACAAACTGTTCACAACAGAATACTGGCCGAAGCTTTGGCAGCTGCCAGGTCTTATTGAAAGCACTGGATATGTCAACCACTATATCTACCCCCTACATCAACTGCTACATCAACCCAACACTACCTATAGTACACATGATCCAAAGAACCTAACTGATACCCCATTTTTCAATTGGTTCTGTCATAATACTGGAAGATGGAATGTACACAAAGAATTTACCGCTAATGAACCTATATTCTACAATTTGTTACCTGAGTTGTTTGGGATAATCATCCAGCGGTATGCAAAAATGCAGTTTAACCCTTCAACTCCCAGATCTGATAATCAATTCTCCCCTATGGCTACTACATATTTCCTTTTAAATTAGTTACAAGAATTTGGTGTTTGATCAAGTTGATATGTTTGAGTATTTTCATTACCTGTTTGCTGGATAATGTATGGATATTTCAGGGAGAAGTTAGATGTCAATCACTTCTGGGAGTTAATGGGTTAAGGTTTATAAACTCGAAGAAAAGTTTAGTTAAGAGTAAGTTTATTTTTGTTTAATATAGTTTCATCTTACAAATAAACTGTTCATTAGGGTGGCATGAGGAAACAGGTTCTTAATCATGATCTATTGGAAGACATCAAACAAATAAATAAACAAATTCCATGTTGCCATGAATCTGTTCTGGAACACATGATTAAAGACATGTCCTGTGATCAGTTACTTACCAGACACATAGCATTATAAAATATGTCTATTTATAAAGAGTTTATTTATCAAAATTGAACTGTAAACTGCTTGATTGTTCTTGGCTGGACATGTTCTTAAATATTTGGGTATTAAAATGGCCACCTTCTGTCACAGTTCTTACATGTAGATTTTATCTGTTTGAATTTCCCGCAAAATATTTTGAGCTATGCCTGTAGAATGTCCGACCAGATCACCGGCTAAGCTCGCAACAAAAAGAAGAGGAAGGAGAAATAATTTGAAACAATACGTTGGTCAAGCCGTTTTTCTTTAGGTTTTCATTCCTTACCTCAAGCAGTTGATCAAGACATGCAGCTGAGAAATCACATGCGGTCTCCACCTCAGGGTTGTTCGGCCTATGTGACATCTCTCTTCCATCCAAACACCATCAAACAAGAGACACTGTGTACTGATGACAGACAATTTATGTTCATAGCTCCTTTGTGTCCTGTTTCTGGCAACAAAACAGGCAGGTCAGTTCATGATACAGCACAGTATTTACGCCGCCATGTTTGATACTAGTTTCCAGTCTTTTTCGTTAAACGAAAGTGCGTCACACCACACACGAGATTGCGTGACAACACACTAAGCGAGCGGCGCAAAAAACCTACTCAACAAGACTGCCATCCAGCAATAAGATTTTTGATCCTTCTTCATGTAATGATCAGGATACGATGTTTTCGTCCTTGACTATAGTCCAGACACCAATGGAGTCCACATAACTTGGTTGATTTCCTACAGACTGAGATTTACATGTGAAAAAAGCCCGCGAAAAATTCGTACGAAATACACAACCAACCAATCAGAAAAGCGAACGACTGTGGAAAATATATCATTCGTCCAATCAGAGACACGAACGATTGTACTTTAAAGTGGTGGGCAATAAGCGCGCGGTTTTCTGTAAAAACAAAATGGAGGAAGACGTGGCAACATTCGCGTATTCGCTCTCCTTGCGGGGTCGACAAAATTTGGATCGGACCGGATAGGATTACGGATCTGATCCGGTCCAATCTAGATTTTGTCGACGCCGCTCTCCTCGAAGGAACAATTGATGACTTCATAGATGAGCAAGAAAACAGAAACACGAGAGCAAAGACCGATAGAGACGTAAACCTGCTAAAAACCTCTCTTCAAAGGAAGATAGAGCTCAGGAACGTTGAAGAAATGCCTCCTATTTTTTTCTTCAGATTTTATAAATTGTACATATCTTTATTCCCCAGGGCCTCTATGGATACCAGCCTCGCTGCTGAATGGGTTACCCTGGTTGAAAGTCACTTACTTACTTACTCCTGCTCAACTCAATGAAATGCTCTGCGATTTCGCTCTCAGTGTCAGAGCCAAAGATGGAAATGACTACGAGGGATGATTGCTGGCTTTAAACAATATCTCAAACGCAAAAACTTTTAAGCTAGTATCATCAACGATTTAGCGTTTGAGAAAATAACAAAAACAAAAAGTATATAGTTGTCAACAGACTGCTGAATCATCCGTCATACACGTCTTTTTAATTTTTGTCTTTATCTTTACATCTAGTTTTTGGTCTAAAGAGAGACAATTCATAATTTGCGATATGGCGCATGCGTATCTTCGTCCGCAAGAAACTCTGAGGACTTGATAAAAGTGTGCCGGCAGAGGTCTGGGAGGGGCCTGGTAACAATTCAGTTATTCATATTCTTATACATGTAGAGTAATTTAGTGATATCAATTGACTTGAAAACGTAAATTGGCCACCGTAAAGAGTTTAAAGGCTGACGTTTCGAGCGTTAGCTCTTCGCCAATCGCCAATCTCTCTAACATTGGACTAACGCTCGAAACATCAGCCTTTAAACTCTTTACGGTGGCCAATTTACGTTTTCAACTCAGTTGATATCACTAAATTACCCTGTTATACTCTCCCACCGACGCAGTACCACAGTTTCTTTTGAAACTTACCACCTTCATTTATATTCTTACACAGACTGACTGACACCCTTGGTTAGAGTAGATTTTAAATCTTTAGCTATCACCGCCAACTCAAGGTATGTATCAACCCGGGGTTGTTTAAGGAAGCCGTTAAAGAACTTTTTTTGGCCCATAGAGAAAAATGTAAACTCTTGGCGTGGGTTGAAAGACAAATCCTGAATTCCCCATGGGAACTCACGCCTCGAATCTTCTAATTTCACGGTCCAATTCGCTATTAATTGATCAAGAGCTGGGTCGACAGAAAAACTCGTCAGCAAGCCAGGTTATGTGGACGAGCATACATACATAATGAGACTTGAACACGTCTCCGGGATTTGCCAGAAGCGGCGAAATCAACAGGATTTGATAGTTGATGCCACGACAACTACATGAATAACGAACACCACAGATTGGTCTTTGAACCATGCGATGTTTTTGTAAGTACTTCTTTGTCAATACACTTCTCTTTTGTTTCATTGGATGCAGTGTTCTACGCGATGAAAAAGCCTAATTTTCATCAACTTGTTTGTACTCACACTGTTCAAACAAATAAAACGTTGGTATTAAAAGCAACTGGAGATCAGTTAAGCTCTGAAATGAGTGGCCTTACTTTACTATATTCAACTTTCGCCGGCGTCAATTAGCAGAGCACGAGAACAATTGAATAGCAAATAAATTATTCACATTCTGACATTCCCAATGGTGAATTTTGTTGATGAAAAGACACACAATAGAAGACAGAGAAAGCTCTGACTGTGCGATTAATTTCAGTCGATGGTGCCTATTCTCTTCGTTTTATGTCTAAAAATGCATCGCGCATATTAAAAGAAACTCAGCCGGAAGGACAGACCTTGAATCTTTATGGGTACAATTAATTTGAGCTGTAAGCACTCATTTGCAGTTCGAGCATGCATGTTATTTGCAGGGAAACCGAAATAAATTTGTTCTTAAAAAATTTGCAGTAAGCCTTACAATGGGCACTAATGAATATAGGAAAGAGCTGTTCATATGTATATGACAGTTTTGTTTTCATTTTAATCCTCATAACAATCCAGCAAGCCCAACCCAGAAAAATCACTACTCAGTGCATAGCAACGTTTAGAGAGACCTCTTAGAAGTTTACTCGAAGGAGTATCACTTTTTGATCGTCGTATTTGACCCAGTTGACAGAAGTCAGTTTGTAATCATGAATACCAAACTGGTACTCTTCCTGGTAGTTGCTTCATGTGTACTTTTCACCGATGCTCGCAGTATATCGCGCCAGAATGCCGACGCAGTCGAGGGCAATTTACGCAAGGGTGTCCGAAATGACGCTGATAGGGGAGAGTACCCGGCTAAAAAGGGTAAGCCACTCATGACATTCAATGTTGACTGAATGATTGGAAACTTAACATGTAATCGTGTCATATTCTTGTATAAGATCAGAGAGACTGGCAATTTCGAATTGAAATTTTTGATGTAAAAGAATGCGTTGAGGGAACTTTTTGCTGTACTCAAATCCATGCAAAAAGTTGAGCCAAGAATATGCTTATGGGTGAATCTTATCAATGGCGCCGATAGAGGAAGCATATGATGAGCGCGCACGATTCTCGTAGAATGTTATATTGAAAAGTTTCTCAAGGTAGTAGCTTATTTGGCATAAGTCAAACGGAGGAGGCGTTGGCTACAAGCCTTCGCAAATTAGCCGTTATAGTAGGGTTTTGCCTGTTCGCTAGAGCATTTCAAAGGGTTCAAGAAGCCTTTTTTTCCTGGTCTTTTTTCAGCAGGGGGAGGGGGGATAAAAAGCAGTGAATTATGGATTACGAACAACGGAGATAAGTTTCTGGACAAACTTTGTTGCTGCTTCCGTTCAGGGTATTGAAAGATAATTTGCTTTTATTATCTGAGTTGATTATGTAAATTGGCCACCGTAAAGAATTTTTAAAGCTGGCGTTTCTAGTTCTGACGAAGGACTAACGCTTGAAATGTCAGCTCAAGAAACTCTTTACGGTGGTCAGTTAACATGATCAACTCAGTTAATAAAACCAAATCGTCCATGGATTATGGCACTTTACCCACGAGAATCACCTTTTCGTGTTTAGTTTTTAAAAGAACCTATAAAGGTAAAGACCAAATCTGAGGAAACACTGTATGGTTAAACTTAAGGAGAGGGAAAAAGTTCTTGACGGTGGCAAAAAAACAGGCAACATCGACAGTCCTCCTAATTCCACCCCTTTACTTTGACAGTGTTCTTGTGTAGATGTAGAAATATGACATTCAGGGAAAATCACCGATGCATAAAATGCGAAGGGCTTTGTTTAGCGCGATTAAGCATTTCGCTTAGTTTGCATTGTAATATAACTGCTTCTTGATGCCTGCATGAGTTCTTGTAAATTGATGAAAACGAGATGAAAAGATTTTCACTTGGTTAAAATTGAAACCAATCACCCCTAAACAATTCTGTTTGACCAATATTCCACAGCGGAAGCTATTCGAGATTCTCTAAAGGAATTGCACCTATTTGTTTGTCTTATATAACTTCTGAAAAAAATCAAATGTATTCCTTCTACGTAAAAAAGCTTATAGTTTAACCTCATGTTTCTTCCACCAATCCCAGCCTTCCTTCTCTTCTTTTGAATGAAGTAAAAGGCAGCATTCAATTGTGGTGAAGATTAAAAGTTAATTTTACCTTTTGCCGTGAATGTTTCAGATGAATCCACTGGAGCCGATACTCAGGATGGCATGGTAATAGCTCGCACTATAATTCATAGGATGAGACCCACAAAGAACAAAGTTGAACAGACAGCTCCTAACTTTTCGTTGACAGTTCGTGGTATTTTGGATAAAGCAACAAGCAGCATAAGCTCGGCATCTAACAAGGCGAAGGAAACGGCGAATAAAGCGAAAGCCAAAGTTGAAGAGTTAGGCAAGAAAGCGAAAGGTAAAGATGACGTACATAGTTTTCATGCATTTTTGAGCTCTACTTCCGCTGCTCGTACATTTTGTTACAATCCGTTCTGAATCTTGTTTAGGAGCTATTGAAGAAGGAAAAAAAAAGGTGGGTTCCATCACAGGAAAAAGAAAATTCGTCGACACTTTGTTGACAGCTCGTGGTATTTTGGATAAAGCAAAAAGCAGCTTAAGCTCAGCATCTAACAAGGCGAAGGAAACAGCGAATAAAGCGAAAGCTAAAGTTGAAGAATTAGGCGAGAAGGCGAAAGGTAAAGATGACGAAAATGGTTTTCATGCATTTCTATGATCTACTTTCGCTGCTCATACATTTTGTTACAATCCGTTCTGAATCTTGTTTAGGAGCTATTGAAGAAGGAAAAAAAAAGGTGGGTTCCATCACAGGAAAAAGAGAATTCGAGGCATTCTTGGAAACAAGTATGGGAACGCGGGAAGGTAAAGAGACTTGACCAAAGGTTCTGAGCTTATCCTCGCTTCCAGAGTCCTCGTTTCTTTCGGTCATGAGATTGGAGAAACGAGCGTACCCATTAGTGAAAACGAGCAGCTCTGGGAACGAAATTGTTCTGAACCTGTGTAAATTTAGCAACCTGCGCATGCGATGTGATAAAGAAGATGGAAACATAAGACGGGGCAATGTTAACGGAAAAGCCCATATTCTGCAACTGAAAAATAGACTAGAAACTGTTATTGGAGGTCTTTTTTTTATTTGTCACATCTTACTCGCCACTAATTGAGACCTAAAGCCGAGGCGCCCTGATACTTTCACACCTGAAAGATGTTCATCGCCTTCGACAACACAATATTACTACTCACTTTTCCTTGTTAGTCGCCTTCTATGCTACGAATTTACCCTCATGATTTGTCCTTTATTCGATTCCTTTTTCATTTTTCCCCCTCGAACAGATTTAATGGGAAACGTTTCAGCGGGGAAGGATTAAAAGTTTGTTTTTCCTTTTGTCTCCTTGTTTCAGATTAAGCCAGTGGAACAGATTCTCAAGACGAAATGCCAGATAGACCGAGAAAGAGGGTTGAGACTAGCAAATAGTTGACACCCTGTGTCTGTTTTTGAAATCTCTAATTATATTTGCACTTAAGCACCGAGTTCCCCATGAGTTATACGACGTGGCCCAGAATATAACTGAAAATCTCACTTTGGTAATTCCTAAATTCAAGTTTATTGTTGTACACATTCATTAACCCTTTCATTCCAAGACATGACCAACCTAGTTTCTCTTCAACATATCATTTTCAAGCAGGACTGTGATGGAAAGAATGCAAATCATCAATCATAAGGTGTAATTTGATTAAGCAACAAATTATCAGTGCTAAAAATTACAATGGTAGAAGGTAAAAACAATCATCTTGATCCTAGAAGTAAACAGGTTAAGAAAGAACAAATGAACCTGACATTCAACCCCAATTGCTATCTTTCCTCCGTATCTATATCTCAATTTTTTTTACCAATAAATGGTATTAATATATCTCTTTTAACAGCTTGATTGCTTGTATTTATGTGTGCATATGAAACCTCATTTCGTCAATAATATTTTAAGAACACAAGGGGCTTGTGGGTTCAGGTAACTTAACGGGCCTGTAAAGCTGTTCTGTTTTCCTTTAAGATAGAGACTTCAAAAGGTTTGAAAATTCCACAATAAAGGTCTTAGGTAACGAAAGAAAATGGGCTGGTTGAGGTGCCAAAACCCTCCTCTCTAATTTTAAATTTTGATTTAAAAAAAAAAAATGGCTTTAGGCGCGTCAAGTTACCTGGACTGATTCGAGAAACGGGTCGCAACGCAGTTGATTCACATTCTCATTTGTGTCGATGACTCGAAGTAATCCTAGTTTTTAGATGTAGCCCGTTTGTTAGTATCTGCAGTTATGGAATAGTCTTTGTTCGGATCGGAGCCCCCACGTGAAGATACACTTCGTTACACGCACCAAGAAAATTGTAGCCATTCCCTTGAACCGCAATTGCTTTGCTGTTCAAACAGATTAGATTCACAGTCGTTACACCAACTTCTATGCAAGAAGAGCATCGCCCTTTGTGGAACACTTGTTCAGTTGAACTCGAACCGCAGAAATAAATACACCTTATTCGACGGTTTAACATACAATACGTGCGGAGGTGAAGCGAAATGTCTGCTTGTCTTTAAAGTCAAACCACTGAATGAGGGATTTATTTCTCTGTTTTTATTTCATTTTCTGGTATTTTGGCTTCTAGTTTTCGAAATACTTCCAACTACTTTACATAGGCCAACACTTTTACATGGGCGTCATATCGATTGAATAAAGTGTGCGTCAAAGACAAAATCAACAGAAGCGAAACCATTATAGCGTTTTTTATGACCAACGGAAAATCGGAGGCGCTTAAAGTTCGTTTCTTCAAAAGTCAAGCTTAAAAGAACGGAGAGAAAGAACCATAGTTTGGGTTGTACCTTTCATAAAGATTTTTCAGTTCCAATTAGCAAACTGGGATTTATCTTATCAAGTCTTAAAAATGGAAGATAGGCATGGTCGATAATCGATAAGGACTGCAAATGAAAAACTTGAAAATGTGGCCTCACCTTTATCAATGGTGACAAGACCGAAAAGGAAAATGAAAGGTTTGAAAAGTCACAGTACACTGGTCCACTTTCTTTTTGGGTCTCTTTAGAAAATTTCTAAAAGAAATTGAAGCCATTGGCTAAATTCGTTTTATCTATCATCAGGTGATGTCTCCACAAAAGTATGCAACGAGTCAGCGCGTGGTGTATTTGATTGCAAGAGACCGGAAAATAAGTTCCAATTCCAAATGGATGTTGTTGTCATCACGTCAGCTGAAACGTGACGCCTTAAAGTGAGACGTCAAAATAGACTCAGCAGCAATTTAGTGTCGACGTCCTGAAATTACAGAGTTCCGATCTTGGCGCAATATAGTTATAATTTGCAATATTTTTGAAAGATTTCGATTGGAGAAGGAATCATGCGAGTAGTCTACCAACTGCTGTTGTGGGTATTTGTTTTCTGCCGTTACACAACACAAGAAGGTAAGAAGACATGTTTCTGCTGTTCAACGCAGCATCTGATAAATGCAAGCCGATCGGTGGACTTCTCTCTCGATATTTTAACTGCTTCTGTGATTCCTTTTAATACATTGAGTCTTATGATGCGGTATATTCTGACGTGTCTAAACCATTCAATGGTTGTTTATCGATACGTGCATATAAATAGCGTGCACGGACACATGTTCAGCTTTTTAGTTAAGGAGAGCATGATTTTAACATTTCGTAGAGAACTTAAATCGATGGACGTATCCTTTTCTGATAAAGATTTGTAGAACTCTAAAGGGACTTGAAAAAGAGGGAAAACTGGAAAGAAGACTGATATAATAATCAAATGAAATTAAGTGTGACTGAAGCTAAGCTGAAGAGAAATTTTCTAGACTTCCCTTAGCCTAAGTAAGGGGATACTTGCCAAAAATGTCACGCTGTTGTTATTTAACTGACGTCATGTGAAAATTAAATCTTATGAAATCGGTGTAATAACGTCATTATTTGGGTCTCCAGTTGAAAATCAGAAGGGTTAGTTAGAAGGGTTTGATGATTTCGAAATGTACCCTCTTTACCAGCTGGGAAGAACTGTTGTTCCGAACCATCAAAAGCAAGAATTGTTAGCGCTACTTGCAATTGTCGGTGCTCTGTAAATTTACAGATGCTGCTCACTTTAACCTTTAGGCACACTTGCTCTTGTTCTTCTTCTTGCTCTTCTTATGAAAAACCTATCTTGTGTCGAGTGTATGAGTACTCACAGGGAAAGGATTTTTGGAGATCTGCGGAAGCCTATCAAGGAAAACTTTGAACGGCCGAATTAGCATCTTATCACATGAGAAATCCAATCGTAAATGAGTCGCTGTTTCAGCATTTTAGTGATGAGCTGAGCTCTGAATGTATTGTGAATATTTCCGCCTGTGGATAATCCAATTCTGTCGAAATCTGCGAGGCACGTAGTGATTAATTTTACATCTTAACCAGACTTAATTCTTAAATTGAGTTACCTTTACGTCAAAACCAGTTGTTTCCTTTTTTGAGAGATGTTAAGATTTTAATTTTTTGAATGAAGGCTTCATGAAAACCTTGGGGCCTAATTTATCACTTTCGCATCTCCCATAATACATTCTGCTGCTGCACCATTTTCATGTTTCTAATTTCGACAACTGTGTGTGCCCAGAGATATAAAAAGTCCTGACCAGTGGCGGCTATGATTGGAGAAGTGTAAGAGGCGGATGTACCGCGGTTAAAAATCACAATATCACATGTTTTAATTTATCGACACTTTAGAAAAAAGCTGCCGCGATGACCTTGGAATGAAAAGTAAAGGAATACCAGACGAGAGTATTGCAGCATCGTCTTCAAAAAGTGCAGATAACTCCCCACAGTTTGCACGTTTGGACGGAAAAAAGGCCTGGTGCTCTGCGCCAACGGACAAAGAGCCACACATACAAATCAATCTGGTCGAGCCAAAGTCAATAACTGGCATAACAACTCAAGGAAGCTTTTCTGATTGGGCGTGGGTAACAAAATATGAAGTCAAGTATTTAGAAAAAGGAACTTGGAAACACTACGATGAGGTGCCTGAATTGTTATCTCTTTTAATGCTTTTGCTCCAGCTCAAAATAACTCGTATTATTTTTTGCTCTTTTTGGAATTTCCGGGAGAAAACTGGAAGTAATTGATTAAATCTTTTGGAAGTAAATGAGTCAGTGTTACTCCTCAGCTTAAAAAAAACTGCTATTCTTCAAGTTAGGAAAATGTTTAGTTAATTTGTCACGAGAGATCCAAAGCTTTAGCCGCAGAGGACAAGCACACAATGTATACTAGTCAATCAAGTTTGGATTCAAAGGCATCAAGGCAAATTGTAATATTATGAAGTTACCTAAATTGGCATGATGCAATTAAGCTAGTTGATGAGCTCAATTTCTGTCAAAATTTCAGGAATTTGAAGGCAACAAAAATATTAATGGCTTGAAGCCGAACACCTTAAATCCTCCAATCAGAACACAGTCGATTAGAATCTATCCCAAGGATCCAGTGACGTTGGATAGCACCGATCCTAAACCCTGCTGCCTAAGATTAGAGCTGTATGGATGTTCTGCACCAGGTATCATTTGAAGATCGCCTCAACGGCATTTTATCTTCAAGTCAAATAATTTATAGGTGTAATTGCCAGGTACTGTCTTGGATGAGTATGGATATGTATCATATTCGGAGGCTTAAAAGTCTTATTAATGTTGTCTCTGTAAAATCTTTCGAAGTCTTAACCGCTACATAGCTAAACTTTTGACTGAGATATACAGACCTTCAAGAATTAGTTTCCTCTTTTATTTGTTGACTGGAAAGCATGACGTATTCTTGTTTATTGCTCTACATGTCGCCATTGTTTTTGCAAAATCTTGTTAAAAGATTGACTACTATTTTTTAAACTTAGGGTTTCAGCGAAGGGCCGCCGTAAAGAAGTTCATGGATTTAGGGGGCCAGTCACTTAGGGGGAGGGGGATTTTGGAGAAGATCACAAGGCTTTTAGGGGGATTAGAGGGGGGTTCATGTGTCACTAACAGAGTTTAAAGGAGGAACTATGGAAAATTGACCGCGGATTAACTGTCGATGGGGGGATTATAGGAATATTGCAAAGCCTCATAGGGGGATCAGGATAATTTTATCGTGACACAACCAAAATCCTCCGACCTCTGAAAAGGCGGGAATTGGATTCCCTACATACGGTTCCCGGATGTAGTGGTCGTATTGGTTCCACGAGTGTTTTAGTTTTCGGTAAACCACTCACGCCCATACAATAATTAGATTTATAGGGGGGATTTTCTATTGTTCCAGCCAACTGCAAAAACCCCGGAAATCCATCCAACGGAAAGCGAAATGGGAGCGATTTTGGTCATGGTAAACAGGTAAACTTCACCTGCACGGAAGGTTTCATGCTAGTGGGAAGCGCAACATCTGTTTGTCATAAGGGTACATGGAGTCATACCCTTCCTCAATGCAAAGGTAAGTTGTGTTACTTTGTGATGTGGGTTCATGATTTTCCTTGACTGGCCCTCTTTGCGCTGGAATTTAGAATGCTTCCGTCCTATCCCATTTATTCCATAGGATTATTCAGAGAAAGTAATGCCTTTTGAATAGCATTTTTCGTTTCCCGCAGCACTTAAGTAACAAAGATGATGTGAACGGAACAAATAATATTTTGACTTCTTGTTGATTACTTTTCCTCTCTCTCCATTCGTACCGGGATTCGTACCTCGGCGATTTGAGGGCGCCGGTTGAAGCAAAGTCTATTCGTAATTTTTTTATGGCTTTAATATCTGCAAGTACACTTGTGAGCGCGGGATCGATGTAGTATTGGTACTTTATGAGATTACTAGAGTTAAAAAAAAACTCTCTTCCTAACGATCGAAATGCTATCAATTCAAAAGGAAATTGAAAATAATTTGTATGGAGCTTTTGGTGCTCGTCTTGAATCTTCAAATTTTCATGTTGCTATTCGTTTTTTTTTTGTCTGTTTTTCATAACTAAACGTGTAAAAAGCTACCTGTAAAGATCCTGGAGTCCCAGTGAATGGAAAGAGAAAAGGAAAGTCATTCGTCGATGGCGACACAGTAGAGTTTACTTGCGACGAAAACTTTAGCCTCTCTGGTTCATCGATCAGTCGTTGTTTGGGTGGAAGGTGGAGCGTGGCTTTGCCAGAATGCAAAGGTTAGAAAATGCTTTATCATCTCTTTATCTCATACCTCATGTTGAATTACTCCGACAATAAAAATACGCTCAAGAAAGTTTGCTAACGTTAATTTTCCATCACCTTGTTGAGAGCCTTTAAAAAGTTACTGGAATCCTCTTGTGTAGCACCTTCCACCAAAGAGAATCAAAGGATACCAGGAACAGTCAGGCAACGTGACAAGGAAAGTCATTGGACATTGGCGATGGACTTATGATACCCCTCCGGGAATAGCATCATGACTCGAAAATTCCTAATGCTAAGAAAGGCATATCAAACTTTGCCTATTGTCATGGTTGTATTCGTTTTAAGTCAATGGCGCTATTGTTCATTATCCTCCGAGACCTTTTCATCAGATGGTTTAAATTGCGCTCAGCAAGTGTTGAATTCAGGCGAGGAAAACTTTTTCGGTTGAACAACTTCTGCCTAAGGGTGACATTCTTAGGCATTAATGTAGCTCAAAACATTTGAAGACAAAAATTGGATTGGGAGGGAGGGAGAGGGGATTGATGGAGACAAGTTCAGGTAGATATGCAAGACAATATCGCATGCTGACATTGCCTTCATCTAGGAAGCTTGAAATGTTTCTCGTGACCGTCAGCAACCTGCATTTTTTATTCAGTGTTAAACAGCTTAGCTTTCCGTTACTGTATCTTAAAAGTGACTTTAAAGTGATTGTTTAAAAAGAACTACGTTTCCAAGTAGCATGTTGTGTGTTTATGCGCTCTCAAGTTTAATAACCTTTGGTTTTGTTTTAATTACAGCTTCTTGCCCAGACCCCGGTATACCTGTGAATGGTGAAAGGGTTGATGGGAGTTTTGAACACGGCAAGCACTTACAGTTCAAGTGCAAACCAGGATTTTGGCTGGTAGGAAGTCAACTGATCTTTTGTAATGAGGGCACGTGGAGCAACGAAATTCCCACGTGTAGAGGTATGAAACTCAAAAACTTTACGCGTCCTTCTTTAATGAAGTTACGATAACACCATAACAGTTAAAGGCCCTCTAAGGCTTTGACGCAGATGTGACCAAAATATAACTAATCTTGGCAATATGAATACATTATCTAGCAAATGACGATGTCTAGCAGTTACAAGTGAGAATCAATACAGATCTTTGGAATCTTAGGAATAACACCATCACTTGATATGAGAGCGATCTTCGCAGTAACGACCATGTCGGGTCATGAATTATGGTTGTGATAATCCATGTATTTTAGGGCCAATAGGTGATCGTATACTGGTTGCTAGCTCGGGGATATCCTAACTTAAATAACATCAGACGTAACGATCGTTTGTGGAGGTCAACCTTGCTTTACGGCGACAAATGGAAGTGCAGTTCTGAAACGCTCCTTCTAGGGTAACGTAATGACTCTCTTTTGAAGCTGTTTGTAGAGATCCTGGAGTGCCAGAAAATGGAATCAGGATCGGAGACGATTTTGGAGATAGCCAGATGGTGGCTTACAGATGTAATGAAAACTTTAACTTGGTAGGCTCACCTACCTCGTTTTGCATAGCTGGACACTGGAATACAACAAAGCCAACTTGTAAAGGTAAGCAGCAAGATAACGTCAGGAATGACGCTACTTGAGAAAACGAAGGTTGTTCTCTTAGCCACCTGGTTAGGAAAGTTTTCCCCTTTTGCTCGGTCTGAAAAAGAAACTCACGACTTCCTGGGGATCTCTTCAATTTATGCACTGCTCTTTAGAAAATTTTTTCTTTTAGTTGAAGGAACGTTTTCTTCTATGTGAATTCTGCCGTGCTGCTCTCTAAAGATAGCGAGACTTTTGCTAACAGCCATGTACACCATAAAATCCCGCAATCATTTTACATTCCACACGGATCCAGATATCGTTTTCGTTTAACGTCATACGGGAACAGTTTCAACTTTCTTCACTTAAGAGAATGATTTGGAAAACTTACGCCGTTTATGTAAAAAGGAAAAGCGTTTTCAGGCGTAAATGTCAATTGCAGCATCCTGTCCTGATCCTGGTGTACCGAGTCATGGCAGAAGAATCGGTTCTAATTTTGGTCACGGTGGCCTGGTGACATTCGTGTGTTTAAAGGATTTCAACTTGATAGGAAGCCAGTCCATGACTTGTCACGACGGAAAATGGAGTTCTGTTGTCCCTGTTTGCAAAGGTAATCTATGAAAATAAATTTTGTCATCATTTCTAAGTCTCACGCATAAAATCGATCCTCAATTTTGCGACGGCGTCACGAACATGCTGAGAAAGTTCGCTGGAACTATGATTGTACAAAAGGAGAAACGTAATTCGCCTGAGAGATTTCAAATTTCCGGTAATTTTAAAGCCTTTGGGAAATTATCAGAGATAACCAAATATGTTTTAGTCTTTTTCTATTTCGTACGTTTAAGCAGTCTTTGAAACTTCTATTCGGAAAGGAGTAAATTGTCCAATGCCGAAGTCTTGAGAGATTTAATAATACTTGGCATAAAATCAGTCCACTGTTCACCTGGCTGTAGAGTCACTGGCTTTTCAGTATTATATATGTCTTTTGTATGTCCTAAGCATCATGTAAGGACCCAGGCTCTCCCAACAATGGAGTCAGACATGGTAACGACTTTGATCACAACAAGCGAATATCCTTCACATGTCTCCCGGGATTTCAACTGACGGGGACTTCGAACGCGGTGTGTATCAATGGAAAGTGGAGTGCATCCATGCCTCAATGCAAAGGTGAATTGTTACGAACTCAATTTATGATTACCGTTTAACTTTTATGCCTTTGGAAAACCTGTGATAAAAGGAATGCTGCTTTGTTTCGCCTTATGTGCGAAATCTAACGGTGCAAGTTGTTTTATCCTCAAGATGAATGCCATACAATGTAACTTTATTTAAAGTCGAGACTATTCCCAGTTAAGGAAGCGAAGGTTTCGTGAAAAAAGAAAACTCATAAAACTATTTTAGCCCCCTCCTTCCGACCACAAAAATCGCGCCAATTATAAAACGGTTACTGTTATTTGCGACTCCTTGAGCAAGGCCTTATTCTTACCCTTCTTGGAGCCAAATATTAGCCAAGAACCAAAGTACAATTTGCCGCCGAACTTGCCAGATTTATTGAACGATTTTAGGCTCAGACCCTTCGATTTTATTTCGGTTGCTGATATAATAATAATATCTATTAAACATCGAATCAAATAAACTCAACACAGTTTAGAATTCACACTCTCAAATCAATGATCAGTATCAGTCAAATCATTGAGACAAGATATTCCGGTATTCACATCGTCATTCTGAATTATAGCTGTTTGCGTCGATCCTGGTAAGCCTGTTCATGGAAACAGAATAGGGAATACCTTCCTTGATGGTCAGGCTGTGGCATTCAGTTGCCAACCGGGTCACACACTGATTGGCGCGCCGATTCTGCGGTGCGTTGCTGGAAAATGGAATAAGCCAACACCCGAGTGTAAAGGTAAGTTTTTTAAGAGGCGTTTAGCAACACCAAGATTATTTTGCCTCCAACCCAAGCTCAATTGTTTTTCCCCAATATTCAATATGATATAGTCGAGTCTATTATGTCTCATAGACAGTATGGTACAACGGTGCGCCCTTATTTTGATTGGCACAAGTCGACTGACCAACTAATGGTCACTCTGCCTTTTCGAAATTGTACCTTACCATGTAAATTTTTTTATTGAAATGCTTTTAAAACTAGCAAACGATAGAGAGGGCTTCGCGTTACATTAATTGAGTGTCATTATACACTTAAGTTAGAAATCTATTTGGTAAACATAAAAAGATTCGAACGTCTGTCATATCAGTTGATCTCATGTGTTATTGTATGATCCTTTTGACTCATTACTCAGTCTGAAAGTCCAGTCGAGTCACTGTTAATAAATTCGTATTTTGTTTGTTCATTTCAAGCCTCGTGTCCAGACCCTGTTGCTCCTATAAATGGCCGAGCTATTGATCTAAAGCCTGGTTACCGTCACGGAGAACGAGCGAAGTTTTCGTGCGATTCAGGTTTTAAATTGATAGGATCATCAAACATCAGGTGTCTCGATGGAAACTGGAGCTCGACGGCTCCCTTATGTACAGGTATAGTTCGGTTACGTTTTTTTGATCGACTCAAATGTAATCGTCGTCCAAAGGAGCACATAATACAATATAGCTAGTTTAATGAACAAATTTAAAGTGAATGGTTTCGTGATCTTAGCCTGTAAAGTGCTTACAATCCAACGACAATGGATCATCAAATGTCGTTAATATCGAGTTGAAGTATGTTTGCAAGCTCAAAGTAATCAAAGTCAATTCCTTACGAGTCTACATCCATACAAATTAACTTACAAATCAGCTAGAATATTAACAGTTTCCTTTCGCGGATAAGTGATAAAGCAGTCGGATTCATTTACTCTCTCTATTGCGTTGTAATTTGTTAGTTTCCAGGTTTCATAGATCATTAGCACAGTAGCTCTGCTGTGTTTTAAACTGTGAATTAATTCATCCTACAATCTAGCTGTCGTCATAAGTGACGAGGTCGTAACTTTAATCAGAAAAGAAGAAACTCTTTTTGCGAAAAAAATTTTGCATTTTCGCCAGTTTCGTATTCGGAAAGACAGGACGTTTTCAGATCAGAAGTTGTGCTTCCCAATTGAAACTCTAACTATTAAATTGGAGCGTTTCGCACTCATGATTAGGACAATGACTCTGTCTTTTGAGAAAACCAAACTAAAGGGGACGGACTCTTGAAACATAAATAAGATGCCATAACTCTTCTGTGTGATTCTCACGCTAGATATCGACGAGTGTTCAGAGGGAGTATCCCGCTGTCACTCCAACGCTGAGTGCTCAAACACCATTGGTTCTTTTACGTGCAGATGTAACGCAGGCTCAGCTGGAAATGGCAAGACTTGTTTGAGTAAGGAAAGATAACTTGATTGCTTGTTATACTCCAGAAGTAGGGCGTATTCAACCTTATACCGTATACCGCGTTTAAAAATCTTAAGAAGTTCTCAAGATGGCGTCCTGAGTTGCCCGCAGCCTTCTCAACATATTTGGCGGTGTGAGAATTTGTGGTGGACTATTTTCGGAAGTCGCACATCAACATAAAGATAGCTTAGCATATTTTGAGGTTCCGTAAGATTATGTGATTATTGATATCCTTATTACTATTTGCAATCATGCGTAGTATCGGCTCAATGCTGCCAAGCCGGCTGAAAAGTGTGTATTTGTGAGTTTTACAGAATGCTATATGTCCCATATAGCTGTTTAACTTTGCCGAAATTATTCAACCCGTGGCTGAGAGGCTATGGAAACCTTACTCCTCCTATTTTCTTCATCAGAGAACTGCAATGATCCAGGCACACCACAAAATGGTCAAAGAAACGGCAGTGATTTCGTTCATGAAAGTAAAGTAACTTTTACATGCCAAACTGATTTTAAGCTTGTCGGAAGCAGTAGTATTACTTGTCGTGATGGAACATGGAGTGGCAGAGTTCCTATATGTATGGGTAAGCGAGGATAATAGCACTTAAAATGATGTCTTTGGTCAGAATCTTCCACATACCTTGCGCGATCCGAAATCACAAAATTCGTATAAACTTGATATAATCGGGGTGAACAAATTTCAGTTTAACGTAATTCAGCGTAAAACACATTTCTAACCTGTTTCATGACAGCAGGACCCGTTCAGCAAATTTTTGAGTGGGGTAGCTAGAGAAGAACTTATAAGCTTTAGCCAACAAGGGGATAGGGTATGCTTAGCAGGAGAAGTTATTTTTAAAAAAGTATAGGGAAGGGGGTTGGTGGGGGGAAGCCTCCTCCCTCAGCCCCTCCCTCCGCGCGATCTCTAGAAAGGAACAACCTTCGCTACCCTTTTTCCCAAATATCGCTTCTTTCGGAGGGTTGCTACTTTCCTGTGACTAAAACACGTAACTTCAAGTAAAAATTAAACAGTGTTATCAAGAAAAACGATAAAATTAAAACAGACAAATTTCGCAGTAACAGGTAACTACGCGATACAATAGTCCTTGCTGTAAGAGCTTTACGGTGTTTCTTTTTTTAATGAGCCAGCTGCAAAAATACAGGAGTTGCACGAAATTGCGCAGCGACAGTTCAATTGCATGAAAAATTTACGCGCGCCTTTCTATTCTAAATTACACTCGAAAAAACTAGATAATCTATACCTATTGAGCACGAACCAAGGTTCATAGAGTGTTCTCTCAGCAGTTTGAAGACATCAGTCCCAAATCTTATCATAAATAACATCATTGGTAACCTACCAAAAGTAATATATAAAAATTAACATGATTCGACCAGGTAGACCACGTTACGTCGGCAAAAATAAACTCTTATGGTTTGTTCCGGCGTCCAATCGGTTTGTTTAGAAACTTGCATGCGACCGCGACATTTAATCGGTTCTTTCGAAGATCCTAACTTCCAAGTTTCATTTTTCCTTCTCTAGCCAGCTGCAACGATCCAGGAGTTCCCTTGAATGGTTCCAGGACAGGCGACAACTTTCAACACGGACAAGCTGTCAGCTTTTCATGTGATCGTGGCTACACGTTGATTGGTAGGAAGGCAATAAGGTGTCAGAAAGGAGTATGGAGTTCATCTTTACCGCAGTGTAAAAGTAAGTGGCTATGATAACTAGCAGTTGTATTGGATTATCGACTATATAGTTCGAAATCTTGGTCACCTTGGAGGTATGCTGAGTGACCTTCCAGACCTTCCAGTCCGATTTCTTTAGTTGATACAGAGTAAACAACGGCAAGCTGTCTAACAAAAACCCCCAATATTTTGTAACATGAAGGCCAGTTTACTGTCTACTAATCTTTACTTCCTTAGTGAGCTGCAATGATCCAGGTAGGCCAGCCAACGGCCAAAGAAGAGGCAATGATTTCCACCACACAAAGACAGTAACTTTTACATGTCAACCTAATTTTACGCTTGCTGGCAGCAGAGCTATTACCTGCCGTGATGGAACATGGAGTGGCAGAGTTCCAGTGTGTATGGGTAAGCCATGAGACAACTGGGCATACTCCTTGTGCGACCAGAAATCTCTGTAGTATTCAGTCGAAAAACTGCAAGCCGGTAAATGGCATATATGTCGATTGTTACTCAGTTAATTTCTTTTGGCCTGCTTTTCATGCTTTACCATGGTGATATCTTTATGTCACTGAGTTTAACTGAGAAGACCTAAGCTTGAGAGCTTCTTTTGATTAATAAGAATATTCCAATTAAACCGTAAAACGAGCTGAGCTTTTTGAGCACTAACAGGCAAACGAAATGTGCTATACCTGTCATTAGTCGCTTTTTGTTTGCTGATGTGAAGAAGAAGGCATTTTGAAAATCTCAGGGAGGTCGTTACTTAACTGTGAAGGGTTAAGTTTGTGGAAGGGCTTGAAGGTTGTGAAAGGTATGAGCAGTCCTTAGCCCTATGATGTTGTTTCCTTTGTTTTTTCTTTTAGCGAGCTGCAAAAATCCTGGAGTTCCACGTCATGGTGTAAGGCCAAGCGACAACTTCCAACATGGACAAACAGTCAATTTTGGGTGTAAAAGTGGCCACACATTGATCGGTAGTAAATCAATAAGATGTCAGAATGGAGTTTGGAGTTCATCTTTACCGCAGTGTAAAGGTAAGAGGCTTTTTTTCTAAAGGGATTTTGACACACAAATTTCACATGGAATTTGTATGCTTATATCTTTTTTCCTTCAGAGACATGCGATAATCCAGGTACACCGAAAAACGGCCAAAGAAAAGGCAGTGATTTCCGTCACGGAAGGAATGTAACTTTTACGTGTCAAACTGATTTTAAGCTTCTCGGTAGCGAGACTTTAACCTGCCATGATGGAACATGGAGTGGCAGAATTCCCGTATGTTCAGGTAATCAAGGATAATAACAGTTGAAAATAGTGTAGTTGTAAGTGATGAACAGAATGACTTAAAAGTTAGTTCCACATACTTTATGTGTTGGATCCGAAATCACAAATGAATATGGCAACTTATCAAGCAGTCTGAAGCAATTTTACAGGTTTTACTGTTTTACTTTCGTCTCGCCCAAAGTGCTGTTACCACAGATATATTCTTATCTACTTACCTACTGTTGAGGTTATAACTTTAAATGGGTCGTTACGTTCTTCGTTTCTAGCCAGCTGCAAAGATCCAGGAGTTCCACTGAATGGTTCCAGGACAGGCGACAATTTTGAACAGGGAGAGACAGTCAGTTTTTCATGTAATCGTGGCTACACTTTGATTGGTAGGAAGGTCATAAGGTGTCATAAAAGAGTATGGAGTTCATCTTTACCACAGTGTAAAAGTAAGTGGCTCTCATTTCGAGTAGATGTATCGACTTAAGAATTTCAATTTGAAAATTTCAATCACTGGGGAAATGACCTTTATAATAAAAGACACGTATTTACCGAGACGCAATCAAGAAAAATGCGCTGAAAATAACCCTCTTCAACTGAGTCTTTTCAAAATTTTTTTGCAGAGCACAGTGGGTAAAAAAATGTCTCATCCTTGCTTAAGAAACAAAATTGAAAAGTACACAGTTAAATTGAGATTACGTGAGCATCGTTACTCGCCCGACACCCCTACTTCACTCCATTATTTTTTTTTACCGTGGGATCCCTCATGATTGACCTACCGATTCACTATCTCACCATCACTGACGTTTATTTTTCCATGGTAGAATCCTGCACTGATCCTGGTAAACCACGGAATGGTCGCAAAATTGGGGGAGATTACCGTCACGGAAGGACAGTGTCTTTTGTTTGCCAACCTACGTTTAAACTGACAGGAGTGAACAGAATCACATGCCGTGATGGGACATGGAGTGGCAATGGCCCCACATGTAGAGGTAGCTTTTAACCGAGGTTAAAGTCAACATAGAAGAAACAATGACTGTGTCTTTTCTGGAAGCGAGTTAACAATGAAATAGGAAAAAACAAAAAAAAATGGAGATAAATTTCAGCTTGTCTGTTAATCGTGTTCTTTTTTGAACTCTTACAACCTTCTCGATTTGTGCTTTCTGCGCTTCCTAAAACAGAATAAGCGAGTGTTTCCTGTGGAGAATCCTACATTACTATCTCATTGGCCTTTAGTAGCGGGTGTATCCCAGGTTTTTGTCGTCGTTGTGGTTGTTTGAATCGTCATTAAACATTGTCACTTTTCGTACAGCGAGGGGAGTCATATGCACCCCTCCCTCTGTGCTTTCACAGAGTAGGTTAGTTAAAATGAACGAATTCCCTCAAAGTACACTGAAGTTCCTTGAAGGGTTAGAGAACTAACTAAATGCTCATTTTTCTGTTCCCAGCGACATGTCGAGCCCCGACCAACATAAAACATGGCTCTTACATCGGAAGTAATTATGCTGGAGACAGCGTCACATTCACATGTGACGATCAGTACTTTTTAGATGGCTCTTCTGTCATCACTTGTGTTAATGGGCGATGGAATGGAACTTCACCCATCTGTAGAGGTAAAGTAAAGTTGAAAAAGTGCGTTGGTTACGGTTGCTTCGGTTCTCGCTAAAACATGGCTGATATTGACACAAAATATCCCCGGGTTCTATTAACACCATCAGGCTTAGATAATGCGAAAAGAAAAAAAATTAAAATGCTTTCAACCAAGTCGACTGCAGTGATATATACTTATGTCGATAAATAGATTAAAGATATGCAACCACTCTTTAGAAATATCTAAGTGGACGAACATCACTTTTCGGTTTATTACTTTCCTTCCAGCTCCGTGCTCTCCTCCGATTCCACCAGCTAACGGTTTCGTCTTTGGTGATAACCACCAACACCAATCGCTTGTTCAGTTCTGGTGCGATCAAGGTTATATATTAGAGGGCCCAGCATCCCGTGAGTGTATCGATGGAAAGTGGAAAAAGAAAGCTCCATACTGTAAAGGTAATTTACACTACACATGATTTCAGTACCAAAGTAAAAGAGACCATCGGTACTTTTAGAATTATTGACCTGGCAACACCTCTTCCAGGTACTAACATTGCCGAAAGTAGCATCACCGTGTTAAGGGACTTTTCTATTTAAAACGGTTTATTTTCATTTTCGCATGTATTTTTCAGTTTCCAATAAAAAAGTGCAAATTTGTTTTGGATATAAAATACAATCTGCCATGAAAAATTGGCACACGAAGCGAAATTAACCAATTCCTCGTTTAACCTGTCAACCTCCTTTATGACAACACAGTCACAATATTGTAGTGTTAAGACAGCATATTGCAGAGTGGTTCGAGAGTTTTGAGTGTCATCCGGAAGCACAAGAACGAAGCTTTACTGAGTTTACTCTTCGAAGGAACAACAAGCGCATGGGGACCGAAAAATAATTGTTGAGTATGCTCTTTAATGTTAAGAAATCCTGCTGTGAGATTTATTCAAAACACCTTTTCAGACACCAAATCATGTAGAAAGCCTACCCTTCCGCCGAATGCATATCTTAGACCCTCGCAGTCTCAGATGGAAGTGTTTCCTAATGGTGCAAGATTGTATTATCTGTGCAATCCAGGATACTGGCGGTCTGGATTTTCCATTCAAAGATGTGAGAATGGAAAATGGACCAAAGCGACTCTCAGATGTCAACGTAAGTATTTTAGAATCTTTCAATTACGTGAAGGAAGTGTATATTTAGAGCATAGTCCCCTCGATTAACTATGTTTAGAGCACTGAACTGTAGCAAGACAAACAATTAAATGAAGAAACAGCAGCTCGAGTAGAATAGGCCACTTCCGAGTTCTCGCGGTTCAGTGATCTGGGGACGAAATTACGGCGCGAGAACGAGGCTAAAGGCGAGGTCGCTCTCATCGGTGTGAAGGATCAACTGCCGTGGTGGTGAAAATGAGCGAAACTTTTTTAAAATTCAATGTGGGAGAGTGAAAAATTATTTGTGGGAGAGCGGCGTACAGTTAAGTGATGGCAGCAGAGGAAAGAAAAATGCAGAACTGTTCGATTTATACAAGAAAGCTGCAGCAATGAAGAAAATCAAACTAACCTTGTCTGCAATGGGCTATTACGTAGAAGGTTTACCCATTATATTTAAATTACGTCTTCAAAGTTTGTTTTCTTTTTCATCCTATGGGGGAAAAAAATTAATGAGCGCTCTTTGCCTTTCCTTATCGTTTAGACATCTGATTTTCATTTAATTTGAGCCAGGGTTGGGGCAGAAGGCTGTCAAAGTCACTGCCAAGTTTCACAACTTCTTTAGTGACAGTCTGGAGTATTATGAATTCAAGAGTTATTCACAAAATCTGTTTCCGTTTTACTCTCTCGCACAGCAAGATCTTGTGGTGACCCAGGATCGATTACAAATGGCGAAAAAAGCGGCTACGTGTATACATACAATAGCACAGTCGAGTACTCTTGTCATCCTGGATATTCAATTGTGGGATCCAAGACTCGTTTATGCCAAGCCAACGGAACATGGAGTGGAACATTACCCCGATGCACAAGTGCGTTTGACTGTTTGTTCGCCTTCATTGTTTGTTTTTTTTTTCTTGGCTGCCGTGAAATTGAACTAACCCCTTATACCGTTAAATCGCAACACAAGAGTATTTAGATTTCTTGAAACCTATCGAGGATGCGAGGCACCTAAAGTGAAGACGAAAAAATCGCCCTCGCCTAAAAAATTTACTGCGACTTCAGAAGAAAACAATACTTCCTTAGAGCCTCTAACTTAACGGGGAAAGTCAAAAATTGTTTGGAGTACAAATTAGATAAATTGCATGAATCTCAGCGGTTCCTTTACTGGAATCGTTTTTCGCCGTAGGCAATATTCGTTCATTGTAGATATCGACTGATGTAGCAGCTAGTCTACTTCGCCGCCGGGATGTCACGGATATTTAATGGGGACTGACTGAATAACTGACAGAGTGACTTCCTCAAGGACTGATTGACTCAGTTATAGAAGACGCTCGTAACACCACCCTGTAACTCGTTCGCACTTAATCCAATAATTCTTTAAATTCTTCAAGAGGTGAAATGTCGTCCTCTTACTGCTCCTCCAAATGGAAGGATTGTCGAATCTTCCACTTCCCTCAACGGAAAAGTGACATTCCGCTGCGTTGGCATGCGATATAAATTGGTTGGACCGTCAACACGGACGTGTCTCTCAAATGGACAGTGGAGCGGTACACAGCCATCATGTGATTGTAAGTCTGTTACATAAATTAGCTTAACTTGAACCTCTGATGTACGTTGAGGTTAATTGGTTCTGTGAGCACCTTTACTGACACCAAGGGGAAGTTATTGGAGAGACACAAAAGAAAACAGAAATTTGGGTCGTACTCTACCTGGTCATAGCAGTGTGAGAGACCATAGGAACATTATCAATCTAGTTCCGTGACTTTATTCTCCCTTTCACGACTGAATATTAAAAGATATCGATCCCAGCGGTTGAGTTGGATGTGTACATTGTTGTTACTGTCTCCTTTCATCGACCACCAAAGGAATTTTCCCATTGATGGGGCTTTGTGTCCATCCATTTTTAAAGTCTTGTTTTTAAATACTTAACTATGAAGAACTATTAATTTCTCCAGGTAAATATTCCGCTTAGTTAATTACGTTACAACTTTCGGATATTTTTCAGTGATTGTTTGTCCGGATCCCGGAATTCCTGTAAACGGCAACAGATTCAACCGCACTAACTCTGTGCGATTTTCTTGCAAAGGAAAATACAAACTTGTTGGAGCATATATAATCTACTGCATGAAAGATGGTACCTGGAGCAGACCTACGCCTAAATGTTTAGGTTAGCAGAATTCTTGATTTGTTTTCTGTAATCACAATGAAAACGAAATAAAAAATGAAACGCAAAGATAAGTCAGTTGTGAGTGGAATGAAGAGTTCCCCGTGCCTTGTTAGGTTAATTTGTTTGGGAGAGAATTTTCTCTATATTCATCATTTCCCATACACATTTGGTCGTTAATTCTTCGTGGAAGCTATCGAGTATCGGAAGGTCATACGGCTTGTTTCTGATAAAGCAGAAATCTGTCTAAGGTGCAAGAAGTGCACTAGTGGCGGTGTAGGCTATGGACATAGATCAAGATCTGTTCATTCATAGAACGGTCCCGTACTTGTATTTAGGGTTTATGAAAAATCCACGAACACCATGTGGTAAATACTATCAATCAAATTATACTGTTTTTCTTTTGTCAGTATTCTTCATACATCAAACGTATCGTTTCATTTTGCTTTTGAATTTCAGCCCCATGCCCAAACCCCGGCACGCCCAAATATGGCAGACGGAGTGCAAGTGATTTCAGACATAACCGAAAAGTTCGATTCCGTTGTAAAAAGAATTTTCGACTTGTCGGCTCTAAAGAAATAACTTGCAGAAACGGACAATGGAGTGGAGCTACACCTACTTGTCAAAAAAGAAACTTGCCTTGAGAAGGGAAGAAAGAACAATCAGAAAAAACTATTGACAAGGAGAATCATTTTTAAGCTTTTAAGTATATAGATAATATTATTTTTGTTTCATATTAACAATATCAAAGATATGCTGTAGGTTTGAGTTCTGCTGTTTCTATAATATTCTTGCTTCTGTAATTTATTGTTAATGGCTTTTATCATGTTTCCGATTGAGGTCGGCAGTTGAACCTTCTACGACGCCTACCGCTCCGGCGAGAACAGCCAATTTGCTGTAGCCCCAAGATACTTCCAGTTGTAGGAAGATTCAATTTTAGTTACAACAAATTTAAAGCATCATTAGATGCGCAGGCTAGACAACAATTTGTCCACAAATAGTGGAGTAAAGCTATTAAAGACATTTAAAGTTAAAAATACCAAAAATGATTCTTGTTTTAAAATTGTTCTCTAAATGTTGCATTGGTCTCTTTTACTATTCTGATACTTAGCACTTAATAACTTGTCTGGGATGTTCCTCTGGCTAGTTCGCGGCTTTTCCCTTCCTTGAGATTGGCAGACTGTCTGTGGTTGTCCTTTGATATTGTGCCATGCATTTCATTCGTTGAAGAGCCTGAAGTGTTTCTCTTACGTAGAGGTGATTGTCCGGAAAGTCATATTGGCGAATTGCCAGTAGTAATCTTCAGCAGAGCTTATTTAGGACTTCCTCTCACTGATAACCAGGGAAGTACAGACTCCGCCTGACACGTAACCGGTTACTAATGTCGCATCTGATGTTAAATGCCCCTTCCACGAACTGCTTGGCTTTTTTCGAAGCCCTTGAAGAGAAGTCGTCCCAAATTGTTTAAAATAATTTCGACCCATTCTTGCTTTTCTCCACAAATCTCTATTTGAAAAAAAAATTAACAATGCTCCCTGGAAACACTCGTCAGCCTCATCATGATAGAGAAGAATTAGCTCTTGCATTTCCTTATCCAACTAAACATTCTGATAAATCTTTGTGTATCAATCCATATATCTCGGGAAGGTAGAGAGTGCCTCTTAGTAAACCTCAGTTACGCGATAAACTAAAGTTCGCAGACCTAAATAGCGTAGACATTCTGCCACAATTTGGTGTTTGTTTGTTTTCATACGTCGCCTAATAGTCACAGACCTCTCTAAGTATTTGATTGTGATAACGAGTTCATCGAAATCAATCGAAGCACGTCCACAAAAGAAAATTAAAAGAGGCAAAGTCTCTCCTTCACTTTCATTTGCAATGAAATGCTTCACTTTTTCCAAGCTCTGAACAGCTGGACGTTTGCCATAGGAAAGACATGCGGTCGCACATGAAGTAAAGAACTAAAAGTCACCAAGTGCTGTAACTGTTGCAATTTGACCATTAAATTCAGGGTTTTTGACGAAGGAGAGCTGAAACGAAATTACATAATCAAGGGTAGCACTCAAATGCTCCATAAAAATTGGTGAAATTGAGGCCTCTTGGCTATTTCTCGCGCTTACTGCATTACCAATTCAGAAACTAAAAGCTGGACTGGACTTTCCCAGACGTCAATGATGCGTGAAATACAAACAAAACAGCATGAGATTGTTGTAGTGTAGAATGGTAGGGACTAAAATAACTCTTTTGAGTTATCAACTCAACTTGAATGAAAAAGAAAAAAAAAACGTTTAACGGCAACTTGGTGGACGCGTCCTCCCCCTAGTTAGCATTTTCTTTGAAGAATGCGTAATAGTGAGTGAGTGAAATTAGATGTAACTCACCGCCTGCTGTTTTAAAAGAATTTTCCATCCACCCACAGAGACATTTTCAAATAAAAGGAACGCACTCAAAGTTAAGAATACGGAAAACGAGGAAAAAGGGGGAATAGTTTTCGATTGCAATAAATAAGACTTAAAACTTATACAGATAGCTTAGGGTAGAGGAACGCACTCAAAGTTAAGAATACGGAAAACGAGGAAAAAGGGGGAATAGTTTTCGATTGCAATAAATAAGACTTAAAACTTATACAGATAGCTTAGGGTAGAGGAACGCACTCAAAGTTAAGAATACGGAAAACGAGGAAAAAGGGGGAATAGTTTTCGATTGCAATAAATAAGACTTAAAACTTATACAGATAGCTTAGGGTAGAGGGTTTATGCGTCCAGTTAAGAACAAGTAAATTAATAAAGAAAACCAAAGATTTATTTAGCGTCTAAACTTATAAAATGTTTTAATCTCAAAACAGAATTTAGTCTATGTAGATACAAGTATTCCAAATTCTATACGATAATCTTAATTTTAAAAATGATGGAACAATTACTCTTTGAAATAATAAAACTGGAACTTAGCGCCCCCCGCCCCCCCTTTAAGAACTAGATTAATCGTCCAATCGATACATTGATCGTTGCGAATACCATATAGGACTGATGTGGAGTTCCTAAAGGGTAACCCGCTCTTAAAAAGTGCGCGAGGTGGCCAAGCCGACATTGGAAGTAGGTTCAACTTTTCACTCACTGACAATTTTCTGCGATAATAATTTCAATTATTTAAATTAATGACTTAACCTACACGAGTCACCAGCCGAAAGAGACATACTAACCAATCGGAGGGCACAAGCCTGTCTTTTCAGCCAATCGGGAACAAGAACAAATCGAACCTTTTTCCCGCGCTTGCCTAAAACTGCATTTATGAGGTCGAGTTTTCCCGCGAGTTTCACCATCGCTATACGTTTCCCCGTTTTGACCTGTACTCAAACGTTTTCAGCTGGCGCTTGTTGGCCATTACAAACGCAAAATTCTTGGAGTTGTAATGATTTCCGTCATTATCACCTCTTTAACCCTTCGCTCCCATGATCTCATGAATAATTCTCCTTACTGTCTGCCATACAATTCTTATGATGTTAGTTCGGAGAATTTGGTATTGGATCAACTAATAATCCCCCAATCCTTGTGTGCTTGATATTGTACAGATGTTGCCAGAAGAAATTCTGTCTTGGTCACTCATGGGAGTTACAAGGTTAAGTGAGCGTTATTTATGGATGGCTTCAGATACTCAACTAAAAGCTCAACTAACCAATAATTGCGCCATCTTTAATAGCTAACAAGCTGCTTTAATACCAGTTATATTTTGTAGAAACTATTATATATATTTTGTATATATTATAGTTCGGAGAATTTAAAATTGGATCAACTAATAACAGCAGCTAACAAGCTGCTGTTATTAGTTTTATTTTGTATAAATTGTTGTATAAATTTTGTATACATTATAGTTCGGAGAATTTGGTACTGAATCAACTAATAATCCCCTAAATGATATTTCTTTTTATTCTCATCACACTTATGTGCTTGACATCGTACGGATATCGCCAAGAGAAATTCTGTCTTGGTCACTCATGGAAGTTAGAGGATTAAGTGAGTAACTGAGTATCTGAATGGCTTCAGATAATCAATTAAAAGCTCAACTAACCAATCATTGCGCTAAATTTAAAAGCTAACAAGGTGCTTTATCAGTTATATTTTGACAAAAAACTTAATGTAATAAAGGTAATATGAAATGATGAGCCAGACGGCCGTGCCGACCAGGTTCATAGCCAGTAGGTCTGCGTGTTGCACGTGACCGCTGACTGTCCAGCAAAATGGGAAGTATCTTCCCAGAATTTCACTTCCCACGTAAACTAGAATAGAGTTCATTCCTGCAAGATATTAAATAACAATCCAAATGTTTTTCAAAAGAAAAAGTTAGGTGTTAACCAGACAATTTGCCTGTTAACCCTCAGCCTCCTGCGTCGAATTTTATCGACGTAAGCAAGAGAAATAAGATCACCCATGACGTCACAGCCTTGTACGTCACCTCTTTTGTTTCGCTTGGTTGACAAAAAGGTACTGAAAGTAAAGTGGCGCTGAGAGAATGTTTCCGTGCTCCAAATATTAACACATTAGAGATGATTTGACGGTTGTCACAAGACAAGAATTACTTTCACAAGACCCAGTTGATGGTGACTTCCACACCAGTTATAAAGGAAATCTAACCTTAGCGGTATCAGAAAAGTTTCGGGTAATTAGGAAGATGATTAGCCACACGATGAATCTTCAGTACTGTTTTCCGATCGTGCCCGATAATTAATGGAATTCCTAAATCTAGTATACGTGTTAAATAAATTCTGTTAGGTCATAATAGTTTCTGCGTTCTGTTTTGATAGTTCTCTTCTTGTCTTTCACAGATGTATCAACCACAGGTTCACGAAACGGCAGTTGTATCTTTAAATTAAAGATACGATGTTCTCAAGCACTTGTATCGATTTGTAGCCATGGATTCATTCAAAACAAGCTTGCTCACTTCAAAAAAATTATCGGTTTTAATCATCCGGAGAAAAAGAAAGAGCGTGATCCTCTCAAAGGACTAAATTTCTCACCTCAGTCGATAGTAAAAGACCTTTTCGCTGTAAAACCGGAATCGGTTATGATGGCACGGTATCGTGTAAAAGTAAACATTCACACGGATCTTTTACTCCAAAAGGCACAAGGATCAACATGACATAAAGCCTTAAAGGCTTTAAGGGATACAACACTTTTACGAGTAAAATCCTTCTCCCTCACCTCCCTAAAAAAAACACACAGATACACTAAAAAATGGTTTTGTCCCAAGACCACTTTTCACGATTGGGGAGAAACAAGGAAAGGTCATATATACGGTATCCCGCATTGCTTCACTTGGAAATTCCTACTCACCAGGGTAGCAAAAAGGCGCGCCATTCCACCATCTCAAGACATCAATGGTCACATAGCAAAATGTCAGCAGAAGAAATGCCATGCCACCAGTAACAAAGATAAACGAAACAGACCTAGCAACAAAAATGTTGTTTGAGCAACCGAATCTAAATAGAAAACAAAGTTTAAAGGGAAATTCTCTACATTTCGACTGTATTTTTCGGGATGTGCGTAATTACTTCCACCTTATAAAAAGTATAGAATATTAGTTCGTCCAGATCTACAACACCGAAAAACTAACTACAAACCAGGAAGAAGCCAGAAAAGCTAAGGAAAGAGAGAATAACACTGATGACGAAGAACGAACCTTAAGTTACATTTCCAACAGGCGAAGCCGCGGGGCGTAATTATTATTTGCATGGACTCCAATGTAATTATTTTTCGGAGTATTCTTCACCCGTTTTCTGGGTAGCGCAGTCACCTTCTCACTTACCATAAGTTCTTGTTTATCGGTATAACACTGTCGTTATTCTTGCCTGCGAGTGCAAGAGTGATGCAACCCTGAGTAAGGAAGGAAAATGACCATATTTACGATAACGATGACGATAACGCTATTGGTATTATTGATGATACTATTAATTTTAATAACACAAGTAAAATGAGACATAAATTATTGAAAAAAATAAGATAGATGGAAAATGAAAAAAGCTTGCAGTCGTCGATTGAAGAAAAAGCATGTAATCATTCATTTAATTGCAAGCGGCTTATCTCCCGCTCGCAACTAAAGGAATAAAAAAGTGATGTTTGGGACATACTGTGTTTTCTGTCTATAATACTCACAAGTAGCAAAGACCAAATTATCCACCGTTTCATTCTAGATATGTTATATGGGAAAGTGTGCAAGGTGTAACCAGCCTGAAAGCAGAAAATTAAACGTAACATAATTAGCTACATTGTGTAAAGAAGATATTACAGAAGAGTGAACAGCTTCTTAGGGCTTTAAGCTTAAAGAAACAAATTTATAGTTAATTTTCAATAACCCTTTAACTCCCGTTATTGACCGCGATGGAATTTCTCCCCACAATATCAGTACAATATTAAGCAGACAAGTGATGAGAATAAAGAAAATATAAATTAGGGGAATATTACTTGATCCATTACCAAATTCTCCAAATTTACATCGTAAGAATTGTACGACAGACAGTAAGGAGAAATATTAATGAGATCTTGGAGGTGAAAGGGTCTCAACAAGGAAAAAGTTCTAAATTATCTTTGACTGATCAGACAGAAGTGCAAACATCTTTGAAATATAACAATGTAGCAAGTTGAAGAAATAACTTGAACTTAGCAGTATCTGTCTATCTTATGAAGCGATTGTTCGAGCGAGTTCGTTCCTGTAAAGGACTGTTGGTGATAGTCATCGGCAGAGTCACCTGACTCTGATAATAACTTCTGCTCGTTTTGACAAAATGTCTGTCACTGACATCGACGACCATACTCCTTTTCGGATGATCACAACACAGATCTATCAGCTATTATTATTCACAACCGCATTTGATTGCAAAGGCAAGGCTGAAGGCGAAACACATGTAATCCATGCTTAAAAATGCCATCGCTTGTCTTCTGGATGCACCTAAGGTGGTCTGCACTGAGAATAACATGGAAGGCTACTAATTCAAACCTGAACTCCCAGGAACACCAAGAAAGCAGAAGTCAGGGTACCCAAAGCGCCCTCTGGATCGTACGGAACCTCCGTCTTGTATGTTTCCTGACAAGAGAAAATTTCCATGTATCATTTATTATCTCAAACTAACTTGTAACAAATTAGATAAAAATGGCATGAAAATATCACTCTATTCTTTCAAGAAAGTACAACTCCGGCCTGGCACTCAAGAACGGAAGGTCTGAAATTTTTCATGTTAAAAGAGGGTGTTTGCACTTATGGCACACCTCCACAAAAGATTGATTACCTTTTTTTTTTTTTTTCTTTTCAATTTACAGCGAAGGAAGTTAGTTCAGTAATTGTAAAGGAAAGTTGTTAGCCCTGTTGGTAGAGCACTGCACCGGCATCGGTCATGGGTTCAAATCCCGTACAGGCCTGAATTTTTTTTCAGTCCTTATAAGTTAAGTGTTCATTACTGCAAAGATCGCTTTCATATTCATTTCTTAAACTGCAGTTCACATATATGACTTTTATATATTCACATTCATTTTCTTAGAGTTTCGCTTTCACGACAGAAATAATACCAGGTTTTATAAAATTTGTACGATGATAAATGAAGAAAGCTTTCTATTGAGTAGATTTTCATCACCAGTAGCATCGGGTTACAAACTCTGAACTCCCATTGCTTATTTCCTGTGTTAACCTTTCTTCAGATTGGTCAATATGACCTCTTAGATTCACTTTTACAACATTAAATCGAAAAGTGCGCGAAAAAATACTGCTATTAAGTTATTAAGGTAAGACAGTATATATGTATAAACGTTACCATGCAAGTAGGATGCCCGTAGATGTGCTTTGATCCAAAAAAGTGTCGGTCAATGTAACCAGCATTCCCACCGGTGCAATTGTAAGCTTCAGGTGAAGCAAGACCCCCCGGTCCGATATAACCTCTGCAAGAACAAAATCTCTCATGATGAAAGTCGTCGTTCGTTTCGACACGAGCGTATGATAAATAATAAGAATCTGAGTTTCCCCACTAGGAATTGAACTCTAAAACTTCGGATTTAGCAGCCTAATTCTCTACAACTGAGTGACAGAGAGCTCGTTGGCGAGTTAAAAATCTACTTGCTTTCTACGCGACAAACTTCTTGCATATTGCTGCGATCACAGATGTCGAAAGCACCGTATTCAACTCAACGTTGACATGACAGTGACTTAATATGATCAACTTAAACGTTTTCGGTTTGCTAACAGCAGCTGTCAACACTACAAGTGAAAACGACAATTCTAGAAGTAAAAAACAGAAACAATTCTTTAGACCCTTACCTTGGACAACCACCAATTTTGAGGGCAAAAGTGATGATGATATAGATAGCTAGTAGGCCCAGCATCACCAGCCATTGACCCCATAAAGCGAAGACATCCCTGATAGGGTTCCACCATGCAGCAACTGGCTATCGAATTCAAAATAATCAGACATGTTTCAATCCATGAAGTAAAAGGGCACACTGAATTCAAGATTGCAATGAAACTACTAATTAAAGAGACAGCTGAATAAGTGTTCTTGTGCGAATTACTTGTGGGTACAACATACACGCACATGCATGCAACTTAAAAGCATAAACATAAAGCGAAGACATCCCTGATAGGGTTCCACCATGCAGCAACTGGCTATCGAATTCAAAATAATCAGACATATTTCAATCCATGAAGTAAAAGGGCACACTCAATTCAAGATTGCAATGAAACTACTAATTAAAGAGACAGCTGAATAAGTGTTCTTGTGCGAATTACTTGTGGGTACAACATACACGCACATGCATGCAACTTACCAGGATAGAATCAGTTCCAGGATTAATAACCAACTGGAGCATGGCAATGATAAAGTAGCAAGCAGAAAATCTTTGTAGGACTCCTGGTACTCTGTAGTGAGCAAGGTCTGCATCTGTGTGCCAACAACATTTCAGCCGGTAAGAACGGCAACATTTGTCATATGCATGTGAGAAAATCCAGCATGCTTATTGGCCCAGAACACGTCAATTAATTCCAAACATTGCAGAATATTTAAATTGAGGGAAAAAGCGAAAAACAAAATGGCAAAAAAGGTGAGGAGAAAGAAACAACGTTTTACTTCACAATTTAAAGGAGAATGGTAGGAAAAAAAAACCAGAAAATAAAACTCAAATAACTGGCTAAGAGTGTTGCATGGGCATTTAAGGGCATCATCAACTTACAATTGCTTACAAAAAGCCCCAGTGCAAACAGAATGAGTGTGCGACGGATAATCTTGGCAAAGATAGTTATGGATCTCATTTGGCGACGTCTCATAGATTGAAACGAAATAACCATGGAAACACCCATAATCCACATAAACCTACAAAGAAGAAAGAAAAGGGAAAAATCGGTAAAATGTCCATATCAAAAGTTTACTTTTGCAGAGTTTTCCACTTCCCTTACTTTGCTTGAAACATCAATTCAAGACAATTTCTTGCACAGACCTTTGAGCCAACATAATTCTCCCTTTTTCTTTTACTTATAATTGTAATGAACGCACATTTTAAGATACAGTACCATTGATCGTATACGTACATGTATAAATTAATGCTTTAACCCTTAAACTCAAGTTAGTGACCAAGACAGAATTTCTCCTAACTATATCTAAACAATATCAAGAACACAAGTGATGAGAATTAAGAAAAATATCAATTATAGGATTACTAATTGATCCAGTACCAAATTCTCCAAACAAATATGATGATAATTGTTTAGCAGACAGTAGGAGAATTACTGGTGAGATCTTGGGAGTTAAAGGGCTAAAGAACTATCGTAAGGTGACATACTTGGTTCTAAATCATAATAGATATATCTTAAAAATAAGACTAAAACAGCAATGACAATTAGTCAATCAATCAATCAATTAATCAATCAGTAAAACAAAAGTGAAAAAAAACACAAAACTGTAGAAAAGCAAATGACTATCCTGACTGAAAATCAATTGTACAGTAGAACCTCCCCAACTGGAACTAGGTGAACACAAACCCCACCAAAAACTTGAACAAACTCTGATTTCCCTTGACCCAGTTTTTTTCAGTCACTTACTATCAGCTAACTTGAATCCCCTACTAACTCTGACAACAGTTCCTTTTTGTTTCCGTTGGGAGTATAAGGTAGAGGAGCTCTACTGTAAATCAATGCTAAAGAATAACAAAAAATACTAAAATTAATGTTGAAGTAATCTTACTAGTAGTAGTAACATACCATGGAAAGACAAGGTCTGCAACTGTAAGCCCTGTAAAAGAAATAGGAATCACTTACTATAGCTAGTAGCTCTACCCTGATCTATTGTCTCTCATGGAAGATACAGTTACCTCCATGTATAGTTAGAGAACATCTATCTCACCCACATGAACAAGGTAGAGATTATTCCACTGCCATTAACACTTTCACTCCCACGAGTGATCAAGACAGAATTTTCTCCTTACAATATCAATAAAATGTCAACCAGATAAGCAATGAGAATAAAGTAAAATTTGAGGACAATTAGTTGACCCAACACTAAATTCTCTGAACTGAAATTATAAGAATTGTATAGTTGACAGTGAGGAGGATTACAAATTTGACCTGGGAGTTAAAGGATTGATAGCCCAATAGATTAGGTCAATGTTAACTGACTATTGTTTAAAAAAAAAAAAAAAAAAAACCTGTAAGGGATACAGTCTATGGGGGCAGACAAAAACATAAATATTCATTAAATAAAAAACAGGTTAACAAAGTCAAGTGACACAAGTGGGAGATTATTATGGCGAATGGCCAATCTCACATATATGTAGAATGTTTAAATTTGAAACTATCAGTAGTTAAAAGGCAAGGTACCTCATCCCACCCTGACCATTTTTTTTCTCAACAATCAAATCCTGGTTGAAATGTGTCTGGAACTGCAATTCATGTCAGGGTTGCAAGGAATTTGCCAATCAAGGCAGCAGCTTTCTATCCAGAAGCTGGTTGAACACAATGAAAAGCCCTCAATATTACAGACATGCCCTTTCATGTAAGTGAGGCAGTGGCTTGACATATTTCAAAGTTAAAAAAATGCATCTTTGATGACAACTGGTCAGGAGCCTGTATCTTAAAATATATTTAATAATTATGATCATTTGAAAAATACACTACCCCAGGGCAGGAAAGATACCCACCATTCCATCTGGCATGCTTGAAGAAATAATATCCACCACCACCAGAATTCACAAATATCATAATAGTCAATGCAATCCTGCAAGAAATCATAATTTATATCTTAATTCAATCACCAAAAATGCCAAAGTGCAAATGCTAATATGCTAACCAAAGCCCTGTTGATAAATAAATTTTTTATTGAATAATTCTCAGTGTGGAAATAGCCACAGTAATACTACTCTAAAATTAAAGATGTATTGTTTGAAAACAATTGTCACCAGGCTGAGCATGAAACAAGAAAAAAAATGTGAGCTACACTGTACTAATTAAAAAGTATTTTTTTTAACTATGTAGTTCCATGGATGGATGCTCCAATAACTGAGCTACACAAACCTCCCTGAGCTCCGCCAAATTAGTCAAGCTGCTGCACTCATTGGAATACATTTGTGTAAACTTAGATGTTCCAAAGATAAACCCATTTGGAATCTCTCATGTGATTTACTTTTCATTTCTGTGTCCAAGGTTCCCACTGGGTACTATATTCGTTATTTTTCATTCAAAAATGTAAGAGTGCATATTTGTATGCGCATGTACTATGACAAATCTACTTCTTAAAACCAGCAACAATACACAAATAAAGACTTCCAAATAAACCATCTGACTAGCTTGAGGCTCACTAAAGTAAGGGGAGACTATAAGGTTGGATTTCGTGATTGGGCCCCCCTCAGCACTTCCCTGGTTTGCCCCAATTTTTACCAGAGCTTAACTTCATAAAGCATTCAGCTCATTGACTGATTCAGTGAATCACTAAGACTGATCCAATTAATGGCTCACCAAAACTCATGATTTTCATTGATGGAGACTCACCCGCGAAATGTGTCCAAAGATTTAAGTCTTTGTTTCTTTGGCTTTTCAAGCTGAAAAGTAATTTTGAGAAATGAACTAGTGATCTCTCATTGTTTTCATTATTTTTGAAAAACAAAATTATGTACGGCCCAATTAAACTTACCAATTCATGAGGATCAATGTGATGTCCTGAACCATCTACAGGGCCATTGAAATTGGGGCTTCCAAGATCCTAATTGATAAATATGAAAAATAGCTTAATTCTACCTCATTTAACTGCTACACATAATTAAGAGAAAATTTGTCCATCTGTACAAGTTCATCAGCAAATGTCTAATTCTTTGTCTATACTTACATAAAACTATGCATTACATTTATTCATTCATTTATTTAAACTATATTTGCTTTCCATGGCAGATGGAAAATTGTGATCTCACATGTAAGTAAGCTTACCGCATTTATAAGACTTTCTGTGTCATGAAACAGTTCCCAGTTGACCAAGAGATTGTACTTCCTATGAAATCAAACTTGTAAAGGTCAATGCTGAAGACAAAATTGCATTTTTTTACATGGAAGGAGAGTTTTCACCTGTTCACATTCAATTTGACAAAGTGCTCTTGCTTGAAAAACAGTGTGAAAACAATATTTACTGTACAGTACCAGGTTCAGCACTCCATATACAACTGTAGTGTACATGAAAATTGGACAGGAGGCAGCTGAAATAACTATGTTTATCAGCATCCTATATAAGGTGTACTTTGTTAAGATATAGGGCAGCTGGACTAACACATTGTGAGCATTCCATTCTTACCTTAGAAGATATAGAAGAACAAGCCAAGTTAAGGCAACCCCAAGAATAACCAAAAATGCATACAATAAAGCTAAAGACAAATGAAAAAATACAATTAGCAACAAGAGGAAATAAACTTGCATTAAATCATTTTGATCTGTTCAAATCAGGAAGTAGGCTAGGGATCACAAACAGGTAAGGGAGCTTAATATGTTTGATTCCCTGACCAGTAACAACACAGTCTACAATGAATCCAAATAGTATCTGGAGGGTATATATAGATATGTTCTCCTTTTCAGGAGCTAAAAGGTAAACTTAAACATGTCCATTAACTTAAATTTACCTCAAGGAACTTTTAAGTTCCATAAAAGTGGATACACTGTATTAAAATATCTACTTTGAAAGTATAGAAACTTACGTAAATATGCATTGTCTGGATCTATTTTCTTATATAAAGTACAGCTTGTCTTGGTTTTATATCCATGGATAGTGTAAATGTAAAAGCCATGTTCTCCAAAAGTTTCAGTTTTGTTCCTAAAACACAAGGGTATTTTAATTACCATCATATCATCATACAGACTATGAGGGTTCATTTCATCAATTTAATAATTATTTCATTATAAAGGAATGCCTAAATACATCTACATAAATGTGTTGAGAAGTATATATTATATGAAATTTTGTTGACAAAAGGGCCAGCACAAGCCATAAAGCATTTGAATTATTTGAAAATGCATAACAGAATGACTGTTTTAACCAATTACTGTCCATGGGGTTCCACCACAGTATGATTTTTGTGTATTACCCAGAAGTTCAAATTGATTAGATTTACAAAATTGATGAAGCTTTAGAGTTAGTACAGTGCAGTAGCTAACTTTGTACTTACTCGCATACATGTGTTCCTTCGGAGTCATTGACGAAGAGTGTAACTGGGAAATTTGTTTCCACAGTTACATTTAAAGAGTATTTCAGGTTTTTTGCCAAAGGTTCAAAGATACACTACAAAATAATGCAAGAAAATACAAAAAGTTAGTAGGTTTGTAGTACACACTAGCACGTAGACCGTTGCCTTCAAATGAAACTTTGATATAAAAAAAAGCCCAAGAAGTGTCAGAAATTTCCCAAGGAATTAGCAGCCATTCTAAATTGAGATAGCTCCTCTCTGGTTGAGAAGGTAGCACAGAGACACTTATCAATGTCGTGACTGTAGAGTTCAGCTTTGGGTCTGTTGTGTTAGCTGAAAATAACCTATAAAAAGATTGGCAAATTAAAGCCGGGTCCCATTTTGGTTCCCATTTGCTATACCATTAGTTTGTAATAGATATCCCTAAAGGCAAAGCAATAAGACTAGTTTGGCTCAGTAGAGTAGTATTACAGAGCTAGGTTCCTTAGCAGTGTACTGATCAAAAAAATTTTTTTAACGAACAGGGGACCTTTGCCACCTGAGTGAAAAGATATTTGTCTTCACCACAGAAATTGCAAAAATTTTCAAATGCGTTTTGGCTGTCTTTCAGGTATGATGGTAAAGTTTTGATGATAGGTGGCATAATTTTGTCTAAATAGCTAGAAATAAGCTTGGTGGGACAACAGCATACAGAGAGGATGGGTCCACCTGGGTTGTTAAATTTGTGGAGTTATGGCAAAAAAAAAACTGATGCACTAACTGACTGATGAAGTGTTTTTTCTAACCGACGAACAATAATGAACAAAAACTAAGGAATATTAGAGTTACTATGGATCCACTGTTAATAGCCTGTGCATCATGTACCTTATGGCAGTTACTAGAGAGACCAAACACATTAACTGGTTTAATATCTGAAGTCAAAGTCAGTTGTAGCAAGGCTGTGTCCATTGGCAATGATTTCACATCAACGTGTGAGTCCGTTGGTAGTGATTTGGATGGCAAACGGTGACTTGCAAGTCCTGAATAACCAAGAATGTAGAAAAGTTAGCACTGTTTTTGTAAACCATAATTATTATTGTGCATTATCAGCCAATACAATACAATATGACTGTATGGTAATAAAGTCCATTTGTTCGTAATTTCAAGTTTTGCTCAATTTACACCACGAAACAAATCATCATACAAGGAAAAAAAATTACACATTATACAAATAAAAAAATTACACATTTTTAACAATTTAGAAAAATTTAGATATTTTTAAGGAGACTAGGAAGACGCATCGAGAAGCTTTTATCCTCAAATCATTTTTTCGTTCCTCGAATTGCCTCTATTTTTCAATTTATTGTTTTTTTTTTAACTTGTGAACTCTTCTTTGAACCTCGAAGTCACATGATTCGGGAAGGAAGTTTCACTCGCGGGAAACTACAGTGTACTGAAGAAAATATTCCGATGGTAGAGATACCTGGGCAAATTCTAAATCTGACAATCAAGAAAATCGTAATTTCTTAATCCAAAAGCCATTACTCAATACTTTGAATGTAAGCGTGTATGGCACTCATCAGCATTCAAATACAAGGACGTCACCAAATGATGTAAAGTTGAGCACACAAACGCAACGGTCCATATTTGCGCTCACCGTTCGTCTTTGGAACAGAGTATGCCTTCTTAATTGAATATAACTATGTCTTAGTCATCTTATAATTGTAAACTTACCTAATCTTTGAGTAGAAAGTAGTGCAAGAACCAGAAAAACAGCAGAGAACGCCATGAATACTATATGGTCGTCTGCATGGATCTCCATGAAACAACAGGAGGACCAGAAATAGACTGGAACTAGAAAGTAGCGATGAAAATTTCTGGAATAGGACTTCTTGAGGTTGGAAAACGGACGGGGAAATAAAAGGAAGTAACAGCCGAGAAATGTTGGGATACTGACATGAGCTTTACTACACGTGAGTCATAAAAATTTGGGAAGTTGGAATTATAGTTAACGATTAAGTGTAGTTATAATTCTATTTTCATTCCGTTGTTGTCTTTCCTTCAGACTGATTTCAATCTGAGACGAAACGTTCACAAAGATTAATTCGATCACTGAGTTTCTTCTGCCAGCCATCGTTGTTCATTGAAATGATTATAGTAACTCTTTCTTTCAATAAAAAAAATCACTCGTGGATCTGTCAAAGGTATCCAATCATGCTGTAAACATGAAGTTTCTGATGTCTGGTAAATCTATCTCCTCTCGTCAAGTTATACTGAAAAAGTAGGCCACTGTGTTGGTAGTCACGATAAATCATTTCTTTAGGTAAATAGATTCGCATTTGTCACACGAATATCTAAGGAAATGAATGAACGGGAATCGATTGGAAAGTGGTACTTATTGCCATTAAGATCGAAGCAGAAAATAATTTGGTGCATGTGGGAAATTAGAAGGAAATCATTTTACAGATGCTGTGACCCCGTGACAGGAGAACCTCTCGTGTTTCGTCGAAGAATTGTGTCCACGTAATTTTCAACCTTCAACTCCCATGATTCAAATGGTTGATATGCCTCTGATTGTTACACATTCATCTGACTGCCAAAAATTTAAATTAGATAAGAACATATCACGTTATGTCAATGATAAAGCTTTTCTTCAGCAATCAGTTTGTCTCTGCGCATGATCTGTTTGATGCATAGTGTACAAATAATGAGAGGTGAGGTTAGTGTTAAAGCGCTTTTGGGTGTCAGACGGATAAATATAAATATTTGTTATGCATGACGCCTGTGGGCAGGTTACAGAGGTCAAATTAGAAAACCCGCGTCCTTTCTTACATTACAGTTTCAAGCCATCCTGCTTTCACTTATCATTACAGAGCTGAAAACACTTGACCGCGGAACATGTCTTCAAGGCGCCTTCTTAGCACTGCCTTCCTCTTGTTGTTGTTCGTTGGTAAGTACTAAGATTAATATGCTACCTTTGGCAAAAGGCAAGCGCCCGTTTTCCTTACACTACGGGGCGCTTCAGCTACAAAACTTGAGTATTGTGTTTCTAGCTGCTTATCTCCTTCAATACGTCTATTTGATAAAGTTCGTTATAAATCACGCTCACTTGAAAGACGTCTCTGCGTTTCTTTGAAGTTCTTGAAACAGTTAAAATGGCGAATATTTGATAAAATCGGCCATGGTCGAAAGGAAATTTTCAAATGAAAACATGATGATGAATTTAATTAGGCGGCCAATACAGCGAGTTCTCTTTGACTGGAAATGTATCTTACTTGAATATGAAGCAAAATGTTGGTTTTTTTTTTCATTTTTACTTATCACTGTTACCGTTGTTAAGGTATCGAAATGCTAAGAAAAAAGAAAATTCAGTTACTTTGGAGATTCAGAAATGCCATTTCTTTCTGCATGAAAACAATGTCTCAAAATGACATTGAAACTCTGATGTGTTTATCATGAGAAACAGAAGTTACTTTTGGTTATGTCAATCAAAATATCAACTGGAATAAACATCGAAAGGTTTGTCATATCATTACATCTAAAATAATCTCAGGAAAGAAGAAGGCGCAATTAAGTTCCCGGTCGAATTTTAACGAAAATGAACGAAGCTATCAGAAAGAGAGGATGAAAGTAAACCCTTTCGAGATGATTTGAAATCAGTCAATTAATTCACGCTAAATGCGTTCCCAAAAATGATGAAACGCCATATGTGCTGTTTTGATGAATCCGTGACATTTGTTTCCTTCTGTCATGGATTACAACTGAAGATTAAAGGACCAAAACTAGGCTTTCATCTTTCATAATAAGCTCCTTTGCCTTGAAAGGACCGCATCATCTAATTAATTTAAGAGACTTCCAGGCTTGAGTTCTAAGCCCTTTTTGGACACAATCGCCTAAAGGAGGTTTTGGGAACCAGACATTATTCATCATTTGGGAGGATCACTGGTTTTAAGGGGGACTGGAGGGGGGATCAGTCGTCGCCGACAGAGTATCAAGGAGGGACTCTTCATTGGCGGTTAATTAGTGGGCAAGTAGGGTATCATAAGCCTTATGGGGGAATAGGATAAATTTTATCGCAGCACAACCAGAAACCTCTAAACTTCAATTCCACCCCCCACCCCACCCCCCTCAGGCGATAAATTGTGACCGGTCTTTAATAGCATTTTGCAACTGGCAGGTCTGGTGTCCAACATGTCATCATCGTCATGTCCGCAAGAGGAAAAGTTATCACCGAATAAGTTGAAAATGGACACCGCTTTTGTGAATATCAGTTCCACTTTAGAGGAGCCTATTACAATATCAGGGATATCGTCAAACTGTTACGAGGTGATAAAACAGTGTGTTCGTGTTCATAACTTTGTTTTTGGCCCGACTAGGTGCCATTTTTATCCGTGCCGCCAGGCGAGGGAGCCCAAAACATTTATATCAAAGACAATAAACTGTACTAGGATTTTAATCACTTGAAGAGCACTGATAAAATAGAATGACAGAAAAATAAAAAATAAAAATAACAGCCTGAACTACCACGCGAGCAAGTGAACCATTTTGCACGATGCCCGACAAATTGATAATAATATCCATTTTGTTGCATCGATTAAACTTGTGCTTCTTGGCGCATTTAATATATGTTGTTAGGTCGACTCTACTGCTAAATTGCCTAAAGGAACATATAAATAATTTCTCAAGGAGCACACATAGTAATAAAGGGTGGCAAGATCGATGGTATTATCAAATAACATCATTCATTCTTCGTTCTTTACAACCGTGCGTTCGTAAGTTAAGGGCAAGCGAGTACAGACTCCAGTTTTGGCCGATCACAAAAGGCAAGAGACCATGAGCTGCTCATGTTCCGGCTCTAGAAAAAGTCAAGCATCCATTTAAATAAATTAATAATTTTTTTTTTTTGCAGTGCCCAATACAGGAAATTATACCTCAGCTCCTCAATGGAGCCGCCCCCCTTGTGGTAAACACACATTACAGTTTTACCATCTCTGTTAAAATCAAAAATGGATCTCAAGAGTTATGCAGGTTTGTGACTGACTCAATATTAATTTCAATTTCAACGAGGCTCAAGTAAAAAGTGAAATTTTTAGGCGATATCAGCATTGATTAGCTCGTCGGCGAAGAACTTGCTAATTCAAGACGACTGAACATTAAAAAAATAATTCCAATGAAACAAGAAGAGCCAGCTGAGGCATAGGATTCTTTAGCCAACGTTCAGAGGGGTGGGGGGGGGGAAAGGTAGTGTCAACAACCCCAACCGAGAAAGTAGCGGAAATCGACACCAGCATAGGCAGAGATAAAAAAAAAAAAAGAATATAAGGGATAACATTCGGGCACTTGAAGAGAAAAGAAAAAGTTTGTAAAAGTTTTTGGATTTATCTCGGTCTGAGTGCGGCATGGTTCATGTAGGTGTATTTGTTCAGTTTAAGATAAATTTACGTGCTGTTTTATTTGCACTATAAAGTGATTGACGAGAAACACTATATCTCATCAGGAAGTTAAAATGTTGAAAGCAATGTTATAGTATTGATTGCCATGCGTTTAGGAAGCTACCTTTCGAGGGACAACTACAGTTAGCACCTGAGATCACTTTAAATCATTACTCGACCTCTTCCAGATTAGTGTCCTCGGTATTTTCGTCCCAATGTTGACTGTGTGATGTGTATTACAGGCTTAGTTACCTTTTTGGTGAGAGAGGTTGGTACGAGTATAACATCCATCATTCTGATGGCCAATCATCAAACAAGGTCACATGCAAACTAGAGATCAAGCGGTCACCCGATTACCCATACATGCGTGAGTATCTGTTTATCTCATCCTATTCTAGTGATTAATCTTTGTATTGAAAATTAAAAATCTATCATGATACCATGGATAGTTAGGATCATTCATGTGGAAGGCATTTTTTTTTCTTTTTCGCAAATGAATGATACGAATCTTTCCAAGAAAGTCTTAGTAGATTGAGGAAAAAGTCACCAGAAACAAATATGAGCAAAAAAGACGGAACAAAAGTCAAGTACTGTAAATGGATGGACGAACGAACGTTTTTGACAAAATTTTCTGTTTTTTTCTTTCCCTTTTATGATCAGCTCTATGGATAGCCCTCGGAGCGCTCTTTTGCATGGCTGTTATATGGGTTTTACTTACCTGTATTGGAAGGTAAATAACTTCCTCGAAATCAAAAAATTTATCGAAGAACATTTTTGAAGTTACGTGTTAAAAGTTATCCACTCTGTGTTTGTTCTTGAAAACTCGCGCCGTCTTGTCAACCGAACGGATAAAAAACAGTACAACTAATCGCTAATTGCTCCTCCGAGTTTTCCCGCTCTTGAAACTTGTTTTTTTTTCTTTTAATTTTTTGTTTACGTTGTGGGCTCTCATTGATTCTTTGTGATCTTCGCCCTCTTTAATTGGATAGACATAATTATCTTGCTTTGGGTTGGGAGAAAGAAGAAGTTAATCTCTGTCTTTTTTAGTCTATAATCTTGCGTCGACACAGGACCAAACACATGAAAGGCAGAGCACGTAGCAAGTGCCCACGATGCAAGGGAAACATTTATATAAAATTAAACATATCTCATCATCCATTACTATACTACTGACTCAGGTCACGGTTAACCTAATCTTGTTATTGTATTATCGAGTTCCTATGGCAGTTCATCATTCAATTACCAGATTACCTAAGTATTATATCAAGAGGGTTTGATAAAATTTACCGCAAACTTGGTTTGATGTCGTGTATTTTCATAAACAGGAAATGCAAAGTCGCTTGCAAGAAAGAAAATTCGAACATGATGAATCAGGTAAGAGCATGCAGTAACATGTCCGCGCTAACGCCAGTTTTTATGAAACGAAATCTTCAGAAGTTGATGGGGGGGGGGGGGTAGGGGGGGGAGAGGAGATTAAAAACCTCCTTTTAAGGGCTAGAGAGGCAACCTTCAACGTAACCATCTTGTAAGGCTTAACCTAAAGCGTGAGCTTCGGGTGTTCAGTATATCTACATAAATCCTTTTAAATCTTTTTTCAAGGCCTAATACTAAAAGCCGAAATGTCACATTTTTAATTCAAGTTTATCCATTAAACGAATTTTTTTCCGTGCATATTGATTTAAGTCCTGGTTGCTGTTCTATTTCTAATACCTCAGCAAGTTTATTCAAATTAAACGTTTTTCTTCTCAACTCAAGGATGGTAATTTTGTCAATTTTTTTTTTTGTAGGCCGATGAGATCGATGACAGAGAAGACACAGAAATGGTATGCTCTGAGTCCTTCAAGTTTGTTTTAATTTATTAATTGTTTATTGTACCTTTAAAAAAAATGAGTTTAATGTCTGAAAGCTGGCTGTATTCAAAATCAAACCCTCGTTGTAGTATTGTTGATCGCCTCGATATCAATTAAAGAAGTATTTCTTAGTTTTTGTCGTTGTTTTGTTGTTAGTTGTCAAAAGTCTTAAATTACAATTAAATTAATTGATTCATCAGTCATTTCTTAATTAGTTGATTACTTAATTAATGAACGATTTATGCCGACCAATTTTATTTTATTGCGCACCACTAGCACGTGACTGGAGAGGGAGAACAACAAATGCTACCAGAGGTAAAATGTGATGTCCTTTCCCTTTCAATTTTTATTTTCTTTTTTCCTTCCTTTTTTCTTATTCTTTCCGTTCTGTGCTTTTATGTTGTTCAATACCTCCAATTCCGATTCATTACTTTCTTCGTCTAGAAACTGTCCTGAAGAAGAACTCTTTTTAACCAAAAGAATGGTATGTTCAGGTATTGTTCAATAGAGGTTCTTTTTGTTTTTTTTTTTCAGACTCAGCTTAAAGCCAGGTCGAGGAGGTTGAAGTCTTTAGATACGTTTCGAGGGTATGTCATGTTACAGCATCGACTAATGAGTATCTTGGTGGTGGAGCAATTTTAGAATTGAGCGGTTTTTGATAAGCATTCCAAGAAACACTATGAACCACTTTCTCGACCCATCAGATGAAAATTTATATCCATTTAATGATTGGCTACTCCTGTGTTTGCACGCTTGATTAAAATTTACCTTTTTGATGGGAAGTGCTCACAAGCTCCTCACAAGATTTGACTTTTTTCTCAAGAGCCTTTTGTATTTACTTTGAGTCTCGTTTTACGATAACTGATGGAAATGCGTTCTAAAATGTTAATTGACATTAACCCTGAGTCTTGCAACGAAAGTGAAGTTTGGTTAAAGTTAGAAGAAATTTTAGCATTTTGACCGAGGTTTGTTTTCTGGACTGCTCTTGTCTCCTTTTGTAGAATTGCAATAACACTGATGATATTTGTGAACTATGGTGGTGGTGGATATTACTTCTTCGGGCATGCCGTGTGGAATGGTAAAATATAATAAGCATGTTATATATGTTAACTTCCTGACTTATGAATTCAGAGCGCGCGGCATTCTCTCTTTAGTCTCCTTCACGGCCGTTGTTTGGTATCTACGCCCGACGCGTTCTCTCTTTTAGGAGAGCGAATGTATTGGGTGATGATATCAAACAGTGGCTCCCAAGCAATCCACATGTCTGTTGTCTCTATTTTGCGTAGTAACTAAGAGTTAAGTCTTTAAGACTTTTAAGCTAATTCAAAACCGTGGCAATTGGATTTTACTTAACGAAGAACTTGTAAAGGGAAAAATCAACCATTAAATTCTTTAAAGCTTAGTTTACCAAATGTTGGGTTATGTGACAAAAGATCCTTTTTTTTTAAACACGTATCCATCGCTTCACCTTTCTATCTCTTTTTTAAACAGGATTGTTGGTCGCTGATCTCGTCTTTCCATGGTATGTTGCAGATAATTCTAGTGGGAGGCCAGAATCAAGCAAAACGATCGAATTGTATTCTGTCTACACTAAAAAGAAAGGCGGAGGTTTTCAAATTCTCCCTTGTAAGCCTCATTAAATCGGTGTGGACAAGGCATGGGTTGCAAAAGATTTTAGTTATTCGAAGTCAAATTATCTATTTTCTTATAATTTATCTATTCAGATGTATCTGTTGATCTATTTGATTATTCATTCATTGATCAATTATTGACTTGTTCATTCTAGGTTTATCTGGATCATGGGAGTCTCAATCACTTTATCTTTTCGCTCGTTGAGACGCAAGAAAACAAGCAAGCCTAGAATAGCATGTAAAATCCTAAAACGAAGCTTCATCTTGTTCGCACTGGGTCTGTTTACCAGCAACTGTAAGTGACCAATCAAAAGGGTTCAATAAAGAATAGGCAAGAACCGTTAAAGTTGGCCATAAATGATTTGCCTCGAGTTGATAGAAGCGAAATCATAGGTAGCTTGGGCATCATCGCTCTTCACCTTAGTTCATGACCTCGCAATGGTGTCATTCCTCTGAAAACGTTTGTTTTATTAGGCAGTTATTCCTATGGAAATCGGGTTAACAATGACAATACAGTTAACAGACTGCAAGGCTCTCAATACAAACTTAAGCCCTCATTAGTATCGGGGTGCTCATATCGATGTACGTTATAACGGGTGTCTGTCAGGCGAGAGCTTACTACACTGTTAGAACATGATTAGTTGCGCATGCAATCAATTTGTATTTCTCCAACGCGATAGCTCATCAGAGTGCACGTAATGATTAAATGCATGGCCACATGAATCACGAACTTCTACGATAACTTGAATGAATTTATCGTTTTAGACGGTAACCTGAAGTACTACAGAATCCCTGGAGTTCTTCAGAGGTTTGGAGTTTGTTACTTCTTCGTTGCCATGATGCAGTTGCTACTGCCTCCTATGGAAAAAGGCGAAAAAAAGGTAGCATTAAAGGTTTTCGCTCTTCGCATAAGCTAAACCCTTGTAACCGTGTAGCGAGAGCTTAAGATTTTCATAAGTAATTCCTACTTCTTTGTTATCATAGAAAAGATGGTGGGAAGTGTTTCGAGATGTGTTTGGTTTATGGAAGCAGTGGATCTTTGTGCTGATGCTACTCGCTGGCTATCTTGCCCTTACCTATGGAGTGGATGTGCCTGGATGTCCCAAGTAAGGAGTATAGTTTGTTTTAAAAGAAGTAAAAGAAGTAAAACGAATCTCTCGAGTTATAGCGCGTTTCGAAGTCATAAGACCGAAGCAATCAGAACAAGGCAATCTGCTTCCAGCGCGGGAGACCATGCATGATGAGCAAAGACCCACATGCTTTTTTTTTTTTTTTTTTAACTGAGTTTAATGTAAGTTGGCCACCATAAAGAGTTTCTAAAGCTGACGTTTCAAACATTAGCCCTTCGCTAGGGCTTGGTTTTAGTTTTGCATCTAAAGGGTAGAGACGGCTTTTCTAGTTCTTCTAGACCAATCATTGAGCCTACAAAAGCAACGCCAATACAATTCCGGCTTAGTTTCGACAGACGGTCAAAAATTGGTTTATTGAATGATCAGGGTAGTTGACCTTGAATGTTTTTACATCAGCTATACGTCTAGTGTACGCCACGAGAATGACTGTATAACAGTTCTACATTCGCCCCCACCCCCACCCCCCCTTTTTTTTTTGTAAGGAACTTATTTACTAACTACATTACGATTGCAGGGGTTACACGGGTCCGGGGGGCATTGGGGAAGGATACCCAAATGCTTTTAACTGCACTGGAGGAATGGCGGGGTACATTGACACAATCGCCTTAGGCAACCATCTTTACAGATTTCCTACTATCAAGGTTAAGTAACAAAGTCATTTCTTGAACTCAAGATACATGCGCACTAAAGTTCCGAGTGGAAAAAAAGATTACCCGACAACACTTGGTCAAAATCATTCACCGAATGTGGAAAGTTGTACCTTTCTCAGCTCATTTTTACTCAGTTCGTTTTGTCATTTTTCTTTTATTTTTGCCTAGTCAAACGACGTAGGTTGATATTGAAAACGTTGTCTTAGTGTGAATCACTCGTTTCACACGATAATCATCTTTTCCCTTCATATGTACTTTCCAATCTTTTTTGCCAGTTTCTGCACCTAATCACAAATCTCTCGTGTTCTGCTCGAACAGGGTGTCTACAAAACTACCTTACCATATGACCCGGAGGGGATCCTTGGATGCCTAACTTCTATTGTTTTGGTTTTCTTTGGCGTTCAGGTAAGAAAATAAAATGTATTTGCTATCTATGAAAAAACAGACGCGTTCTTTTCTTAGTGTTTTTTTGGTATCTTAGCACACTGCTTGTCAAATTTAGCAATACTTTTGCGGTGTTTAAAACAAACACAAGCAAACAAAACCGAGAGAAAAAATTGAAAACAAAAACACCTAATCACACAAACCTGCGTACTTGTAGTTCTTGAAGGTTAGCGGTGCTGCACCTCGCATTGTTGATAGGAGCTAATGATTACTTTGCCCTATGTATTCTCCCCGGATCATTATCAGTAGCTGGTCTGAGTCCAGCTACTGATAATGATCCCTGCCTCCTTCTTGGTATAACGTGAAAATCGGCCATCAGATAACATAAAAGCATAGATAGGCAACAAATATTTTCAAATCATATCGCGTCGTCACGTTGTGTTTATGTTGGTTGATTGCATCGCAAAAACCGTGGAGCATTTGACGAAAATCGACATCGTTACAGAACATTACAGAACTGTGCATTACAGAACCCTTCTAACCAAGCAGTGAGAAAAAAAATATGCATATATTGGCTAGTTATTTCGCTTCTGTCATCTGCTTACCTGAGTATCGCATTCCTTAGTCGTGACAAAAATGGTTCTTCGCAAACCATTACTAAATTCACCGCGTGTTCTGAAGAGCCAGCATATTGTATTGCTTACAGCCATGCGGTTTCCTGGACTACACGATTTATCATTTATAGGTTGTAGGACATATATATAACATATAATTTCAGAGGGGTTAAATACTTCGAAGATTTCGAAGAGTGAGTGACTCTCCCAAAAGATGACTGCATACTTCTTGGGAAATTTGCACGAGCGATTCTAAATTTTTTCTCGTTGCTTCTACGGTGGCTCTTGGTTGGTTAAAAAACAATACCCTATTCATCGGGTTCACACATTGCGTGCAGTGAATAATTACCAAGTCTCTTCAAAGAGCACATAGTTCTTGCCAATCAGATGGAGCTACTTTAGTACATAAATTATTCTAGTTTAGTTTTGGATGGATAATTTAACTGAAATCAAAATTACATCATATTACTGTCATAAGGACAACAACAACAATAACGACAATCAATCTTTATTTGTAAGCTCTCTGGCTTTATAAGCTGTAACACACACAAAAAAAGATGATAAGATTGCTGGCTGCCTGGAATAATCATAGGGGCTATTGGAGCCAGGCAGCCAGTTGACCTCTACATTAAGAACAGAATGAATCAAAGTGCTCTGTGAGCAAACTCGTGAATTGACACATGATTTTTTAGATTATGTTTAATGTTATCTGGTTTAGGGAATTTGTGGTTGATTGTCTTATCTGGAGTACGAGCAGTAGATCAGTGTTCGCTAATGTAGCAAAGAAACAAAGTAACGTTGGGATAAGAAGGCATTACAATTGAAATGATCATGCTACTACATTTGACAGGGTGGATGATGCCATGTGTTTTAAACGTCTATCATTTTTTTTTTCTGGTTCAAAAGAAAAGGTTGGAAGTAAATGTGGGTGAAAAGTAAAATTTACTGTCTTTCGTTATAAATATTAGAAAATCAAGGCAATACTGTCTTAATGAAAACATTAACGATTCCCTCTTTGTCAAATGAGACAAACGGAAACGAGTTTTGAGTGATATAACTAAGCCTGCCACCGTCATTTTGGATCTCCACCTAAGTAGATTTAAGTCACGTGCTAGGCAACGTATAATCAATAACAAGATAAAATTTCATTTCAGGCCTATTTATCAATTTTGTGGTGTGTAACTTTCGCATTTTAGTACGTTGTATGTATGTTGAATCTTCAAACTGTCTTGAAACTTAAAAAAAAATTGTTCTTTAAAAATTCACTGAAAATCGGTAGCTAAAATTGTTTGTTTCGGTGTTATTGATTTTCGTGTTAGCTTGTTATTTCGTCAGTCGCCGGCATCTCTGTTGCTTCACACAGGAAAAACACACGCGACGAAACGTAATGATTAATTTTGTCCACAATCTCACGCCACAACAGAAAAAGCTTTTGAACATCTTTTAACTCCGAGCGCTTCGCAGTAAGTGATATTTTCAATGAACCTTCGGATTGTTTTCAAGTTCAAGGATTGTAAATTACAATTTTATGAAAAACGAAGGTTGTTCTGTTATTTCAGTGTGAATCCTTGCATGCCTGCCAGTCGCTGGCGCCGCTTGTTGAAACTAAAACGAAAAAAAAAACTCTTTTAAGATTATCATTGGCTTCTTTTTCACCCCACCACTATTCTTAGCAACAAAGGTCGCCATTTCGTCTGTTTATTGCTCGCCAAAAACTATCAAATGCACTCAAAAGCCTAAAATCTAAAAAAAGTTTACAGGAATCGACCAATCGAGCGAGCGAGCGAGCGAGCGAGCGAATGCCATTCCCCACATCGTATCTATAACTCGCTCTTGCGCATGCGCGCAATTCACGAGTTAAAAAGCATCCTGCAGGAGCTAGTAGGATTTGGGGAATCACATTGTTTTCAGGGGGAACCTGAGAGGAGAGAAGGAGATATGTCCAGTGAATAGGTGGGTGATCAGTTGATCAGTTGTCGCAAGAGACTATATTATATTTATATTCTCTTCGATGTCGTCAACAGAGTAAAAAGGGGGGTACAGTGGAAAAACGACTGCCAATTAAGTGAAAATGAGGGGGAGGGAAATCATAAGAATATTATAGAGCCTTATGGGGGAATGAAGTAAATTTTAATCGCTACACAACCAAAATGCTTTCAACCCCCCCCCCCCCCTCCCCCCTTCCAGTTGATAAATAGTGCCCGTCCATTATTGTATTATTTTCTTCTTCCGAACAGGCTGGTCACATACTGACAATTCATTCCAAACATAGACCACGACTCATCAGGTGGATAACCTGGGCGGTTCTGATGGTGAGAGGTTTCAATGATAATCTTATAATAGAGAAAACATTTTAGCTTTTAACCAGCATTGAATCACACGTGAAGGTTTGAAATAATTTTCATGTTACATTCTTCAGACTGCATTTACGTTGGGCCTGTGTGGAGCCACAAAAAATGAAGGGATCGTTCCAATCAACAAAAATATATGGTAACAAAATGATCCATTTTGATTTTAAATTTCGCGCCCTGATAACTTGGGCCGCGCCTGAAGCTGCTTGGGTTTACAAGTATATTTTGCACCGGCAGTAAAACTTTAATTTACGAAATTATCATCGTTTAGCAGCCAAAAACATTTTTCAAAGAGGAAATATCTTTTTAGGTCGGTGTCGTTCATCTTAGCCACGGGAGCGAGTGCATTCTTTCTGTTTGCTATTTGTTATCTTCTGACTGACGTCCTGGATTGGTGGAATGGTGCACCCTTCTTTTACCCAGGTAAGAGTCTAAGAAAACTGCTAAGATGTAAACATACAAAGGAATTTATTACGATTACAGGAAACCCAATTATTTAAAACGCTTTTTATTAGATCATCTGGTCCAAAACAAAACAAAAAATTAGTGACAATTTTTGGACGATGCATGAGTTAACATTCAACAACTTATGATTTTTTCCTTTGACAAACTGTCTCAAATCTTTGGGGCTTATCGCTGATAATGTATCCTTACGATGTCTAACTTGTTTGTTTATTAGAAAGAGGGACCCCATCAGGGAACCAACACGTGACGTCACACCCAATTCATTGTCTTCATGATAAACCGTGATATAACATTCTTGTCTCCTCGTGATGTATCATATATTTTGATCCCAAACAACCCAGTGCGCAGATTTTCATCGATAAATATGGCATAAAAGTCAAAATCAAGCGACACTACATCTTATAATTTTGGTTCAAGAGAGAATTGACGTAAGAGCTTAATCGCCTAATATGACCCTATTTCCAAGGGAAGATCTGTCGGAACTTTAGTTCATAATCAAGCTATCTGGTCTTCCAAAGATTGCATCTAGCGCTCTTGTTGCTTGATTAATTTTGTGGGAGGAAAATGTTAATTCATTAGAAGACTTGAATGGTCATGTGTCAGAAAACAATGACATACAATTGGTTATTTCTATATTCTATCAGGATCTTTGGAATCAGGAATGATTTAAAAGGGATTAACTTTGAATTAAGGCCATTTGTAGGGTTTAAGTTTGACGCTCCAATTTTTCTCGATAATTTTGCTTATTTTGGGATGCATGACTCTTCTTTTATAGGTATGAACTCCATTCTTGTGTACGTTGGTCATGGTATTCTGTGGAGACACTTTCCCTTCAGCTGGGAGATGGATGAGTATGGCGGCCACGCGGAGAAACTAGGCATGAGCTTAGCTGGAACTGCCTTGTGGGTTCTGATAGCGTATTGCCTTTTTACTAAAAATGTTTTCCTGAAGATTTAAAAGATCTCATTTTGAAAACGTTTTGAAGCATCATTTCTACTGACAAGGACATCTAAGGAAACTTGAACATCAGTGATCTCTCGGTTACTGAAAATATCCTACAACATAAGATAAGGACTCGTGAGCCAACATCAGATGTCTACGCTTCATCGCTATTCCTTAACATTACACTTAGAACAGTTCATAACTGCTTCAGGTTTTTCAATTAAATCATTGGGCTGGGCTATAAGGGCCGGGGAGCGAATAACTGATAAAGCGATAAAGCTAAACTCGGCTCTTGAAAAACTATAACATAAGTTAGCAGGTCATCGACCATTACTGTGCAAAAGCGTCAAAGGACAGGTCTTAGTCTATTTGCTACATACGCTAGGTCTCAGTCGTAAATCTACGCTCTCAGATGATCTTAATTAAGTCATTCCATAGATTTACAAGAGCGAAACTGCATGGAATAAAATCTACAGCTTTAATGATAAAGGCGTAGGAGTGCATCATTCTAAAGGAAAAGGTTTATTGATCGAGCTGAATTGTAACCTTGTAAATGTGTTGTCTATTTATCTTCTTGTGAAAGAAAAAAAGCAACGAAATCACCTCACTCCAAATGATAGCGCCCCTTATGCTTATTTTTATTTTAAAACATGATGGGATTAAATTGGCTGTTTCAGGCCTTCAGAGAAGTCAGAAACGTTTAGCTGCCTGCGACCGTAGGAAACACACTTTTGTCCTGTTGTCTTATATCATTGTTTACAAAAATACAGGCGTCGTCAAGATTTAATCTTACAGACATACATTAAATTTATGATAGTGTTATACACCCATCGCTAAGTTTTTCTGAGCTGTTGTGCGTTTGGTCAGTTTATGACTTCGGCTAAGAGAAAATAATGCTGTAGCTTTTTAACGCTTTTTTAACTCTCATCTACTTACGAACATGCTGATTAATCCAGTCAACATAGGGAGCTAACTTGGTGTAGAATGTATATCGACCGTAAATACCACAGCCCTCTCCCCAGCTAACAAGACCTACAGCGACCCACTTCCATGCACCGCCCTTCAACACCCTCATAACAAAAGGCCCTCCACTGTCGCCCGTGCATGGTCCGATTCCATTTCTATCGCTTCCAGCGCAAAATTCTAACGAGTCGTTAAAGTGATAATCAGTAGAGTTCTGGCAAAGTTTCGAGTCTTGAATTTGAAAATGAGCGGATCTTAATACCGCTGATGAGGAATACTTCGAGTCGGCTGTCTCTCCTGGATTAAGCACTTGGGTGGCTCCCCAACCAGCAACAAATCCATGAGCTCCAGGTGTTGCATTTTCGTGGTATGACGTGCTGTTTTCTGCTTGTGGAAGGCAAACTTTACGTACATTCCGAGTAAGTGTGACTCTGAAAGATAACTTGACTAAGGCAATATCGTTTTCTTTGTATTCGTCGTGGTATTTGGGATGCATGATTATTTTGGTCGCAAAATACACTCGTTCCGAGGCTTCTTCTATGGTGCGCACACTGTCACCGACCTTAATCTTGTACCTGAAGAGAAAACCCACTTCAGTTAGAGGCGTCGTAGAGGCGTGTAGCGCTCTCAGAAAAATCGGTCTCAAACTAAAACGAACCACAGAAAAATTGCGAAAGTCGTGGAGCAAACGATGAAAGTTTAAGTGGTTTAAGTCTGAATTCTTTCTGATTACGTCAAAGTCAAATATAGAGGAAACTTACATTTCCGGGGGTGAAATGAGAGATTTTCTAACGTGGTCATCCGCGTGTGTGTACATGAAGCAGTGGGCAGCAGTGATTATCCACTGTCGAGTGATAAGGGCAGCTCCACAGAGAAAATGTTCTTTTCCTACATACAAAATGCAAATATCAAACTAAACGAAAACAATCTCTAAATCAAACGCGCAGCTCCACGTCAGCACGAGGAAAACAGGGATGAGGAAGGACAGATTGCGCTGAAGGAATAAGAAAGCAACCGCATCGATTATTATCAACTGAAGGAGCCTCGCCATTATGATATTTTCGGTTTTCTTGTTGCTCACTTGGATTATTGGTAGTTGTTCGTACAGTATGAGATAAATACGACTAGATGCAAAAGGTGTCTCCGGAACAGTTCATCTTATTAGCTCGTATTCTCCTTGGGGATTTTTGAGTTAATCATTCGGGAATGTGTCAGAAAAGCAGAGAGTTCCCTATTCATACACTCGTCCGGTATTCCGTGTTGTCCATTCTTTTCCGCACCTATTCCGAGCGCCCCGTTAGATTTGGCATCCCACTTAGTTTTGTGAAAGTTGTTGAACTGAGAAGGAGCCTTCGGAAAAAAAGGGTACAATGTTAGGCATCATTACATATCTCACCGGTCGTTTGGTCAATTCGATAAAGTCCAGCTTGCCAAGGCCACATCCCGTGGGTGCTGATAACACCACCCACCATTCGAGAAAGGCGGATTCTCTTCCTTTCACCGCATTTGGAATAATCTGAAAATGACAAATGCGGCAGTGTTACAATTGAGCAAGTAATTTTTTTAACTCTAGCTCTTCGCCTAATTCCTTTACCAACAAATTATTTCCAGTCCCACAGTTTTATTTAAGGAGGGGGAGGGGGCGTTTTCTTTGAAATGCAAAGCCATTGAAAAAAGGTGAAAAAAAATGGAGGAAAGGGGAAGGAACAAAAATACTTCTGTGGATTGACTGATGTGGTGGTTTTCCGAAGAAAGATTTAAAGGAGAGGCAGATGAACAATGTATTACCTTTCACTTGCGAGGGGGGCAGACACTTGGGTTTACGGTCACTCCAGCTGCCATCGTAACAGATGATTCTCCTGGGCCCTTGAATCTTCAGTGATTTTTGACACTGGAAACTCACTTGTTTTGCATGCCTAAAGTTGTTCCCGATTCTCCGCCCCCCGGCTGGCACTCCTGGGTTACTGCAATGGGCTGAATGCACATTGATAACGTTCTAGCGTTATTTGATGTTAATGGTTTTTACAACACTCAGTCGAAAAGGGACTGCATTAACTTGTGGGACAAGCGTTTTTTACCTCTAAGCAAGCCGTGGCGAGCGCAACAGGTGACACACGATCCTCCCTACTAGGCGTCTCGCTGACCTCGTTCGCGCCTCGCGCTCGCTACCGCATCGCTGAAAAACGCAAAAAAACGAAGCTTGTCCCTTTAGCTAAAACTGCGTAACCTTGTTTCGCCAAAGAGCAATGAAGGGATATACCTTTACAAAGTGTGGGTTTGCCACTCCATTCACCATTTGCTTGACAAAACCTTCTTCGACTTCCAACGATTGAATACCGTTTTTTCCTGCAAATAAAATCAGCTCTACCACCGAATGTAGTTTTAGTTTCCTTGATTTTCATCCCATGGGCTGGATCTGGCAGACTTCCACAGTCAACAACTACCAAAATGATAAAAATTAAAGGAATTAAGAGATAAACGTTCATGATATCTTTTAAAAGTTTTCGTTATGCTGACAATTTCTAACAGGTCCAAACGTTAGTCACTGAAGGGTAGCTGAACTTTGGGCGTCTTCATGCTGCTCAACGGGCTCATGGTCTCTTGTGCTGATTCAATGTGTTTGCTGTTAGAAATTGTATTAAGAACGCTTATTTTACTCATCATTTTTCGCTGCGCTTAAAAAAAAGGACCCAAATTTTAAGTAATGGACGTATTTGCCATTTCATCGGCATTTTTACTCTCCGTTTTTCGTTTTTAGTGATACCTTTTATGGTTGTTAGTCTTCGATATTTATTTAGACAGTCACTGTTTCTGTTGTCGTTTTTTTGTCGTTTTTACCTTCGCATGTAGGCGCTGCTTTGTTCCAGGTTTTATTTTTCAAGCACTCTATAACTGCTGCTCCTTGCAAGACAAATCCGGTTTCACATGAAAATCTAACCCTTTGACCTACAGAGTAAGCACTTCCAAATCTTCTACCATTTTTGGGCACACGTGGGCTTCGGCACTCTTTCGAAGCTAAAAATCAAACGAATTCTCACCATTTTTTCAAAATGACGACTGTAAAATGAATGAAACATTATGAAAAGTATAAAAAGGTACTGATATATACATTTCTATTGTCAGTATCCACGCGGCTTGGCCAAATTTTAGAATTTTTTCTACTCAAAACTCGAAAGGAAGGTGTTACGTTAGTGCGAGCACAAGAAAGGGATAAAGTCTAATGAAGCACGCCTTTGTCACCGGCTATTTAAGACGCTTCACATGTGTGCAATCAAGCGAGGAGTCACGCAAGGCTATCCTTTAAGTTGCAAATGATTTGGCAGTATTATGGCGTAATTTCATTTTCGTAACTAATTGTACTTGCCTACACAAGTAAAGGTTAACTTCGTCCACGTTGTTCCTAGGCACTTTACAAGAACAAGGCCAGACAAGCGTTGATATCCTGGCTTACAAGTGTATAATATTACGGTTCCTTTGCTGTAACCGCTTGATGTTGGCTTTGTTGACTCAGAGCGAATGGCAGCATTGCTTGGAAGAGGTGGAGGTCCGCAAGATGAAGCTATTAGGAAGAAGATTTCAAATTCTATTTTGATAGCCTTACAATGGTTTTCGGCGAAGAAATAGATGAGTAGTGTAGGTGGGGAAAGCAAGCACGGTTTTAATGTAACTGCTCCATTTCTTAGACGAAAGAGACTAACCTGCAGAACGGGAGTAATTGTTTTGAATTTTTAACGCAAACATAGGTAAGGGTGAGGCATGCGCGACTCACGCGCGAGGGGAGGCGCTACTCTACTTGTGCGTGAATCGCGCTTCGCGCTCGCCTTGCGTTTGCCTGTTCTGCAGGTTAAAAGAGAGAGAGTGAGATGGTGTACGAACTGCTTGTCTCTTGATCTTTGTTCACTTGAATGTTTGGTTTTGAGAATTCGCGTCCTCTGAGGCTCATGACGGTTTGAATTCAATCGAGAACTTTTGACGTTACATTTCGGTTCTCATTTGACCCCGAAATGGGAAATTCGTGAGCGACTTTCTAATTTTCACTCTCAAGGGGTGGCTCGTAATTCCTTATGTCAATAATTCTTCTTCTAAGCGGGGAGGGAAGGGGGTCGGTCGTCGAATCAAGCAAGATGTTCTTCCCCACCCCTTTCCACACGATTTAAGTTTGCAAGGGGGTCCTATCACTGTACTTTGTAATAACCATATCGCATGATGCCACCGTGTAACAGATATCTTTGTTTATGCGAGACAACCGGCTATTGACTCCGCATAGCAATAACAGCCGGTATAGTTTACGTAAAGAGACAAGTTTGGGCAAATCAGGTGATTATGTTCCTTTTTTTCTCGAGAAACCAGGAAGAAAACAGTTTTAATTCAACGTTACCATGATGACAACTAATTCCCTCAACGGCGCACGATATAATTTGATTTGATATGTTTTTTTCCTTAATTAGCATTCGCCAGAACCACCACATTTTTCATTTGGTGCATGTTTGGCGTTATTTTGAGTTCTCATATCACTGAAATTTATCGGAGATCGTTTCAGCTTGTTTTGATTAAAAGACTGATAAGAGTAACTATGTTCAACTTATTCTGGACTGATAAAATAATGTTTTGGTGCAAATTTTATCTACAAACTATATTATTGTTGGTTGAGTTCTACTCTTACCTTTCACTTGCGGTAGAAATATGCAAACGCAAAGTACCAGTATTTGCAACACGTTGGTGGGGGTCATTTTGGTAATTATCCTTTAAGCGAAACAACAAGAGTGTTGGTGAATTCGAAGAATTCCTTTGAAGCTTAGACGGAAGTAAGACAGAGAATAAGCCTCTTTTTAAATTGTTTATAATCATCAGCTAAATTTGACTTTGATAAAGGGGGTAAGTTTCTAAAGAAACTGTGGTGCTGCGTCGGTAGAAGAGTATAACAGGGTAATTTAGTATTATCAACTGAGTTGGACGTAAATTGGCCACCGTAAAGAGGTTCAAAAGCTGACGTTTCGAAGGTTAGTCCTTCGTTGGAGGTAATTTTTCGCCATTCGCTCTGACGAAGGGCTAACGCTCGAAATGTCAGCTTTGAAACTTGTTACGGTGGCTAATTAAGTATTATCAACTCAGTTGATAATACTTAATTACCCTGGTAAGTTTGACTTGTGATTGGTTTATAGATACGAAGGAACTGTTATTCCTGAGGAATCTATTTTTTAATTTTTTCCCTCGAAGCACCACAGTTTCTTTAAAAACTTACCCCCTTTTATAATATTTGTTTCCTACTGCGAAATGAAGACGAAACAATTCTCCATACATAATGTAGCATAATCGAATTCATGATTTAGGTCACTTTTGTAGCAAATGACGATTTAGGCAGGAATGAAACGTAATCTTTGTTGAAAAAACAGTTAAGGCTAAGATACTCGATAGTCACAATAGCCGGCAGGAAATACCTTGCCTTATCTTTCACAATCGTCAAGTCCATCACGTTCCCAACCTCGTATGTTCCTGTTGCGCTGACTAACCCTTTTCTTCCCTTTGTTTAGACAGGCTTTCTTGATCACATTTCTCCTCCCTCCCCCCGGTGTCCAACACAAACACACACACACTACTTCATCCTCAATTACCCCGCTTTCCTTGTCGTCGGTAAGATAAAAGAGCGTTACTAAAGACTTTGTCATATGGACCCTGAAGAAGAGACTTAATTTACTGAAAATAACCTGAAATTATAAGTGGTACGTGTTTGTGGATCTACGTATTCTCTCCACGCTTAAGCGCAGCGGGGAAAAAAGCCGATCAAATGCTGACGAAAACAGCATGTTGCTCTGACTCCGTCTTAAATCAAAACAATAAGATCAACATCAATCAAGGGTGTCATTTAAGCTGAAGGCGAAACCTGAAACTACATGCTTTGCCAGTCGTGACTCAGTATGTCTGATGATAGTACTTCCTGTGTGCGTATCATACGTTCGTGGTACATTGTGTTTGAAGCACGATGAAGTACGCAATTCTTTTGCTCGCCGTATTCGCCATTCAAGGTAACTGCACTACGTTTTCAGTACCCGTGATCTTAATTTCAATTCATTGACATGTAATGTCATTAACAGACCCAAAATTAGACCGATATGATAATTGTTATCTTTGTAACATTTGTTATCAGGTATTCGAAGTCAAAATTGTACTCGCACAAACCATCAGAGCAATATCTGCGCCAAACCCTGTAATCCATCAAAGAATGAATGCGGTAGAAACGAAGATTGTATATGCGATGGTGACTGTGGCCATAGTTGCGTAAAAAGAGGTAAGACGAGAAAACGGGCATAATGAACCACCTCGTATTTCCTAACCTGAACGTTTGGCTTTTCAGTTTCTTCTTTAAGGCGCAATTCAATACAACTTCTCATGTATATTTCGAAATTTTTTCTTTTGCAAAATGTAAGAATTTAATGTTTAAAATCAAAATTAGCGTAATCGCTGAACCGTACTGAGACAGAAGTGAGAAGTGTTCCTCTTCAGTTTGGTCACAGCAGGACCACCTTGGCAACTGTCATTAATTATATTCCGTTTAAGATAACGAAAGAATAGTTTCAATTTTTTTTTTTCAAATGCAAGTTACAGCCTGTTTCTATCTTTTTTATTTTATTTCTAAATCAAAGCACTCATCGGGCCCTACCATCGTGATTTAATAAATCACCTAATTTTTTTTCTGTCTCGCCAAATTCTTATTTGGTTTGTATTTGTTGCTGAAGACTAATATAATACTGAAATACTGCTCCAGTTGGCTGTGCACGCGCATCTGGGCGCTCAGAAAAATAGACGCGATACTGTAAAATAAGATTAGGGGTTTTCTGTTTTTATCAGCTTTCCTTCTTCAGTTCCGTTGTTCACTATTTGATGAATGGAGACTATTTAATGCTTAAGCCCACGCACGTATCACTCATGAATAGTGCGTGACGTCCTTGCGCGTTGACGCGTGACAATAAAATTAACAGCCTTAATTAATCATATATGTAGACTCAATCGCAGCCATTCTTTGGGATAGCACGTAACGTTTGGAGCGCGTGATATCCCAAATAACGCGTTCGAGGGAGAACAGGTGAAACAAGCTATCCAATGGCTGTGAAAAGTACACTTTGCGACAACTATCAGAGGGGTTTTCCATTTTAGCTTCAGCAAAGAGATCGATTACAAACCGATCCATGTTTTGTTTAAATTTATATGCAATTGCTCATCGAAAAAGGAAATCAAAGAAGAACAGCATTTAATCAGAAATTTGCTTTTTTTGCTCGTATGCTTTAATTTCAAGGTTTCTATGAGGAAGAGGAATATACCAAAAAATTTCTAGGTAAATACAATGTTTATTTTTTGTGTTTTATCTACAGGCCTTCACTGTCCACGATTGAGCCGAATTGATAAAGGTCGAGTTAAATTAAAAAATACCGCATTTAGGTCAGTTGCCAAGTATCAATGCAGATCACCATACAAGGCAATCGGATCTAAAAAGAGAACGTGCAGAGGAAATGGCACCTGGGACGGTCAAGAGCCTGTCTGCAGTAAGTAGTGCACCCTTGCCTACTTTACACGCGCGATTGTTTTAGAGCGGGATGTGATTTAGACTTACTACACGCGAGTCAGAGGTCGCATTCGCGAGAGGCAATGGGAATCTCTTTCGCGTTTCTATTCACTTCACTCGCGTTTTCTTTAAAATCCCCGCCACGTGGGTTGTACTATAATCCTGGAACTTTCAATAAATTTAAAAAAATGGAAATCTACCATCATCTTTCAGTATTATAGAATAGTGTTCACTTTGTTTTAAAAGGAGAGTAAGACGCTTGCTCCAGCATTCCAACCAGTGGAATAGTAGGAGCAAATATTCATCTGAATTCAGGATTTAAACACAGGAAAAAATAATTTTCGATTCCTGACGGGTTAAAGTTAGAAAGTTCTTAACACGAAGGGTGTTAACCATTGTAGTTATTTCGCTATCTTTCAGTTGCAGTAACTTTCACTCCAGATGTTTCTACTTTTTTTTTCTTCAGGGGTGTAAATATTGAACAGTTAGACTATTCGAAAAAGGAACTTCTCAATATTTGTTGGGACGAATCATCTCCTTCCATATTACGCGAAAGAGATGGTGCTTTACACTATTGTATTCCCTTGACACATAACTTAGTGGAATGATAAGTCGCGAAAGAAATTTGACACTACAAACACAAAAATACGTCGACTATTTGCTCCTATTTTCTGCCATGCTCCTTTACGCCTTCTACGTGTACATTTTTATCAAACATATCCCAGTAGCTACTTCATGTAATATTCAACAGGCGCATTCTTTCCTTTCCTTTTTTTCTTCCGTTAATTCTAGAACTGATGTGTCCAGTCCCACCAAGTATCTTAAATGGTACAATGAAGTATGATAGCTTAGAAGTTGGGCAAAAGGTGACTTACACTTGTTCGCCTGGATTCGTAATGGAAGGTAGGAACACATTGACTTGTGCGAGGAGTGGCGCCTGGAACAGAGGTGAGCCAAAGTGCGTATGTAAGAGAACCAATCGTGAACATTGGAAATTCTGTAGGAGACAATGCAACCCAAGCACATCCGGAAGCTGCAGAAACAACCAGGAATGTATTTGTGATGGAGACTGTGGATACAGCTGTGTTCCGAAAGGTTTGAAAAAGACATATCTCTACATTCTGTTACTTGCATTCATGAAACGCTTTATGGCCCTTTTACAATTATTATGGGAATATAAAGCGCTAAGCTGTCCTTGAAAAATGACACTAGCAGGAGCATCTTCTTTTCACAATTGAAATACATGATTTTGTTCAAGATTTCTTGTGTCAGATTTTCACCTGTCGACATATCCGTTCTTGATCTCCTGGCCTCGTATGGTACGTGAATTTTGTGTCGGAGATTGACAGACTTAAGAAATAAGATAGCATAGCCCAACGCAATATAATTTGAGGGCTATGGCCTTTAAAACCTGTAAATTGTATTTACATTCCCTCGAAACCTTGATTGAAAGCACTTTAGTAGTCTTATATCAATACCAAAAAGATGAAGAGCGGGAACTACCGACTAAATGCCTCTACATCAACTGTCAAATGGGTAAAATCACATCGAATATGGCTAATTAAAGCGAGGAGACTATGCACCTCCGATCTTTTCATGTGTATGTGTTTTTCGGTTAAACGCTATACTTTTGTGTCTGAATCACGGTTTAATTTGGGAATAAGGCGCCGTACCTAGACTAGTCTGACATCTCTGATAACTCATCTCTAAAATATGACTCTATCAATTAAGTGTTATATCTATACCAAAGTAAACTTTTTGCTTTCAAATGTAGCTCTGGAATGTGGAAGACCATCAAGATTGGAGAATGGAAAACAAAAATATTCCTCCCGAAGACTTGGGTCTGTTGTAAAGTATAATTGCAATGAACCTTACACCTTGATCGGACCCAAGAAGCGTACTTGTCGTGGCATAAAGAGATGGGATGGCAATGATCCATCATGTAGTAAGCAATGGTCTTTTTTTGTATTGAGATCATGAATAACCTTAGTCAATATAGGACCTCTCGTAAGGTTGCTGCGTTATTTGGTAATTGAAAAGAAATCGAGAAAAGAACGAGAAAAAGAAGAAAGTAAGAGTTAAGAAGGTGGTTTTATTATGCCGAAAAGATGACGACGAGGAACAGCTTTTAATTTTCTTTTAGCAATTTAAATTTGTTGAGGTTTTTTCTCTGAGATAGTTTTTATGCCCTGTTTATGGCTCTTTTAGTAATATTGTTAATACTCCAAGTAGTAAGCACCTCAACGTGAGCAATCCTGTGCGAGTGTACGCAAGTAAATATCATGGACGGAATTATAGAACTAAGTATCACAGATGCGATTCAAGACGAAATATTTCACCGAACTCTGACAGAAATCCCTAGTTATAACCCAGTGGGGGTACAAATAACTTGCAAATAGGGTACAAACATCAAGCGTTATTGTACAGTTGGTTATTTTGTTTTGTAAAACACCAATTTAACCAGTCGACTGCGCGCGCTACAAGAAATGAGCTATATACTTAAAAAAAGATAGCAGTTGGATAATAAATAAGTTATTGGACGTTTTGGTGTCTAGTATTGCTTAGCACTTTTACTCATGGTCTTTATACGGGCTCGTCAAACTACGGCACAACTCGTGAAAATGCTAAGTAATACTCAGTATGTAACACACCACAACCTCTAATAAGATATATTTACTCTAAACGTTATTCTCTTTCATCAAACCTAATGAAAGAGAATGATGAGAAAACTGTAAATTCAAACTTTAGAAAATTTAAATTTTTTCTTTATAATACGAAACGCACACAGGCTGCTAAGGCTCTCTTCACTTTAGTCGTGATGGTAAAGACATCGTTGTTACGTCAATATTTCAGGCAAAAGATTAAGTCGATGGATAAGTTTTACTGAAAAGGGCTAAAACTGAGCTATTCATCGTATCTTTCTCAGTGGTAAATATTGTGTTTTTTTGATCGATTAATGGTAGTTTTATTTCCTTTGTGTTCACAGCTAAAAGTTGTGGCAGGCCACAAATCCCTCTCCATGGCAACATTAAATCACACGTTTTTACGTTCCGTAGTAAGGTTTATTTTGAATGTAACCCCGGCTTCAAGTTGGTTGGAGACAAGTATCGCCAATGTCAGGCGAATCAAACATGGAGTGGACGTGCGCCAACCTGTAAACGTAAGAAATGATGCTACTTAGTGTTTCATTAGATGCTGTTTTACTAAGCAAATGGAAAGCTCTCGGAGAAAGGGGAAAGAGCGTGAAAATACAAATTAGGGACTCAGCGAGCTCCCCAGAAATAAAGGTATCTTGCAAACGACAAGTAACATTCATGCCATAGATTTCTTTGGGGACGAATCTTTCGTGAAAATTCGTGTTACCTGTTATCCAAAGTCCCCACTCCCCTCCCCTTAAACAACTTAAAAGTTTTATTATGGTCAGTCCTCAAAGCGATGGAGGAGCGAACAAATTGGAGCTAAGTTTATTTGCTGTTGCTTTATAATTATCTCCATATTATTTTTGTCCCTTAAAGCAATTGATTGCGGCAGGTTGTCAACTCCACATAAAGTTTTAATAGTTTCGGAAACCGGTCACACGCGATTTGGCGGTTACGTGAAATATCGGTGTAAGGAGAAAAGCTACGAGCTGATTGGCTCAGAGACTCGAGTTTGTCAAAACGATGAACAGTGGAGCGGAGTGGAACCTTCATGCCAAAGTAAGTACTATTCTTTTACAAACTAACTTTAACATTACACCTATATTCAAAAGAGAATGATTCAATATGCAAAGGCCCAACCTACATCCTTCGCGCATTTTTGTCTCGCTGTTGTTCAAACTTAGTGTGTTTTATGAAAGCCTGCGGTATTCAAAATGTCACAGACCGTGCCATTTCGTTATTGGCCATTTAATCTCATTATCACGTGAACGTTTGCGTTGCAAACAAATTGAAAATTACATCGTCTTAATAGATATGTGATAAAGTGATCCTAAATTTTATACGCCCTTGTATTCCTGAAGGAATTTCACATTTGAAATTTTTTTTACAGTTATAAACTGTGGGAATCCAGATACCCCAGCTAATGTGAAACAAGTTAGTATTACAAATGGTTTTAATTATGGTAGCTCGGTGGAATTCGCTTGTGAGGCGAATTACACTTTGGAAGGATCCAAAATAATAACCTGTGGGGAAACAAAAGAGTGGAGTTCATCTGCCCCAAGTTGCCTTGGTGAGTAAAATTGTCACTAAAGAATCGTAATAGTCCATTTTACAGTTGCCTGATTGCCTGCCAAGCCTTTGAATAGAAGTGAGGCTAAGGTTGAACTTGTTATGATACAAACCTTGCTGTTTTTCAAATGTAAATTGCTTTGTTATATCTAGTTTTGCTAACTAGATATTGGTCTCTATCGCAACATGGTCACCTTCAGCCTCACTCCAAATCAAAGGCTTGTCAACTAAGTAAACAACTGTAAGATGGCCTATTGAACGTCGTTGTGTTATAATGGCGCAAGGAAGGAGGGGAGGGGGTTGCTATTATTGGTGCCAACTTCGGAGCTAAACAAATTATCAAATGCTACTAAATTAAACAAAACAACAACAACAACAACAAAAACCAAGCAACAAGTAATTATCAAAACAAACGCAAGGGGAAAAAATAGAAATTGAAAAGTAAAAATAGCTTTGGCATCTAAACTTTTACGTAATAAGTGATATTTATATATTGATTAACTCGACAGTACAATCGAATAGTTTTCAGATTGTATGGACATAAGCCATTTGATCCATTTTCCCTAGTATTCTCTCTGAGCTTATTTTCTCATTTATTAAATAAATTACACGACAAACGGATCCAAATGCTTACATTTACACGGAATTTATCTTTCAGCTCCATGTTTAGACCCTGGTGAACCAGGGAATGGAATAAGAATAGGAGATGACTTTACGCATGGGAAATTCATAAAATTTCAATGTGATGGTGACTTTGAGCATGTCGGGGAAAAAACCATTCAATGTTTGGATGGAAAGTGGAGTCACAAGATACCCCAGTGCAAAGGTAAAAGACGTATTAAATAGGAACGACAGTGGTTGGTCGTTATGATTAACTACTAAGCCACAAAGGCAAACCAGTAGGAAGATGTGGAAGGAATGGAAGATGTTGTTGTTCATTACGGTTCTATAGATAAATGAACGTGTAATTGTTCGCCTCGCAAAGTGGAGTCAGGCTATCAATCGTATTTACCGCGTCGTTTCGACTTCTACACGGCTAATCTTCGTCAAGCGACGAGGTCGAGAGTTTATCTTAGATTTTTATTTATTTAACCATTTCGTTTCTCATCAATATCTTAGATTAGTAAATGAATAACCCTGTAGATATGATTACGGGTTTTGTTATTTGGTCTTTGATAAGTTATGTATATGGCCATTTTTCCTAGTAATTTCGTGCGGAGATCCAGGAACACCAACACATGGAAGGCAAACAAATGTCGTTAAAAACTTTGCTTTCAGAGGAATAGTAGAATTCCAGTGTGATAAAGGCTACACCTTGAATGGCAAATCATCCCTTTCTTGCCAAAGGAACAAGACGTGGGATGGAGATGTTCCAAAGTGTTTAGGTAAATCTCTCTCTTGTGATTAAATATTTGAGCATCCAAAGGCCTAAGAACAATATCACACGCTTTCGTAATGTTGAAAAGAAACATAAATAAGCTCGAAAAGATTTCCCCATTTCGTAACAAGTTAGCACTTGATGGTCGTACACTTCCATAATTTCTCATTAGTTTCCATTGCAAAAGTACAACTTTTCGGGAACACGGTCCATTTGGTCATGATGCCTTCGGCTAAAAAATGAGTGTTGTAGCCCCCACCCTATTTATTATCGATCGAGATATCGATTTTTAAATTGTGATACAATTGAAAAAAAAAGGGTCTCACGCTTTGTAGTTTAAGCAAAAAATTCAAGTGCTCGGTCAAGCAGGTCAGGAACCCCTTTTGTTTTTAGTGGAAAGCGACTGTGATTGAACGTTCTCCAAGCATCTGGCCTACATGATTGTACTGATATTCCGTATAATTCGCTTTAAGGATGATTAGTGCAGCTATTTAGCTCGCGAGCTGCTTTCACTCACGCTCATAGGGTATGATTTTAGACAAATGCTTTTATTTTCATTTTTTTCTATTTTTCATTTTTAGCATCCTGCTCTGACCCTGGTACTCCAAGTCGAGGGAAAACCATTGGAAGTGCTTTTGAACACGATTCAGTCGTAACCTTCCAATGTTTATCCAATCGTGTTTTAGATGGCGCCTCGAAGATAAAATGTAACAACGGGCAATGGGACGCACATCGCCCAACATGTAGAGGTTTGAAAGTTGTCTTAAGTAATTGAATATCGTTGATTTGCTAGAGCACTAGAAATTTTAAAGAGCAATATGGCCATGATATGTTTGGTGCAGTATAGTAAGAAGACGCTAGTTGTGAAGAAGCAAAAAAATGTGTAGAAGTCATCCAATTCATGTTATGGTAAACTTCTTCCAAACGCGACATTGTCACAGGGAACTGACACATAGTGAACGATGGGCTAAGCTCAAAACGTCAGCTATAGAATCTCTCTACAATGGCCAATTCAAATTTTCAACTCAACTGATTATACCAGATCATCTTGTAATACTTCCCGACGACTTAGCACCACAATTTCTTTCGAAATTTACCACCCTTAACGCAGCATTGAGAGTCCTCGAGAGGTTAACCGGGAACTGACCAAAATTTTTATTGGTAAGAGATATTTATTTTCCTCATTCGCTCTTACGGTTGATTATTGTTACGACACACTCATCCATAATAACACGAGCCCGGAAAAATGAGCGATATACGAAAGTGTAGGACTACATTCGCCCGTCCCTTCGCACTCCGCTTTGTTAGAAATGTACAAACATAGTCGGTTGTTTCGTTTGAAACTTCAGAAGCACGGAGTCTAGAGCCTGGGATACATGCTTAGGCAAAAACACAGTGGAGCGAGAGAAACAATGTTTCGTTGTCATGTTAAAGTCTCTTCAATTGGAAACCTTTAAAATGGAATTGAAACTACAGAAACTGGCGGCAACTTGCATTTTTGAATTTGTAGCTTATAGCTCATTGTCCACTTTATTTTTACGTTTAAGATTGCGACAGACCCCTGAAAACCTCCAGAGGAAATATAAACTGTTCAATCGAAAGACAGACGAGTAATACTGAGATACACCTTCAAAAGGAAAATATTATTACGGCGGCAAGTATCCAGCTGGGAAAAGATAAAAGAAATGTTAGGCAGATTCAAATAAAAGCGCTTCTTTCCAGCAAATGGATAAACATTGCCAAATATTTCAAGGTAAAAACCTGATTACAATATTTCTTCTTATTTCCCGTAATTTTCTGCTCTGGACTGTGGAAGAGTAATAAAGTGAAATATGAAAATTTGACAATCAAGTAGCATAGTCATATTCGCTAGCACAAGTATAACATTAGATTTTTACACCAACAGCCATCTCTCAGTGAAGGAGTGAAAACAATGAAACTTCCTCAACCGGTTATTGCTCAGTCTTTGCAAGTTCTGCTCATCACCAGACAGGGACTCTCTAGTTGTTTAACACCGACATTATCATTATATGGATGTGACGCAGTACGTCGAGGTTAGGCTACTTAGTTCATAGATGAATTGTATCTTTAAGTTCTCTCTCCAACACTCTGTTTAGATAAGCATCCACAAATTAAAATGGAACGGTTTCATGACTGAAATGTGGAAAATTAAAACGTCTTTTCTTCTAAAATCACAGTGATTAGCATTGATGGTTGCATGATGTATAAAATAAATCCTTTAGACGAGAAACTGTTCGAAGTTCAGCTTAAGAATCACCTCATTTTTATGCAATAACTATTCGTATTGTTGTCTCGCCTCACGTTTTGCGTCCTTGTCTTTTTAGATTGTATCATGCCAGGCTCCGTAGTCCTCTTCAAAGAGGGAGGAACATATCGTAAAGGGCGTTTTGCGTCTGTCACGCGTGTCGAGTGGGAAGTCATCGAAGGAAAACAATACAAATATTTAAGCAAAGATGACATACTAATTCTTGATGAGAAACCTAACGTCAACCAGCTAACTGAAGGCACTATAGTCGTTGGAACAGATTCGCGAGGGAAAATAAAGAGGGGAAACATAAAAAGATCGTGCAGTTCCACTTCCTGTCCTATTGAAACAAACGGTGTAGAGTGGCAGAGCAAATTAGAAAACGTTCGATTATTCAAAGGAGAATTGTGTAAATAGTTCACGTTCATATGTTATATAAAATGTCTGAGCGGATGTTGGACTGTATTGAACAATCTTGAACAATCTATCTTTCACTTTTGACGGGCGCAGAAAAGGTGGGCTCGTGCTCACTCAAACCCCACTTATAATTTAAAGAAAGTAGACAGCTCCTGAGTGTGCTACTGTGCGTGCTCTTAGATTTTTCCGTTTTTAATTTCTCTGTGGAGCATAGGACCTCTATTGTAAAATTCCTATACTCAATGTGTTGTAAGGGCTATTCAAATGACCTCTAAAAATGCATCTCTGCATTTATAAATAAAAACTGCAACAGATATTCGACAATTTTTAAAAGACAAGGTTGAGCAAAATATTGTGGCAAGCAGATATACAATTTGCCGAAGCCGAGACGATATTACGCCTAGGGCAACCAGAGGCAGTTATAACAAGTCACATGATAGTATGTTCTCCCGGTTAAAAGAGACAAAAATTGAAAAGGCATTGAGTGATGATGTCCTATAAATGATTCCCACAAACTTAATTCGAAGCTCGATGACGGCTCGCTGACACCCCCCCCCCCCCCATGAAAAATAAAACTTGTTTTGGTACCTTTTTACTGTTTTTTTGTGCTGTTCGCACTTTCAACTCCCTATGCATAATTGTTTCGTCAAATTTATGTTGGCTTTCTGGGTAAATTTAACTTATGTTTAATGTTATTTAAACAAGTAAATTTCAATAAGTAATCCGTTGATTATAACGTACGATTCAGCTTTAGGCATTGATATCCAAGCAGTAAGAGGAACTAGGGAAGTGTACAAGTTGTTCCGCCGAAAACTGGTTAATAAATGAAAACTGAACAGAGACGGAAACAATTAAGCTCATAGTTTACGAAAGTTTGACTACTTTTTTCGGTGGCGTAATGTTGGTTTTATCGATATAAGCTAATTAGAAGCACTTAAAAGGGAACCCTTTATGACAAGTCCTTCCGGTAAAAACAAAATTGAAAACTAAGATTTTTCGCTTTTACTAAAGCAGCATTAATCTCTTCTGGATGTTTCACGGAAAGTTATGCTTCAAGAATGCTAACGTGACGCAAGAAGGCATGAAGTGTTCCATTGTTAATGAACGATTGGCAGGGCATAACTTTCTGGTGTGACTAGTAACTAGGCTTACTTTGAGAAGCGTTCACAGTTATATCCTCACAAAGATACTATGCTGTAATTTTTGAGCCAAACAAAGACAGCTCCCCCATCAGGCTGACAGTATTTAGTTCTTGGAGTTTCCTATCGCTCAGTTTATCGCCGCTGGCTCAATTGTATCTAACTTAGAAGATCAGACATCGTAAGACAATCGCTCTCATGGCCTACGTGGCTGATATTATTACTATTCTTTACTGTTATTTTTTTTTGTCATCTTTTCGCGGGAGGACAAGGAGGTAAGGGTGGAGAACGTGAGTAGTTCAGATAAGTAGAGTTACTGAGAGAGCAAAAACTAGCAGTGAAGCTCGCATTAGTGATATCGCGAGAAGCCAGCCACGCAGACGATGTCTCTTCTTGATTCTGGAAACTCCAATTATAAAGAATAAAGGAACATTCATGATACGCGCTTCTGTCGCGTCCTTTTTTGACGAAGGACGAAGGCTACATATTGCTGTCGCACTATGCTTGCTTCAGCCGTTTGAAATCGGCTTAAAATTACTGAACAGAGATGAGTAAACTTCCATGTCTTAGGAGATTACTATTTTTAGGCACACGTCCTCTATCTTCAGCGATATTTCTATACTTTCACACATGCACATATTTTTGTTCTAGATGTTGCCAGAAGTTATGAACAAATTGCGGAATTTTGAGCAGGCATAGCAAAAGGTAACATGTTCAGCAAAGATTCTTAAGAGAAAAACATTTAAGAAAAGATGCATTAGAACTTTTTTATCCACGCTTTATTCTTTGCAATTCAGGTTTTTTTTCCGAATGAACTGACCAGGTTGAAGCTCTTAGTCTATTCGAGTGGATTTCAAAGAGGAAGTTTGGAGTTTCAAGTTGTAAGTCCCCTTATAAGTGAGCATGTTGAGTATTGTCGGTAGAAGAAAGAATGTGAAATTTGGTGTTGGTTTTATCTGATTGCGAGAGAAAAATCACTATGCGCGTGAACCAATGGTGGGTTCTAATAGTGTCGTTGAACGCGGTTTTCAGTGTTGACATCTGAATTGACCAAGTCCCTTTTCGGCAACTTTACTGTATACACTAGGTTTGAAATTATCTACAGAAGCAATTATTGTTCGTGATCGAGAAAAAGAGAACTGAAAGCAAGTAGCTTTCATGGTTGGGAGTGGTGTGGGCTAAGATCTAAGACAGCGTAAAGTGAATCTCTCTAGAATGCTAACTGAAGTGAACACGCAGATCGACCATCCTCACTGTCCCTTCCATCCCCCAACTATCGCGATTTAATACTCTGCTCTTTAAAACTACTCGTCCTGGCATTAACATAGAGCAACCGGTTTCGGTGAAGTGCGTGTTTTCCAAACCAACCTTAAAAATCTTGAGTATAATCTGAACATAAGTCATGCACGTGCCGGCAAACTTACTGTCCCTGATATTACGGAGACACTAAAAATACTTTTTAAAAAGATCAATTAAAGATCGGTATTAAAAATCTAACCTCAAAACAAAGCCAAAGAAAATAGAGATTAAAAGAAAATCATAGCAACTATTTTAAGAGCTATTTCAGATTTGGTCAAATTTACCGGTTATGATCAGAAATTTTTGCGATACTCAAAAGGATTTCTTTAAGTGACAAGTTAACTTTTTAGCTAAACTGATCCACCGCACCTCCTTCCCAAACCTTTCTTTTAAGCAGAAAGATTCTGGAAAGATTCTAAGCAGCATGAAGTGCTTTGTTTTTTTCAAAAGAGGAAGGAGATTAGGAATGGAGGTATGCTGGTAAATAGGTCATTTTGTTTAGTATTTTCTTAATCACTAGATATAAAGCTGTAGCCAGATTTCCATGCGTAAGCCTCTTTTGATTGCTTATACTGCCTTATTTGTTTTCTAGCAGGCGAAATGTTACAGACAATGCCGATCAGCTTGGAAAATCCGGAAAAGGATCAGTAACCTTCAGTTGATTAGTCGGCTTTAATTGGGTTCTAAGATGTCTTTTTAGGTTTGTGGCCGGACTCGCCGCACTGGCAACTCCCTTTCTCATTTTCTAACCGGCTCCTCTCAATTAATCTCAGACCCCGACTGCTCTAATTCTTAAACATAAATACCTAATAGTTCATACGGAAATTCTCTGAGAGGGGCTATTCGAAGGCCGTTCAGTGGTTCAAATGATTCGAATTGTTTGGTGACTCTGATTTAACGCACTTAGGGGGGGCGACTGAGTGGGTCAATTTCTCTGTCATTGTGTAGTAAAACTACTTATCATTAGCGTCGACCAGTGCAGCCTGTGCGTGCATGGCGTGGTAGTTGTCTCCTTTATTGCCTAAATGGTCATCTTCAGTTATGACTAACTCTTTGCTAGACTGCAGAACACACGCGAGCCTCTTATATGTTGAGGGCTGATTTGCAAACACTGCCAAGGCAAACAAGCCTCGAATCAAAATATGTGGAATCAAACCGTATGACTTCGCCAGTCGGTCATTCTTTCCTCTACCGAACTATAAGCTAAAAGCAATAAACTACGTGTACAAGTTATAATTTGGTGCTTTAGACTCTTACACGTCTTTGTCAATAAAAATAAATAATTTTCACTTAAGTGATACCCACAGACTCTAAAAAGTAAGCACATACTAAATATAAAATCGTCAGAACCAATGCGAGTCATGAAATAGATCCCTTCATAATCTGTTTTGCTTTTTTTCTTAATGACATCAGTGTAGCATTGACAACTTGTAGAGCTTTTTGCCCTTTAACCAATTTAAGCTCCGCCAGGATAACTATACAGTGAAATGTTGTTTTTCAGTTTAATAACCGGAGAGATTACACTTTTCATCTGTCTGTCTCCGTCAAGTCGTCTAATTTGTCGGGAACAAATACGTTTTAACAAATTCTCATGTTCTTTTTGCGGTTGCAATGTCAAGAAAATTTCGTGATGTAGGACTTCCGATTGCTTTTCACCAAATAGAATAAAAATCGGTGTATGTTGATTTACTGTAACCACAGCATCCGTTTTCAAGTGCTTATTCTAAGAGAAGCCATCCAGGAATAGCCCACCGCAACTCAATGCCAATTTACCGATGTGATAAGACTTGACATGTGCGTCAAATTTGGGCTCCATTTTACCGCTGACGGGAGTGTTACTTATTTATCAAACTTACAAGTTTGAGCTGTGCAATATAAACATTATTAGCCCGATAGCTCGCGGCAGCTCGCGCCATTAAAGCAAAGACCTCCCACCAGGTGTTGATATCTTATGGGTGCACGTCCACAGTTCTCTACACAAAATGGGTTTCTTGTTACAAATTTGATGAAGATTAAGTTGCTTCACGCCGCTTCCAGCGCCTCTTTTTTTTTGTTGCAGCCCTCAGTGCTTTACCTTTGAAACTTAGAGCGGCTAAGGTGTCGTCGCTTTCAAAGTGCATCAAGGCAGTTAGTTTTCATTCTCGTGAATAAAGAGCGAAATTCTCCAAGTCATTTTGCTTGAAGTTACAGGAGTCAGTGATGACACCAGTGAGGCACTTCTTGATATTTTCTTTTGGCTTGATCTGGATGAGTGCGACAGATGTGAGCTCTTTTGGAGCCGGGGCAAGTGAAGGTAAGTTCGTGTTTTCTACCATTTCAGAGCGTGTATGCAGTCCGTGTCACGTTCCTACCCTTAGTAGCTTTGGAATATATTGGCCAATACCGCGGTTTGTACAAATGTGCAGAACTTATTCTCATTTCGTAATATGTGTACTGAGATGAATTTCGAGCAAGATTTGAGCTTGTCATTCATCGACCTAGACAAACGAAGCTAACTTGCGTGTGTAACTCTGACGAACTCTTTTCAGCCAGATTGAAAGTCTCTCCTAACGGCAAAAAACATTTTTTCTTGTTCAAATGGTTGACGTGTTTATAATACGTTCATGGACTGGAGATTACCTCTATAATTGAAAGATTAGTAGTGCAAGCGATGATAGTTTCCTCTCTAGCTATCAAAACTTTATTTTTCCATTCCTAAAGAGAATGCATGATTCTTCCCCCACACGGATTGCGGCCAGATGATGCCAGGATTTTGATCTTATCTTGTATTTTCTGTTTACCTTATTTTTAAAGCGTTTCATTGCATATCAAAACAATTTCAAAAGGGAAAAATTCACTGACGTTAAACATGCTTTCTAAAATTGTCGCACGGATTCTCTGAGAGAGTGATAACGAATCGTATTTCGAAACGTATTTCTCCTTGTTTCATCGTTCTTAAATGTTGTATTCAAGGCTTCTTTAGATAAATGTTTTATGTTATACTTCGAGGTCCTCAGAGATACTACTGCGACAAATGAAAACATGCACCTTTAATTATAAGAAATTAGCACAGAGAATTTGTTGTTGTCCTTTTTGAAAGCTCCTGCCACAAGAAAAGCAATGATTGACGCATCATTCAACCGCTGTAAAATAGTTCAAGTACTGTCACTGAGGTCCAGATCCATTCCATTATTCCGTAAGTCATACATCGAAAAATAAGACAATCTTTTGGCGATCATGTTTCGCGGGTAGGTCCTATCAAAGGCAAGGATCACTCATACCTGCAAATTGTCAAAGGTTGTAATGGCTGTATTACTGGCTTGACCACTCAACACATACACTAAGAAATGACTCGTTCAGAATATTCGCAATTCGTTACACTGTTGACAACGGGAGATCTTGGAGGAAACGTGCTTTACTATTTATTTCAACGTTACAGTAATTAATGTTGTAAAAGATAACGTCTGTGAGGTAAATCAAAATATAAATCGTTCGGTACTCATTCGCTTTCTTATGCTCACTTTCTCAAGACCGTTTATTGCTTGCAGACATTTTAGCTTATTTATTGCAGATGATATCTTCCCAAGGTCACCCGCAGTATAACAGAGTGACCCCCAGATCACGCAAATCATCATAAAATTAACGGATTAAGGGAGAAAAAAGTGCATATCTGCACTTGTACTAGGTCCGCACTGTTCAGACCACACAAAGAAAGTCCCTTTCATTAATTATCATATTCCATTCGTGTAACCTTTTAAAATCTCGTGCTGAGTTTCCTTTGCGCGGCTTCTCTTCATTGCGCAGTTGTAAACAGGAAGCTAAAAAATGTTGATTTATTTTGCCGTCTGTCTCAGTATGCGTTTCCGGAATAACCTAAGGGTTGAAGCAACAATGAATTAATTTCGGCGGTGTTATAGACGGAGATTTTCTAACGCTGGCATCACTATTCAAGCTGTACATCTGAAGTATTCGTTAATGTGGGAGCAAATGGCGCATTCATTTTACAAGGTTACTCTTCAGGAAATCTCTCACCGGGCAATTATCATCCAAACGGGGAGTAATTTTTCTAGCAACACCGTTACGCCGAAGCACGCAAAGCATTTTGGGTTCGCTTTGATTTAAAAAAAAAAAAAAATCCGCCCCAAATTTTGTCATAGGTTAGTATGGCACCCGAATATCTCTTGTGTGGTAGGATAAATAGAGCTCTATGTTTTTAGACGCTTTTAGTGTTACCAACAAAAATGATTTTTTAATTCTCTTGACACATTGATTTTATGCCACCAACAAAGTCTGTTTAAATTAAGATTGTAGGTATAATTGAAAAGCAGACATTAAAAGATAGTGTGTTAACCCCATTTTTTCCCACCTCACCCGCATACAGGAGAGGAGAGGTTTTGGGAAAAATCCACAGCAGTTCTAAGTCAATTGCATGTTTATAGCCATGACATGTAATTGAAGAGCACACGTCGAGAGACAATGTTTTAGCAACCTTTTTTTTTCTCTTTACGGGCAAAAGGGGTAAGGCACTTTTGGGAAAGAGGAAGGAAACTCCTTGTTTTCTTTTCGGCCAAGATCCAAGGCTAGAATCCGTAACTACGTTTGTATTCCAATGACACGATAATTTTGCCGTTTGGGTGCGGCGGAAGAGAAGATTTGCCAATATACTGAAATTATTATTTTTGTTAGTGACAAATGTATCAATCAATACAATTTTAGTTTGGATTTTGCTGTCTCATTTGTCCTCCTACCTCCAAAGGGTCTCTAATAATTGTCGCCTGAGTGCCACGCACACTGTCAATCTTTTTGCGTCATAATGTACCACTATGCTTTCGTTGCCATGAGAGCATAAACCCCGACAGGAGGCATCGTTAAAAGAAAGTGTTTTGAAAGGAAACAACGAATTGTTTTGCACACCTCGTAAATATTGGCTTGAGTCTTTTTGGAAAGTTCATTTTTGTTGTGAAATATTTTGTTAGTTAAGTAGGATTTAGCAATTTGTTTGCATCAAGTATTTAGTTACTGATTGAATTCAAAGTCCCAAGTTGGGTGGGTTTAAGCTATCGCTATGAACTTACAAGTTGTGTCTACCTTGTCTAACTTCCATTAGTGGGTGTGTTTTGTTTGTTCACGATAAATGTCTTGGACCCACACCAAAGACTTGATTGGCTTGCGCAGTCAAAGATTGATTTGATTGATCGAAAACCTGAAGTACGTTGCCTTTAATTTGCGAAATTCCTGTAAAAAAGTTTGGGTTAGCTTTCTGACAACAAATGTTTAATTCTATAAGGTCAGTTTGCTAGCATGTTCACTCATGCCTATTGATAGTGAGTATTAGAGCGTGTACTTTGGAGTTAGCAGTCAGTGAGAATCAGAGAGCGCAACTGATCAGTCAATCAGAGTCGGAGTAATTAAAGATAAGGGTGAAATAAAAATGATAAAATCGGATTGTATTAGAGAATGGAGATTAAAGAAAACTGAAAAGGACGGAACGAGAGTACTTGGTGCCTTTCGCTGAGCGTAAAGCGCTATGTAGCTTGTTTTTTCCTGATATTACGACTCAACATTTTAAAAGGAACCCTCCCAATCGACGAAAGGATTCTTTTGAAACCCAAAAAAGATTGCGTGAAATGAAGAGACCCTTTTTGTGCGTTGACAGGTAAATTACCTCGATCTCAACCAATGTCTTTCCATTTGTAGTTAGAACATGTGACGACCCTGGCTTTCCAAAGAACGGCTTTCGTGTGGTAGGAGACTTCAGATACAAGGCCTCCGTTGAGTATTTTTGCAATCCGGGATTTATATTCACCACAGGAAATCGGTTACGTCATTGTCAAGGGAATGGAAAGTGGAGTGGGACGTTGCCAACATGTAAAGGTTAGTGACGTAACACGGTAGCGCATTTCAGCAACACACGAAAGGGCTTCTGTCGTTTGTGCTTTCTTGCCGTCTTCCCCTCTTAAAAGGTAAATATAGTTTTTGTTACAACACTTTATTTGCCCCCTGTAGGAAATTAACAAGTAGCCTTCCATGGAATTTTTTTATAGGGCTGCAGGCTGCAAAACATGTACGAAGTCATCCTCAAATAATTGCCCAGACTAGCTATCAAAAGGCGGTGGGAACTAACAAAGACTCAGGTCTTTTTTAATGTAGACAATAAGCCTATGGGTTAGCTCAAGTGGTATCCTCAAATTTTAACTTTAGCAGTGACTGCCTTAATGAGATGAATGGCTAATATGTTAAGTTCCATCATATGCATTATATTCCTTTCACAATCTGGCAACAGTTTTCACATGGATGTTATACGAGCGAGTTTTGAATTGGCAGAATTCTTGTGTGGCTGACTTGTTCTGGCGTCCCAATGGTGTACACGTGCTGCCTCTCCCAGCCTTTTGTAGTTCAAGACCCCTCCTTATTTAGAGTCTAAAGAGATGAAACTAAGTCCACAAGTTATAATTTTCCGGTTTGACTACTATTACTTCATTTGTTAGAGCAATTGGTCACGTTAAATAACATTGACGAGAAACTTACCGCTTCCTAAACATATGTATGGAGGATGAACTCAGCTTATGCATACTTGAGGCTGAGTCCATACGCAAGTGTTAATTGCATGTTTTAATAGACTTATCGAAAGAATCCGATAGGTTTTTCGGCCTTGCCTTTCCTTGACTTCACATTTTACTCCTACATTCGAGACAAATCTAATGTCCTCTGCAGTTTTGCTCGAACAACAAAACACTGTACATTGGCACATTCGCATCTCATGACCCTCTGGATCATGGTTTGATCTGTTTTCATACAGATATCAACGAATGCATTGAATACGACGATTATGCAAACCCGTACACCACCAATGACGTTCAAGTAGAGCATAATCATCTATGTCACGCAGAGGCAACGTGCATCAACACTATTGGGTCGTTCCACTGCAAGTGCAAGCCAGGTTACTATGGTGATGGGAAGTTATGTTTGTCTAATAAATACGTCATGGTTGCGGCTTTGTTTCGAAGTAAGTGGCAAACAGCCATTTTATTTACAACTGAAATGAAGCTTAACCGTTGAGCTGTCAGGTTTTAATTTGCTTGAAACGCATTTAATAAGATCGTCAAAAATAACCAGAGCTTATTTGTGTAAATAGATGTTTCAGAGCCTTTGAGATTTCTTTAATTGCATCATAAAAATTGGGAGCACAGTAATTTATTTTTCCTTATTGGCTTAAAGAAATCCCTAATCATGCTCTCTATGCTCTTAGTATTATTGATTTGCTCTCTAGAATGTTAAGCAGGTCACGTGGATTATCTTGCGATGTTTTTACTACTAGTGGTACTATCCCAAATAGTTCAAGTTTCCTGATTAGTCCTGTTCGTAACATGCATCCTTTTCCTTGCTGTAGAAAAAAATAAGGCGTCAGCTTATATGTGTGGCACTTTGGGAAAAACTAGGAATGCTACACGAATCAGACGGATCGTAGGAGGAATATCTTCTGCGCACGGCTCCTGGCCGTGGCAAGTCGCCATAACCTATAATAGTACAAGTAAGTACATCAAGTGATTTATGAACAGAAGCCCCTCTAGGGTGTCTTTACCATTAAAGTGATTCAAAGTGGCATTATTCTCAAACGGATAAGAAACGACATCGGGGTATTTGATCTTAGAAATGGAGGTATTTAAATAATACAAATGGCTTGGTTTAATACCTCGGTTGTCCGAACCCACTGATACCCATAATTGACGAAAATATGTTAGTTAAATTATCACTAATGCCATTATGTGGATTTATTTCTTACGAATGTATTAGAGGAGCAAATACCAATGAGATAACCTCAGTTCAACCGCCCTTAAAACAACAACAAAAGATAAACAAGATAAACAAGATAAACAAGATGATGATAAAAAATTACTGCTAAAAATATTTGATAAAATGGAGCGGTCGACAGTAATCAAGCAACGCCAATGACACAAGCAAGCAAAATCATTTAGGTTCGCATATATACGCTTCACTTAACTTTCTTTTCTTTAAGATGCTGCTTTTTTCGTGTGTTTCGTCATTGTAAATTTTACGGATGTCGATCGACATTTGAACATTTATGCTTCAGTACAAGCATTTGAAATTCCGCATGTTTTCTTTTACCTTCTAGAGAGATATAACTTCCTCTTTAACGGAGCACTTATAAAACCTGGATGGGTCCTCACAGTCGCCAACATTCTTCAAGTGAAGAAAGGTGCTAAGCCAATAAAGCCTCACAAATTACGCGTGGTGTTAGGTACGTTTAACTTCAGAAATTTTTTCCAAAAACTTCATTCCTTGTGGAGATGGCAAAGAAATCAATCAAGCAATGAAATTTATCAAAACATTCTTGTTGCAAAACAACAAAAACAACAACAATAACAACAAATTACAAAGTAAATGGTACTTAGGCTGCGAAAGGTTGTGGGCCATGGTTTTTTTTTCAGTACATTTAGGCTACCACAAACCCTTTGTTCAAGTTACTCGACTATCTATTTTTTTTTTATATAGGAGAATTCAACCGCAATAAATTGGACGGAACGGAAACGCCCATCCGCGTTAAAAGAATAGTTATACATCCGGGATACGATCGATACTCAATGGCCCACAACATTGCTTTGTTAGAGTTGGAGAACCCTGTGAAGCTAAATGATCATATAAGGATGGTAAGTTGGCGTGTGGTTGCCATCATAGGTCGCTTATTTCTGCTGTTGCTTTTGGGATTAACGAGGATTCTTGGGATGGGAAAAGCATAGAATTAAGGTGTGACCGAACCTTCTCCGCTGAAAAATATAAGTTTGCAGTGAGTAGAATGTTCATGGCACACGTTTATCTGTTAAATAAATGGCTGGCTGGCTAGGTTTAATTTACTTTTTTTCGGTTTTGTTCAAGGTGTGCATACCAAAGCGCAAGAGAGACAAAGTTTTGGAGAAGCCGTTACGGTACGGGACAGTGGCAGGATGGGGTTCCACCAAACCAATTAGGCTCGGCGAACCTACTGGACCTTTGTCAGCTGTGCTTAGAGAGGTTACGGTGCCGATAGTCCCGGATAAGGAATGCAAGGAAGCTTCAATTTATACCTACCATAAGGAAAGCACGTTCTGTGCAGGATTCAAAAAGAAGCCCAAAGATCCGTGTTTTGGGGACGTGGGAAGCCCTCTTGTCATGCAGCACCCTCGCTCTGGGCGCTGGATTGTTATCGGACTGTTCGGTTGGAGCGAAGGTTGTGGAAGACCCAGAAAGTACGCGTATTACACAAGGGTTTCAAAATACAGAAAGTGGATAAATTCCAACGTCAAAAGAGGCCATTAGCTGAAGAAAATCAAATCAAACATTTGATCGTAGGTTTTTCCATGTGTTAAGTGTGAAACCACTTGCGATTTTCCTATCAAAAGGGGAAAACCACTTAAACAAACTACTCAGGCGTGTTTCCCTTGTAATAACAATTGACTTTAGAGTTGAAGTATGGTGACTTAGAACATTTCTAAGGGAAAGAAAAGGGTATTCTCTGGTACTTAAGTAGCAGCGATATCTGGTTTCTCTGTTTTTGTTTGGTTTTGTCGTCTTCGTTAAATATTTCGTTTTCTTGTGTAGCTTAATTTGCTTCATTTTTGCTCCTTCATTTTCCAACAAGGCTTATTAAGACCTTTTTGAGAAATATTTCTCCTCTCACTGCGTTAAACTACTTTATGCGGTGACCGGAACTGCAGTCAGTATTGGGACCACTCTTTTGTCTGCGAAGCACCCATTACCGAAAATACGTCGTACTTAATGATATACTCCCATTAAGTTTAATACATGGTACTCCCACTTAAGCTTGTACTCTCACTAAGTTTTGCTAGGGCGGAACAATTTACTCATTTTGGCAGATCTAAAGCTCTGTCGTAATTCAGAGGGAACGTGTGACACCAATAAAAGATTGCTTGTTAACTTAAAATTTCAACTTTGTCACCATATCTTCGTTGATTGAGATAATTGTTTTAAATTATCTTGGTTGACAGTTGTTTATGCTGATAATATCATTTCATTTTCAAATTACTATCGTTGTACGTTGCGCATGCTCGTTCCGTCACAATAAAAATAATGTGACGGCGATGAACTAATTCCAACTTAGTATCATTTTTACTCTTGATAAAGAGAGGAAAAGGACGCGGAAACGTTTTTTAAAGTTTCCAAATTAGTTCAGCTATGAGAATGAACTGTTAAACATGGACTTGGCAAATAGGAAAGGAATCAATAAACATTGTTTGGCTTTCTATGAAAGCTAACCAAAAAACCTCAAGTTTGAGTTTCAGCCCATCACATCTTTCATTATTGTCACGGGAACTACCACCACCGGTTTTTTTACAAATGTTTTTCCTATCTATTTATTTATGTATTTCTTCATTTCTTCATTTTTCTTTTAACACACTTATAGATTACGGGAAAAATTGTCGCCCATGTGCTTATTCTTAACTTGAAAGTCCTGGCGGTAACCGCTTTCACATGGTTACGGCAGTATAGGATTTTAAATTTCCTTGACCAATAGAAATAGCTATTGTACAAACGAGTCCTGATAATGGCCTCCAACCGCCACTCGTAGCCATCCTCGCCGCCCCTTGCATTATGCTTTTACCAAGTCACATGCAGAGTACATTAATTGATAGTTTAAATAACACGGTAAAGGGATTGATTTGCTTTGAAACCCAACATCAGCTGGTCGTTCACCAAACAAAATTTTACCAATCTAATCCAACTCCTTTCATTTCTGTGAAATGTACTAAAGAATTATTTTAATGTTAGAAAACAATAAAGGAACAAAAGTCAAATGCATGATTTCATTTACAAAATAATTTGAACTTGTATTACAAAGGAATGAATGAACTGGTCAGGAATCTGTCAACTGTACTAAGCCATGTGCATGAGGAACATCAGCATCACTATCTTTCGTCATGAAGAGTGCCAAGACGATGAACGAAACCGTATTTACTTTCAATTTCCCCGACGCAAAGTGCAATTTTCTGACTTTTCCCTGACCTTGAAGAACTTTATTTTCCCTTAAAATTTTCCTGACCTGTGTGAGGCAACCATATCACAGTCAGGATCGTGTTTCTACCAAAATAATAGGCGAAATAGAATGAACTGCACTGCTTTTTCCGGAATAGATTTCGATTTCAAAATATGGCTCAGCTCCAGTAACATTACTAGAACTTTCGAGAAACGGGTTTCAGCGATATCGATACCAATATTTTTCCCCTCCACGCGCGTTACCTTAGCGCGTGTCTACAGAGCAGTGCGTGACCGTGTTGACTTGGCTCGCGCGCCTCAAAATCGTGCCCCGGAGGGGTGGTTATAGTTTTGTAGAGGTTTTCGGTGAGGTTCTGTCCAAACTCACTGACTCCCATACCACGAGTACATAATTCTTCCCCCTCCTCTCTCATTTTTTTTCCGACAACTGCCACAGCTTATTAGACAAGACCGTGCTGCCTTTGGAAAATATCCAGCTGTGAAAGAAAATAGCCATTTCTTAGTAATGACATCATTTTCCGGTTGAGCTACAACAGCACGTTCCTGTTTAGCTGAGACGAATTAAAAATTGACCGTAACACGAGGAGCTCATTTTGACGAAGCGTTTCAGTAATGCGTCGGAACAGAGGCTGTTAAAGCGTAAAATTCGCACCGATATATAGAACAATGTGGAAAACATTTCTCTTGGGGGCGATTTTACTTTGCTGTTATCCAGTCATTGAGAGCAACCCAAAGCAGAGTGGTAAATATGCGTTCACTACATACTCTAGGATCTTTACAGTTTCGTCTTAATCGACCTCCTCGTTTTCATAGGCTCTAATGGCTGCCCCAGAACAAATAACGTGCGATTCTGTGGCAAGACTTGCTTGACTGACGGAGATTGCAAAGGAAATAGAAAATGTTTATGTGACGGAGACTGTGGAATGATTTGCGTTAAAAACAGTAAGTGTATATGATTGTATTTGCCGATAGGTCTTTGAACGAAGATTTCTAGAAAACAGAAGGAAAATTCTGAACCAACGATAAATGGACGTGTCTTTTTTCTTAACTTGACTTTACGTGTAATGTATTTGACGTAGGCGCTTTTTGAAAGAAGTACACGCATATAGACATTTCAGAACTCTGTCTAGAGAACATATCTTTACGGTTATACGACATAAACATTCAGGGATTTTTCTCTTAAACATCACCAAAAAACGCAAACAGGAAACACGACTAAGATTACGGTCAATGTGAACCAAGATGTCCTCAGCTTTCCATTATACTGAGAGAGTAGCTCTATGTGATCTAATCAAACGTATTTATTGACAAGGACTCTTGATAAGACATTACATTCCCCGCCGTGGGTCACGCAATTTTATAATCAAGATTATTCGTGATGAACGGGCTACTAGCGTGACGCGACGAAAGTGGCATAGAAATTCCTATTACGTTTTGGGCGAGGCATAATATCTTAATAAACAAATAAATACCCCATTTTTTGCCTCCTGAATACAGTTACTTATACTTAGTTCTTCAGATTATTTTGTGGATATGTTAAAAGAAGAATCAATGAATATGCTATCAACGCTTCATTCGCAGTGAGATTACTCCGCTCAGTACACTGGCCCACTTGCGAGCCTTTCTGAATCGGGCCTGCCCGCTCGTATGAGAGCTTTGTTAGCCTAGGGCTTAACTGTACGAAATGATTAGTGAAAAATGAAGCTGCAAATGCACCAATAACATTTGAGGAATTCGAAACGGTTATGATTCATGAGGAACTACGCCATCAAATCTTCAAGTGGAAAAATGCATGTCTAAAAAAAGATACAGGCTCCTGATCATATAATTATTTCGTTCCATGTATCGTATCAACAAATAAAAAGTACGACGAGTACCCAAATTTCTAATTTCACATCTTTTTTTTGTAGACCTCAGATGTGAAAACTTACCTAAGGTAAAAAACGGGCGTTCCAGCTTCAGCAACGCCAGCTACTTTCGCAGCGTGGTGACATATAAGTGTAAGAAACCGTATAAACTCCGCGGCTCAGAAACACGAACTTGTAGAGCTACAGGAAAATGGGATGGAGGAAAAACGAGATGCAGTAAGTATGATGCATAAAATTCAATGTGTATTCCTACAATTTATCAATCCGAGCGTTCTTCCGATTATCCAGTCATCCATATTTAATAGTTTAAAATTCTTTCTCAGGATAGATATTTTTTTCTTTTATAATTTTTTCCTACGGCCCTGAAATAACTTTTCAATTTATCCGTCCGTGCTTCCATTATTCACATTTTATGCATTCGCTTATCTTTGGCCTGTTCGTTGTTTAGTCCAGTCTTTATCGTTTCCTAAGATAAAATTCGATTGGTTAATCTTTTCGCAAAGTGCGCGTTCATTCAGTGAAAGTCATTTGGTACAGTAAACAATTCAGTTCACAAATCATCAACATAATCATTGGATCATTTCTTCGCTATTGACAGAACCCTTTTGTCAGGATCCAGGGGAAATCCGTTATGGAAACAGACGAACTGTACGTAATAAGGGTGTGAAGTATATTCATTTCTGGTGTCATGATGAAGATATGTATAAAATGGTTGGAACTCCTCGAATACGGTGCCAGGAAAACGGACAATGGAGTGCTCCAAAGCCAAAATGCATCCGTGAGTAGTTGATGTGGGATATAGAATATACTAATTTTTACTACTTAACAATGCTTGCTCGTCAAATGAACCGCTGAATGAAATAAATCGAAGTCTTTGATGAGTTTAAACATCAAATAAACTTTGATGTTCTTAATTTTTTTTTTTAATAATTCGCAAGTCAGAACTAGAATGAAAAAGTCACAACATTATTCATGCAAATATTTCGGTTTAGCTAAAAAAGACGACTGAACAATCTGAAAGCATGCAGACGGAAAGAAGTAAAATTTTTTCTTTTTGCTGTAAACGAAATGCTTAACCTCTCTATTAACCGCCTCCAGTTGTTCTTGTCGATGAACAAATGTAGCCATTATGAACATCATATCAAAAGGAATCGATTTTAAAGGCAAATATAATCTAGGAGTTACTGGGTTACTAAATTTTCTCGATCTGTCCACTTCTTGAGTATATCTCGTGATCACGGCTTGGATAGAAACCCAAAGTTATTACGTTCTCTTATTTGTTCGTTCACCAGCTCCTTTTTGATTTCCCATTTCTCAGTTCTATATTTTCTTTCTATGTCTTTTGTTTGAATGCCACTTTGCAAATGCTTTTGGTTACTATTTTTATATATTATAGCAATAGCTCCATACACTATAAACAAATAGGCCTGAATCTCTTTGAATGATAGCACTGTGTGTTTTTTAATTTTAATTCTGTGTAGTTCCCTCATGTGACAAGCCAAACATTCCAGACGAAGCCGCTGTTATCTTTCCACGGTCAATGGATAAGGAATTCAAGTACGGCGACAAAGTGGTATTGAAATGCAAGGAAGGATACTTTAAGTCAGGACTTGGTGTTTACCAATGTAAGAAAGGCAACATATGGAGTGGAAGCATCACTTGCTCACGTAAGTTTAGTCTGATTAGAATTATACTGCATACTCACTCCGCGCTGACTCGCCAAACTTAGTCAGAAAGATATCTCAATCAAACGCCAGATCATTGGGTCATACTATTGAGCATTTTTACTGGGCACTGATGCACATGCATGGCTTTAAGTGCATTCTAGCTTAGAAAAAGAAATACCAAAAAAAAAAAAAAGAAAAATAAAACTCTCTTTCTTTAGCCTAGAGATGGAAAAAAGTAGGTTACGAGAAAGACGGATAAATTGTTGGTTTAGTTATCCATTTTTTATTGAATAAGGCCGTTTTCTTTGGAGTTTTAAGCTTCCTTACGCGATGAAAAATTCTTATAATAAGATCACGCTGGATTTTTTTTTCATATTTTTACTCCATGGTATCCTTCATTTGATTTTCCCTGCGTTGTGTCTGTGGTAGAACTAACCAGCAATTTAAATCAAAATGGATCTTGCTCACATAGTATTTGATTAAGATTCTTATCAATTTCATCAGCTAAAAGCTGTGGCCGCCCAAACGATATCCCTAACGGAAAGATCATAGGATACGTATATTCCTTCAAAGAAAAGATCAGATACGAGTGCAATGAAGGCTACAATCTTAAAGGACCATCTTATAGAACATGCCAGGCTAACGAGAAATGGGGAGATAAAGACCCTATTTGTGAAGGTAAGATATTCGATCTTGTAAATATTAGGATCATTTCTTATGTGACTGTTATTAGTTATGTAAGTATTACAGTTTTGTGAGGAAAATATATAAATTTTTTCAAATTTACTATTGTTTTCCCCTAAATTAAACACGAGTGAGAACGATGCATGTAACATGGATTTGCAAGTCAGATGTTGGAATTATGGATCAACCACTAGTCCTCAGAGAAAAGTCTTGCTATTAACGTAGATACTACTTTGAAATAAAACTGATTTTCGTTTCGTTCATTTAATGAAGGCAATAAGGAACACGTGGATTTCCGTGCACTATTTCTTCGAAAATCTCTTAAGAATTATTTAATAGCTGCCCTATACACTTATGTCAGCAGTTAAACAGCAATTTGAGGGGAGTGAATAGGTAAGAATAATTTATGGCGTATTGATGAAAGAGTAATAGACTGTTTTGAACGTACGAGAAACGAAATACACATTAAAAAAAGATAAAAATATTGGGTAGGTAAATAAAAAATCTGCGCTCGAGCCAAGCAAGCTTATCCCGGTTTTTATAGTATGAAGCAACTAGGTGTATTAATACTCCCGCTTGGTTGAAAGATACCAGTTCATCACAAGGTTACCCCCAAAATTCGCCGGTACTCATTTATAATCCTGGGTAAGAGGGGGGGGGGGGAGCATTGACCAAAACAATGACCAAGTTAGGTCTCGAGGCAGAATTTTTCGGAGTCCAGGCCACCAACAATTCGGTTACCGCATCCCACATATAGAAAATAACATCGAATATCATTTTTATTCTCGTTTGTTGTTGTTGTTGTTGTTGTTGTTTTTCGAAAGTTGCGGATTGTGGCCCCTTACGAAAGCCAGATCATGGAGATATAATAGAGCAAGTGGCGTTTACCTATGGAAATAGAATAGTGTTCGAATGCACAGATACGGGTTACGAGATGAAAGGATCAAGAGTAAGGACATGCCAAAGTGATGGAACATGGAGTGGCTCTCCTACAACATGCGAAAGTACGTTAGAAAAAATTAATCAGCCAAAGAAGTCACATATAGATCACGTTGAATATTTTAATAATGGTATTTGCTTTGCAACAGAATTATAACCTTACTAATTTGACTGATAAATTTATTGATTGACTAAGTGACTGACTACTGACAGACGGACTGACGAACTGATTGACTGATAACCTGCCTGGCGGATCGACTGATTGTGACTGAAAAGCCCTTTTGAAGGGAGTTCCAATAAAGTTTGTATGTATGTATGTATGTATGTATGTATCGAGTGGTCAACTAATTAACTGATACATAACTTGATCGATTTATTATTGCAGTTGTTCAGTGCGGAGATCCTGGGACACCCACGAACGGAAAACAAATTGTAAAGAAAGGTTTCGAATATGGTGGATCTGTGGAATTTAAATGCAACAAAAATTACACTCTGGAAGGGACGCGCATAATCTACTGCCGAGCGAATAAACTATGGAGTGCTTCTGTACCGCATTGTCGAGGTCAGTATCATTTTATAACAATCTCTTAAATTGATTGTGTGGTCTGATAGTACAGGGTGAGAGTGGTACCGAGGGGACTGTTGTTGGTTATTGTGACTGACGTTTCGAAAGTCTTAACGGATGTTATCATCAGAGTCACGTGATGCGCTGTCTCTTGTCTGGTTCCCGATTGGCCAATTTTCCCGAGGCGTGTTGACTTAAAGAATCAAGTTGTGTAAGTTGGTGGTTATGGGTTAGTTTCGATCCTTGGCCGTGGGTTTAGAGTTGAGTCGCTCCGTTCGGTTCTTCTGTCTAACGAATTGTTATTATTTTCTGCCCTTTTGTTCACACTCAACTGGAAAAGCATTGCTCAGGAAAAGTATGAACCATGAAAACTGAACTCTGGAAAAACAATTCAGGAGAACGACCTTTCTTCTAAAGGTGATCATTAAAGAAAAATTAGATGGAATCCCTTCCCTTTTTTTTCTTATGGTGATAAGAATTCAAAATACTAGTTGTAAACGTTCTCAAAAGGATCACTTCATATGGTGCCAATTACATTTGTAGTTTTCCTTGCGTCATAAAAAATCCTGTTCTCTAACAAGTAATTTCTCTTTTGGGTTTTACAGCTTCCTGCAAAGATCCTGGCAATCCTTTGAATGGGAGAAAGGTTGGCCATGACTTCCGTCACAAAAAAACAGTGTCTTTTACCTGTCAAAAAAATTACGCGTTAGAGGGAGCGCGAACGGTTAAATGTTTAAACGGCCAGTGGAGTGCTAAGAGGCCACTTTGCCTTGGTGAGTTTTCCAGCGAAATCATGATAAATGCAAGATCCTGCATGTTGTTTAAAGGTCTTAGTTTCCTTAGTTTCATGATACTAAGCTCAGCTTGTCATTACTGAACTATTTAAATGGACGTGGAAAGCCGGGATAATTTTTTTGCTTATTTTTTCTTAACAAACCTAACAAATCACTCAAAAGACAATATTAAAAGTTACGAGCAAAAGGTGAAAAAGCTATCTGTGAATTTGATGTGAATTTTCCTCTCCTTAGCACTTTGTCCTACGCCCACTGCACCAACGAATGGCAGAATACAGGGCAAAGACTTCAGACATGGGCGGTCTATAAAGTTTTGGTGTTCCCGTGGTTACACAAGAGTTGGTGCTTTTTCGGTCACATGCAAGGAAGGAAAATGGGGCGCACCGTTTCCAGTGTGTAAAGGTCAGAATTGTTATCTTGTGCTTGCCATTACTGTAAATAACGCAGTTCAATACATTTCAACTACTTTCTCCTACGTGGGTGTTCAAGAACTAAGAAAATCTATTATGACAACAGCAATTTATAAAAATTTGATATAAAATAAGAGGGAAATCAAGAATAATAATATAAATAGAAACAAACTCAATAAACAGTGATAAATTAATTAAATTAGAATGAAAAAGACTGTTTCCATCGTTCAAAAGCCTTGATGACTGAAATTCTTATGTTCCAGCCCAAATCATTTCAACGCCAGTACTAGATAAAGTTTTACAGTTAAGATGGCCTATGAGTTAAAAAATTTTAGATCTTTCTGGAGCAGATGCAAAGGAAAACGGTTTCCAGACCTCCTACTTTAATCGCATTGTGAAACTTTGGAATTACTCTTGTTCTATTGCTCCTGGTCTTCTAGTATTCTAGTCAGGCGCTGGAATGGGGGTGCGTTAGCACACTGATTGTAAACCTTTGTGAAGGAAAAGTAGAATGCAAATTCAGACTTTTTCGATTAATGACAATTTAACCATGTAACGAAAAATAGAGAAGTACCATACAACCTAATGTTAAGGGGAATATGTAGGCATGAAAAGCTTCAACGTTTTAACCCGCGAGAGTAAACTGAGAAAGAAATAAGTTATTTAGAGAACACAGTTTTCCTAATGAATACACCGGCGCTGACCTATAAATATCACAGTTCTTTTCTAGTTCTTAGATAATATCTTAATTGCTCACTGCCGAATGGTAACTAATAAAATAACAATATTCTACTTGAAAATGTACGTCTAAAAGGCAAAGAGCAATTTAATGATTACCTTTGAGCTAAATTTAGTAATTCTTTCCTGTTTGACTCCGTAGCATCATGTGGTAGGCCCAGCATACCTGCGAATGGCAGAATAGTGGGAAATATCTTCAGTCATGGAAAATCTGTATTGTTTTACTGTTTGTTTGGCTATACAAGAGTTGGCGCCGGTTCGATTAAATGCGATGATGGCAAATGGGATAAGCCGTTTCCAGTCTGCAAAGGTGAGAAATGTGTTATTTTTCGCAACTACATGCATTCATGATGAGTTAAGTAACGTTTGCTTTACGATAAATTAAAGGCATCTGCCCAACGCCGAGCGATCCACGAAACGGAAAATTGGGTCAGAAGGTATCCCTTGACAAACGTTTCCTTGACGGAGATGAAGCAACATTCTCCTGCAACAGCGGGTATGACTTGATTGGTAAAAAGAGACTTCGCTGTGTTGGAAGAGTATGGGATTTTGGAGAGCCTGAATGTAAAGGTGAGAATGTTCCAGCCCTTTTGAATAAAAGGTATCCCTTGAGAAATATTTTTGCTTCAATGACTGGTGACCGCTTGAATTAATAGCTTTTTAGTTTTCCTCTCCTGCCCCCTTCCCTTCTCCCTTTTAAGAACAGTTCTGATTATGAAACACAAGCTAATCAACGTATCCTCAAGAAAGGAAAGATCGTTATAGAGGTTGTAGGGAAGTTGTTCTTTATGCAAAAATCGAGACTGACTCAAACTGTTCTGCCGGAAACGTGATATTAACAGCATCTAATATACCAGTATCAATTTGCTTCCGCGATCACATACAGACGACATTTGAGTCACGGCTCCTCGAAAAGCAACTCCTGCGGAACCTCTCTTAATTTAGATGAGAAGTAAATAATTCCTTTGATCATAGAAGATACTTTCTAGGGTGTTTCTTCCAGGATTTCTCATTATATGTTATCAATATGTATCATGAAGATACAATATTCAGTAAATGACTTAAAGAAACTTTAGGTGATGACATAATACATTTGCGAAACTTACACCACGTAATCAACATACTTTTCAAATTCTTTTAGCTCCATGCAATCCCCCAGGATTCCCAGCAAATGGCAATGGGCAATGGAGGGACCTTAAACACAACTCGTGGGTAACATTTTCTTGTAATAAAAAATATCAGCTTGAGGGAAGAAGACAAATACAATGTAAAGATGGCAGTTGGAGTGGTAACCGTCCTAAATGTGTCGGTAAGAAAATTCGAATAAGATATTCCTTTGAGTTCTAATTCATATGGAAAAGAAATTCTGAGCGATATCACTTGTTTTGTTTTTACATAAAAATTGTATCTCCCTTTTTTCTTTGGTCTTCTCCAAAGTGTGGTTACGGCGTTATAAATTGCAGATATATTGTGACAACCCCATTCTACGCTGTACTTGTTTTTATAGTTCTTCTCCTGTCTTTTCTGATCTTTGAAACTTTTTGTTTTGTCCTCTACCTACTTTACTAATACAGCCGTGTGTCCAGATCCTGGTGAGCCATTGAGAGGCAAACGACATGGCAACAATTTTAGGAATGGTAGCATAATAACTTTTACGTGCAACTCAGACCACGAGTTAATAGGAGACAACACTACACGGTGTGAGGACGGCGTTTGGAGCGGTAGCGTCCCTCTCTGTAAAGGTATGGTATTATATTAGAGGTTTCGAAAGATAATTTAGGTAACCCTTTTGATCCATTATTTGGTAATTCGTTCAGCACACAATTACACTATTTAATTTGTGGGAAAGTAATATGCCTCTGAAATCATACTAGTTAAAAAAATATTCAAATTTGAAATTATGAATAATCACCTCCATAATAAGATAACCAACTACCTGTTAAGTTTAAGTTATGAGGGAGGGAGGAAGAAAGCGAAATAAAGCTAAAGTATCGTGAAAGACAAACTTTAAGCGCGAAAATGTTCATGAACAGAGAACTGCCCAGGAAGCCTGATCTTCAAACCATGCCTTAGCCCTGAAACAAAATTTCAAGGAATTGAAAAATTTCGTTTATACGCTCTGAATGACACAGCAAGAAAGCAAGCTAGGACAATGCACACAAAACAAACTTACCAAAAAACATTTCTGCCATTGAAGGAAAATGCAAATTCGAAGGCAGTCCCAAAAATGGATACACACCAAACGGAATCTTCCCGAACGGAAAACTCTTTTCACATGGTAGCAACATCGAGTACGCTTGTTATGCAACGTACACTATGGATGGCACTAACATTCTGCATTGCAACGATGGCTTTTGGAACGCTAGCATTCCCTCGTGCAAGGGTATGTACCCATTCTGTGCTAACACGAAGTTGGCTTCTAAATTACCATTATCACCTTGAAAAAGTTGGTGGTTTATTAATGTATTTTCATTGAACATCGCTGTTCTCTTTCGTAGCCCCATGTACTGACCCTGGGTTAATAGACAGAGGAAAACGAAATGGCACAGATTTTTCTCACGGACAGGTGGTCACGTATGAATGTTCTACTAAAAACTACAGTTTGGTTGGAAATCCTCGTCGGACATGTAACGATGGAGTCTGGGATTCAGCTCTTCCAGTTTGCAAAAGTGAGTATCCTAAAATATACATATTTTAGTGTTTCTTAGTATTTTAAAAGACGAAGCACATAGTTGTCAATTATAACCGCGTAAGTTTGGTAAATTTCCTCAGCCAGAAAGCCAAAAACACCATGATCAAACATATGCCCGCAAAGCATGTCACACAGACCTGTTTGGGCCACACACTTCGATGCAATAAAGTTCTTGCAATATTTCATAAAGTAATTTGGTGATACTCAATTGCCCAACCTCTCCTTCTCTAAACTCAAGACTTTTGGCATATTTTTGTTCTAAAATAGACATTATTTTGGTTGTCGGGGTACGAAAGAGGTCTCAGTGCCTAAGTATAATGATAGGCATATAATATCATGGCATTATCTGTTATATCTTTCAGAGTCTTGTAAACCCCTTCCACTGTTATCTAATGGAAAAATCCATAACAATGGTGTCAGTCATGGGGCCGTGGTCTCTTTCTCCTGTAATTCAGGATTCCAGCCCCAAGGGTCCTTGCAGATGAAGTGCCTCGATGGGATATGGAATGAAAGTTCACCGAGTTGCATAGGTCCAGTTTCTCTTCAATCCATTGCATTATCATGATATCTTTTTTATCAGTATCACTATATCATTATCATTATGTATTATGTCTTTTTAATTCAAATTATACTTGTCACCTTTGAGTAATAGTTAAGTGTCGTCTTTCTTTTCCTTTATTCAATGAGGGAAACGATATCGCGGCATATGAATGAATAACCACCAATCAATCAAAAGTCATACTAGCCTGCAAATCAGGCGTAATTTTGGCGGGCGAGTGCTTAGTATTTTCTATACAAAAATTATGGCCGCCATCTTTGTTTTTATGGCAGCGGAAGGCTGGGGAAGGACGACGATCAAAAATAAGGAGAGGGGTAGGGGAGTTAAGATTACTTCTCGCCCTCCTCCCGCCTCCTACCCTCACCGTCCAATCTAACTCCAAATCAAACATGGCCGGTTGAATGGACGATCCCGAGCTTATAACGTTTGATCGTCCAAGTGAGACACCTGCACAGCAGGCTGAAGTCATACAAATGTGTCAATATTTCTTAACTTCAATTTCCATCAATTATTGGTATTTAGCAATACGTTTTCCGGATTGTGTCATTGAATATGGCAGTTTTAACGAAAAGAATAGGATGGAACTTGGACCATCAGCCTCGTGTTTATTTTCGTTTCATTAATGTTCATTTATAGTGTTATGTTCATCTATAAGCCAGTCTTACTTGATTATCTGCTTACTTGTTTCTGTATTTATTGACAGCCTCTATTGTTTTCTTTTAGGCGCATGTGCTAAGCCGGGAAAAATCCTTAACGGGACAGTTGTCGGAAGCAATTACAGCTACGGTTCTGTGATCAAGTTCAAATGCAATAAAGGCTACAAGTTAAGAGGTTCAGCCAAGTTAAAGTGCAAAAGGGGTGTATGGGAGAGTCAATTTCCAGAGTGTGAAGGCAAGTTTTATGTGTGATGTAAATGACAATGATACTATCAATATTTCAATGTGAATACATTTTGTAACTCTGTTATGATTAAAGTGACAGAAATAAATATCAGAGCAAATGAAAACGCAGTTTATTCAACTACCTGAATAGGAACGCTCTCAGGGTCTGTAAGGTTCCTGAAAAAAAGTTGAGCGTGTAATCTAACGTGTTGCATGCTGTATCTACATGTATGTTCAAATTTTTATTTCATTATTCATTAATGCAGTTGGAATTAATGATAGTTTACTCATGTTCCTTTAGAATGTGTCCGGGTTGGAGCAGTGTTTTGGGGATTTTGGAAACCGAATCTAAACGCAGACAATTACTGGAAAGCTTCCATCACAAGGATAAATGCAACACATTTCGACTTCGCATTGGTAAACAATAACAAACAGACGCGTAGTTACCGAAGGACTGATCAAAAGCTCATTATCGATAAAGTACCATCCATAGGGAACTTATTGCCTAACTCGCCCGTTATAGCCCATCAGTTTGGCCACTCAGGGTGGTATCGAACTGGATATGTGGTATCGAAAGTTACTGGTACTTCAGGTAACTCTTTGGTGGAAGTGCAGTTTGACGATGGTAAAAAAAAATGGGTTAAGCTTGGACGTGTACGTTTAGTTTCATACCCTGACTTTTGTTCTAATGTTGAGTAAAACACAAAATATAACGGACTGCTTTAATTTGAGAATAACTCATTTACGGTTGCCTGCTTGGAAAAGAAAATTACCTACAGCCATGTAGCTTGTTGTTAGTGTTTCGAGACAAGTTACTCAACCCTCTTTTCTGAAACTTCCTGTAAAATTAAGTGTGAAGCAGATTAGCATTGGGAGTGCAATCAGGTGACATCCCCCTTTCAGATATGATAGAAACCAAGTTTAGCATTTTTGTTTGTTCTTGTTTTTGTTTTTTGCACGGCCCCAGCCTTAGATTGTGTCACAGGTAATAAACATACTTCTCCTGAGGTCTCTACGCCTGAGTAAATTCAGAGTAGTGTACAGTCTGTAGTCGAAAATAAAGTAAATTAAAGATAATCAACCTCAAAGTAACAAAATTGATTGAACGACGTGAATAAACTCGAGAAAAATTGAGTTCCATGATTTTTTAAAATATAAGATTGGCGTTCTTCGTCTAATTTTTTGTACATTAGATGTTTTTTTTTTCCAGAAGTTGGCCAAGAGGGCCCAGTGGGCAACATTCTTCAATTATAGGGCCCTTATTTTGGACAGGGGGCCCGATAGAGGAGGTACTCCTTTGTGTCCTGAGGCATACATGTGCACTTCAGTTCTCCCATAAGGAAAACATTCAAAATGACTTACTCAATTAACCATCTCGCACAATTATTTAACAAGCGACCTATAGATGGAAAATGGGCCAAACTTAAAACTTACTCGCAAGATCTGTCAACGAAAGGATGAATAGATCAATCATAATAAAAAATAATCCATTCGTCGCGGCTTTTGAATAGCAAGATCCAGTTTTCGTCGCGCACGTGCGGTAAATAAGCACAAACAGGCCATCCTCGCCTCCCATGATGACTTCAGCTGATATTGCTAAAACGTGAGTCACTAAAGCTAACTACAAACAACACTCCAACAAAGGTCTACTCTCATCTGGACGATAGGACAACACGATGAAATGGTACCCCAGGATTCAACACTTAAATCTCGGGTTTAAACCAATGCACTGAAAGGCCCGTTTATATGTATTGTAAGGTCTTAAAAACTAAAACTAAAAACCTTCAGGCAAAAGTGTTCGACCTGCCAAACCATTTAAGTTTATAAACAATTGCAAAATGTAAACTTTAATGGTATATTAAAGTTCACATGGCAACCAGGTGGACAATTAGACATGGTTTGATGCTACTCTGGTTTCCCACCAGCGCCTTTGTTTGGAAGCTTGGCATATTAACTCCACCCACGCTCCCTTAAATCGTGATGATGGCGGCTTACTTCCTGACGCCTACTTACAGCTCGTCAGAAAAAAGGCAGCTAATTAGTGATCATACGAATTGTAACTTCTTCGATTACATTCATTAAGTCTGTAAACCAGAGTAACATAAAGCCATGTCTAACTTTAATGGTTTTTGAACTTTGATGGGTTGACATTTTTTGACTGCTTTTTGACAGCCAATCAGATTTTGAACTATTTTAACAAGGATTCTAATTGGCTTATTGTAACGTGCGCAATGAGAGTATAGAGCATGCTGAAGACACTCATGTTCGCTTTTGAATTAAAATTTGGTTTGAAAATTTGTTTTGAAAAGCTCAAGAAGTGGGGAGAAACACAAGACGTAGTCGAGTGTTTCTCTCTACACTTCTTGCGTGCTCTAACCGCCTCCTGCGTGCTTTACAACAGAAAGGGAAACAGTCAAGGCCTCTCGATTTGTTAAATGTTAGAAAGAAATTATTATCTAAACTTAAAATTAAGCAACAGTTAACTCAAAATGATCATTCCAAATGTTTCGTGTGGATTGGTTTTCTGACTGAGCATCCAGCTCTGAAAATTCAAATAAGAACTTAGAGCTACCCCGGCATACCAAGATTATCCCCTAAACTAGCAAGAGACATTGCAGATGCTAATTTATACTTACAAATGTACAATGGGTGCTCCTCAAGTACCTTTACTGTTTTTTTGTCTTTTGACTTTTGTTTATAAAGTGTTTTTTAATTGCTGACTAAAGCCATAAATTATTTAGTTATTCTACAATGTAGGTCCTCATCAGCAACGACGTTGCCAATTGTATTCTGATCTACTTTTACAAATAAATTCATTTTGTCTATGGGTCATGGACAGTTGAACAAATGAGAACCCTTTCTTGTAGTGTAGAAACAGAAGACACTACATCTGAGCCCCAGAGAACAAAATAATACAGAATACAATGAAAACTAAGTCTCTTTAACGTGGGCAATCGGGTGATGAGATACATGTGATGCAATTTCTTTGATGTTTACAGTTACAAAAGCATTGATGCTTCATTCACTGAAGGTAAAAAAATATATATTAAAACAAAATTCTGTAGTAATAGCTGCTGCCAAAAAAAATGAGTAAAAGGGTTCTTGCCACATTACGCATACAATAAAACTTTAAAATATCATTCCTCTCTTTAAAGGAATGACTAGCAAAAGCTTTACAAAGAACTCTGATTACAGGTCACCGCTTATATAACTTATTAAAAGACGAAATTTAAATTGTAGTACTGTGGTAATACTTTTTCGGGTATAACAAGAAATTAATATTTGTCTTTTTGTTTCTTCTACAAAAGTGTCACAATCATGCATGATGTTAACTTTAGATGAATGTGTGACCCTCTTTTAGCTAATTGACACCTAACAATCATAGGTAAAGAAATGTTTCTCACAGGGGAACGGAATGTGCAGAAAGTGCAGAAAAAAAAAATGGTTGAGAAATGTTCAGGCTTCAATGAGATTCATACCTGAACCTCCCGGATAACATTCCCAGATAATTGTTGGGCACCGCTTCTTAACTACACTGTGTAAAGCCACGTGTCCGTGGAGTCTTAAAAGTGACGTTTATGACGTTTAAAAAATTATCGTATAGCATGAATCCGCTGACCTGAAGGATCGGTACTGTGTAAGGGCATGAGCACTTGGAGATGGAGACAGCAGTGTTCTTTAAAAATAATTATTTGATCGGAAATACCATTTAAAGGAACTTTGCAATTTAAAAAGGAGAAAGACATTGTAATCAGAAGTGTTTCAAAATATTTTGAAGCATCACTGACTTCAACTTATTACTGATCGTGCAAAGAGGCTGATAGATGGAAACTGCTCACCTTTATCGTCGTATGACTTTAGGTTTCGCCACTCGTGTAACGAGAAAAATAGTTGACAGATAACTTCCACGTGAAACTTCATTAGTACAAGAACTGTTCATATTAGCAACAAGGTTTTTAAAACTAAACTAGAGAGCAGTACTCTGCGAACAGTAGTTGTAAAACGTCTTTATTCTCCGACGCGTCTCATCTAACTATCGTAGACTTCTTCAGGGAGCTAGTTGTACAAGTTAACACTAAACGCCTGTATTTAAAAGCCATAGTTGGCGGATATACGGGGGCCATTGACAATAAAGGCTTGGCTGGACATACGAACAGGAACAGGCGAAGTTATGAAAAATTTGAAAATTTTTTGGGCTAGGTGAGAAAAATATTTGGGGGCCACGGTTTTGATTAAAAAAGTTAGACGAAACGCGTCGTAGAATGAAGCAGTTTTACAACTACTGTTCACGGAGTGCTGCTCACTAGTTTAGGTTTAAAAAAAATTTTTAAACAAATTTTAAAAATTAACTTAAAAAAACTGTGGTCACCGGGCTGCTCAGGGGAGCTAACAACCTACTGTTTGTGAACTGAGCAAGAATGCACTAAGATATCAATGAGCACGTTCGTGTTTGTTAAAGGTAACATTTATTCCTTAGCGAGAAAAAAACTCCACTTAAACTTTAGTTGGGCCCTGGGCAATAGCAGGAAATTAAACTTCAAATAACCGTATAACAGCATACCCCGTGCATAATGCCTAAGATCATGACCTCGTCTATCGTGTTCTACTACATTTTGACGTTTTCTCTGATCTATTAATATACAGACCTACGGCAACATGGAATCATGGAATACCCGTTAGTACAGAAGCAGAAAGAGGAAAATCATCGTTAGTAGCTACACATTTGGCAAATAGCAGCCTTCGAATACCCATTGCTACGGGAGCACAGACGGGGCAGATATCATTGCAAAAAAGCTCAGAAATTGGAGCAGAAACAGTTGTTCATCTCAATTTTGTCTTTTGTTTCGTAGCATCGTGTAGTGACCCTGGATATATTGATCGTGGAAACCGAAGTGGTAGAGACTTTCTCACGGGAAAGTAGTCACATATGAATGTACTAATCAGACCTACAGTTTAGTGGGAAATCCTCGCTTGACATGCCTCGACGGCAAATGGGATTCAGCTCGTCCAAGTTGCCAAAGTGAGTACAATACTTGACAATAGTATGTATTTGGCAATTTTTGTTATTGCGGAAGATAATTACGGATTCTTAATCCTTTGCACAACCCCGCTATTTCCGTGATTGTATCAGTTACAAAACATAAATACGTACTACATAATAACGTAGGCTCTATATTTGGTTGTTGCCTATCTGGACTTTGCGCCGTGCGCCGTTATAGGTTATAAAATGCAGGTTGTTTACAAGGAATTAACACGTGATAGGGTGAAGTCCAACGAAGCTAAAAGCGAATATGATTGGTAGAAAACGTCTAAGCACGTGAGAATAACTAACAACGGCATTCAAATTCTTGTGTTTCTTTTTTCAGTGAGGTAGCAGTTCGTCATAAAATTTAAGTTATTTACTGGAAAATGGGATATTTGAGAAAGTCTAATCCACAGTGACAAGTAAACACGTAACTGTCTTGGGAAAATACCGTTTAAACACAAAATGTAATTCATGGAGAACTGTTTCAAAGCAAAGAAACAGATATTTCACATTGCAGTCGATATTTTCAACGTTCGTTCGTTTTTCTCCCACGGGCGCAGTAAATAAGCTAAGGGAGGCCATTTTTGACTCTGATGATGAATTCAGCTGATGTTGTTGAAAGATCAACAACATTTTTGTGACTCAGGGATTGTTATTCAGGGGTGATTATCACAATATCAGATATTTTAACCACAGATTAGATGCTACGCAATCTGAGGTTCAAAGGGTTAACAGTTTTATACTAAAGTCAAAATGTTTGCCTCAACTAACAACAAGAGACTGCTCATTTTCTCCAATAAATTCTCCAAAGGACTTTACAAAAGTGGGTGTGATTAGAGTTCTCCCTTGTTGTAAACATCATGTTTTACTCACTCACTGTACTTAAAGCTCCATATTTGGCCTATATATCCAAAATAAACCGAAAGAAAAAAATAAACTTAAAAAAAAACCCATTTCTTACCTCTGATTTAGTTTGTGTTATTGATCAAGTAACAAACTGTATAGTACATGTAGCTGAACATCTTCCTGTTATTAATGGGCGAAAATGATACTCATCAGTTGGTTTGTTGCCAGGATAAATAATGTTACATGTTGTGTAAGAATCTCA